GCTGTCTCCTATACTGTTTTCTTATCTCCTTGGTAACTAAAGTTGATGATGTCTCCTGTTTTGATTTCGTATCTCCTTGGTTACTAAAGTTGTTGATGTCTTTTATTTTGTTTACGTATCTCCTTGGTAACTAAAGTTGTTAATGTCTTCTATTTTGTTTTCGTATATCCATGGTGACTGAAGTTGTTGATGTTTCGTTTTTTGTTTTAGTATCTCCTTGGTAACTAAAGTTGATGATGTCTCCTGTTTTGATTTCGTATCTCCTTGGTAACTAAAGCTTGGTAACTAAAGTTGTTGATGTCTCCTGTATTGTTTTCGTATCTCCTTGGTAACTGAAGTTGTTGATGTCTCCTATTTTATTTTCGTATCTTCATGGTGACTGAAGTTGTTGATGTCTCTTATATTGTTTTCGTATCTCCTTGGTAACTAAAGTTGTTAATGTCTTCTATTTTGTTTTCGTATCTCCATGGTGACTGAAGTTGTTGATGTCTCCTATATTGTTGTCATATCTCCCTAGTGACAAAAGTTGTTGATGTCTCCTGTTTTGTTTTCGTATCTCCTTGGTAACAAAAGTTATTGATTTCTCCTGTTTTGATTTCTTATCTCCTTGGTGACTGAAGTTGTTGATGTCTCCTATTTTATTTTCGTATCTCCATGGTGACTGAAGTTGTTGATGTCTCTTATATTGTTTTCGTATCTCCTTTGTAACTTAAGTGGTTGATGTCTGCTGTTTTGTTTTCGAATCTCCTTGTTAACTAAGTTATCGATGTCTCCTGTTTTGTTTTCGTATCACCTTGGTAACTAAAGTTGTTGATGTTTCCTGTTTTGTTTTCGTATCTCTTTGTTTACTAAGTTATCGATGTCTCCTGTTTTGTTTTCGTATCGCCCTGGTTAACTAGAGTTGTTGATGTCTCCTATACTTTTTTCGTATCTACTTGTTAACTTAAGTTGTCGATGTCTCCTGTTTTGCTTTCGTATCGCCCTGGTTAACTAGAGTTGTTGATGTCTCCTATTTTATTTTCGTATCTTCATGGTGACTGAAGTTGTTGATGTCTTTTATTTTGTTTTCGTATCTCCTTGGTAACTAAAGTTGTTGATGTCTCCTGTTTTGTTTTGGTATATGTTGGTAACTAAAGTTGGTGTTGTCTCCTATTTTGTTTTCGTATCTCCTTGGTAACTTAAGTTGTTGATGTCTCCTGTTTTGATTTCGTATCTCCTTGGTTACTAAAGTTGTTGATGTCTTTTATTTTGTTTTCGTATCTCCTTGGTAACTAAAGTTGTTGATGTCTCCTGTTTTGTTTTCGTATCTCCTTGGTGACTAAAGTTGTTGATGTCTTCTGTTTTGTTTTGGTATATGTTGGTAACTAAAGTTGGTGTTGTCTCCTATTTTGTTTTCGTATCTCCTTGGTAACTTAAGTTGTTGATGTCTCCTGTTTTGATTTCGTATCTCCTTGGTTACTAAAGTTGTTGATGTCTTTTATTTTGTTTTCGTATCTCCTTGGTAACTAAAGTTGTTGATGTCTCCTGTTTTGTTTTCGTATCTCCTTGGTTACTAAAGTTGTTGATGTCTTTTATTTTGTTTTCGTATCTCCTTGGTAACTAAAGTTGTTGATGTCTCCTGTTTTGATTTCGTATCTCCTTGGTGACTGAAGTTGATGTTTCGTTTTTTGTTTTCGTATCTCCTTGGTAACTAAAGGTGTTGATGTCTCCTATTTTGTTTTCGTATCTCCTTGGTAACTTAAGTTGTTGATGTCTCCTGTTTTGTTTTCGTATCTCCTTGGTAACTCAAATTGTTGATGTCTCCTATATTGTTTTCGAATCTCCTTGGTAACTAAAGCTGTTGTTGTCTCCCATATTGTTTTCGTATCTCCAAGGTAACTTCGTTGTTGTTGTCTTCTTTGTTGTTTTTTGTTTGTTACTATTGTTGATGTGTTGGTACATTGTTCCAGTTAGTTAAGTTGGACATGATAACAAACGCCATATTGTAAACATTTTTAAGTAACCCCACCCCCGTTTTTTTGTTACTTCGTCTTACTTTCAACAGGATTTTGATAATAAAATTGTTTAAGTAAAATAAAATAACTCATAATTTGTGAACTTTTTGGACATAGTACAATGATCGTATATTTATTCATGAACATGTTTTGCGCTATTCCTTTATGATTTGTAGAATTGTCAAAAAGTGTCACGTTAACCTGTTGAAAACAAATGCCATGATTCCTGTAAAATTTCGTTGAAACAGTTTGTACGTAGAATTGATTCCAATGCCCACGGGTATGTTCCGGACGCGTAATCAGCACACTTAATTAGACCGAGCTCTGCAGGGCTTGTCACCATCGTCTACAAACCGTGATGAGTTGTGGCTAAAAGTTTTCTTCAAATGATTTAATTTTTTTCAACAATACAATAGGTCAACCGCAATCTGGAGTAGATTCGGAAATGAGGGAAATTCGCTTGTTTTTCGTGTGTGATCAGAAGGATGAATTTATTAGATCGGTGTGCTACAATAAAACTTAGCTAACAATTATCCAAATTATTGCTTCCTTTCACAGACGAAATTATACCATTTCCATTCGAACAAATGGACAACTTGATTCATACACCCTGAGGGTGTAGCAACAAATATAACATATTAAGTTATCGTCATATTGGTAGCAAGCACCTGCTCCTTAATTTCAAACCCATGCTGTCCATCAACACGTTTCTATCATTTCATCTAAATTTTACACACAATTTAACGTGGGAGCGTGGGACAGCCTTCCTGGCTTATGTCATCGGCTGGGCTGGTCACTGGAGGAGGAGGTGCTGCTTGTCGGTTGTCTGGCACTGGAGCACCAATGGAAATCAGTTCCAATTTTGTTAAGTGATGATTTCCAATTGAAGTGATAAGAGTTAATTTAGCCATGCAGAATTGTATCATCTGTCTCTGAAAAATGATTTTTTCCTTATTTCAAAGTAACGTGTTGCTAACATATGGCCAACTTAGACTTTTGCAAGCTGCGTCATTCACGAAACAAAACATCTCTCCACAGAATGATTTTTCTTGTTTCTCAAAAGCTAATAAAAATTAAAAATGCCATACGTATTTGAGACACTGCCTTTTTATTTATTATATGCTGATAAGTTCTTTTTGATGTTTGGTTCAATAAATTTTATTGCGTTTAACACAGGCTTTGAACAAGGTTGTTCTTTTCTCTGTCGGTCTGAGATAATGGGTGTTCGACACCCTACATCTGACAGCTCTTGTGCTGATTAGCTGGCTTCGATTTGGTTGTAATCTTATGTAAATGCATTAGAGGGATTGTATCCCAGTCAAGATGTACTTTTGTCGGTTTTTGTTGAATCTGGGTCCATGTTGGCTTGTCTGCGGGTGGGGTAGCACGTGGTACCTGTTAAGACACGCATGGCACTTCGGAGTATGGAGTGTCGAGGGTACTAGGAAACATGCGGGTTGGTTTTTTCGCAACCAAGAAACGTTTTTTTTAGTTAGCCTGAAGAGCCCAGGTGCGGGCTTGCCGGCTGCATGATATGGGTAGTTTGGATTTTGTTATTGGTTAATGATATCATCCGTTTCGTAATACATGCTACCGATCGCCTCTTACGAAATGTAGCATCCCAGTTTGCAACTGCCACTTACAGGAAAGCCCCTTAACCCTTTAGACACTCCTCCTCTGTCAAACATCCCAGAACCATTTTTTTCTTGCTTTGTGACTCTTTGTTTTGAAATGTCCCTCAAGTAGCAATAAATCATCTGTGGAGTTTGCATATAACATTTATTTTGTGTACTTGTCTTCAATTTTTCCACCGTTACCTCTTTGTGTAGTTCTCTCACCTGCCAAACGGTCTCAAACTCTCCATCATGTGCCTGGCGCCTCGTACAAACAATACCCAGTCATCTAACAAATACCCTGTATCGTTTTTGTCTATTATTCCCTTATAATTATCCCAAATAATCGGACATTACACGCAACAAAATTTCAAAAAGTTTGAACAAAAGAGGAAGGGAATAGGGCGCTAGCTTTCCGTGATGCAAAGCTTTCTTTTACATAACGGAAAAACAGCTGCATCTGCGTTCCAAGGAAAAACGACAATATGCACCTTATTTAACTTTTGGATAATCAAGCCAGCTTGAAATTAAAGTAAAACGATAAATATAAATCAATGAAACCACCGTTGCTGCAATGAAAAAGTGGCGATGGTGAGGCCAGGTGATGACAGAAACGGAGAGTTTTAAACTTAATATGACATCAACAGCGCTCATGGCGCCTGTCTCTTTATGATACCTTATTCATGTCATAAAAATAAATTATTTTCATGTAGGATTAACTTTATTTTGGAATTATTACTCAATTTCAAAACGTATGTGCGATTTCTGTCAGAGGAGCATCACTCCTTACTCTGCACAGGCAGAAATGACGATTAGAGTAACCCACCTTCCTTTTCAATTGTTCCCATTGTTGTCGCCGGATGGCGCTGTTGACTGCCTGTAACAATAGGATAGCGTCTTGTTGGTAGGAAGAGTTTTAGCGGGAAATTTTAGCATTTTGACTGTAGAAATGTAATGAAAACGTGCAGGAATTGCGTATTTGAGATAGAATTTCAGTGTTTTAATACCAAATTAACTATATTTTAATTTATTTAAAATAATTTAAGGATTTTTAAATTCAATTTTCACATAAATTCATAAATCCTTTATGTATCGGGCGAGCACGAAGCGACTGAATTTCGTGTGGTACGAATTCAGCTGGCATAGTCCTATATAGCCTCTACTGCGCTATTATTTGCATGATTGGCATTTATGTGGCAGTAAACGACATATTTATAAGGTTTTTAGTTTCTTTTGTCTTCAAAAATTAAAATTATCAGTTAGATATTTCGCGAAGTTAGAGTAATCCTAGAAACCCGACCGGGTCTATTTGTTTACATCTGTGTTTACATTTTGGGAAAGACATGTGCTCGGTGTGGGTGACAGCTTCGCGCCATGTGACGTCAGGTAACGGGTCAGAGGTCACCACCTGGAGGAAAGCCCACCATCGTCTGCTCGAAAAGAAATTGTCCGTAGATGATATCATAAAATATCGTAATGGTAAGAATTTTATTGGGATTATTGGAAGTTTACAGTATAATTTTTGGTTTTTCCAATATTTGCTTCGGTCAGCGCTCACTGGTAGCAGAATATTGTAGTAAAAGACAGGCGTCAGTGTTGCCCAGTTTCCATTGAATGGTTGAACAGACATAACCCGCTGCATTGAAGTGAGGTCGACACAATGACATCTGAAATCTGATGGGCCATTGAATTTTAATGACATTGTGTACGTTTTATAGTTCACTGCCCAAATATTGGCTATCGCTTTCTAAAACAAATTATATCTCTTATTACTCCACGCTTATTTGGATTTTAGGAGACTTTTGAGTGTATGATGTCGAATGCAGATTAGAAGCCTGTGATATTCCAGTTTGTGCACGTCAGTAAGCATTGGACATCAATCACAATAGTTGCTACATACTTTATTAGATGTCATTATTTAAATAGAACCTTTCTTTTATAAATCTGTGATTTATTGGCAGGAGAAATAGTCAAATTATTTACAGTTAGGCCCAGCCAAAGATTTCTTGTAAACTTGACTTTACATCATGACAAGTCTGAGGTTACTAAGGTTTCTATTTTGAATAAACAATAAATCATTTAATAAAACGTTTGACATTGGTTAATTATATTTCCAATTAATTTAAATCTAGAAAGGTAACTGGTAGGTCTGTATCACAGTGTATCTCTCATTTAAAACTACTGTACTAATTACTTTGACACATGGTTAAAGTATAACTCTAGTAGATCTACTCCTTAAATTAACAGGTGCTGGACATACTAATATGGTGTTTAAACATGTATTAAATATTATATAGCTAATGGACATGCTTAAATCCTCTAGCTCCCACAAAACTGTACGGAAACTTCTTACTGTCCTTACATGTACATCTTACGTCACTCGCAATCAATCCTATTTCCTACAGACAGATCTCACCGCCAACAAAATACTCTTACAATTAACAAATATCCATTTTTTTCACCATAGCTTATTTATCGGATTAAATTATATTGTTAACTTTTACATTATCTCTGCCAATTCTCTGGCCTATAGTTTCACTCAGCTATTGTCGTGTGGCAGATTTATATAATGGTACATAGGATTACGGTCACCTTCTTCTACTTATAGCATCGTGCTAGAAGAAATTTACCCTTTAGCATCCGACTAGGAAGTCTTGGGTCACAGGTTTGATCCCCATGTTGGTGCCACTGCCAGTGGAAGCTGAGCACTACTCTCTTTCCTGTTACAATAATAAACTCGTACCAAATATATTTAAATCTCCAAATCTTTTAAACAGTTTTAATTAATCAAAAACCACCCAAAAATGCACATTTTTCTTAACTAATTTACTTGCAATTATGTCCTCCGTCCCTATAGTAGCACAGTTTGCAAAGGACAAGCCCCTGTTTTTATTCTAGACATGGGGTGCTATATATGTGTATGTTGGAGGCTGTTCAGGTGTGCTGTTTGCTTATTTTTTCAATGACTCGTAGTGTGCTATCAATTGAATATATATTACTACACTGTCTTTCACTCAGATTTAGGCTAATGAAGTGGAGTTTTTACAGGCATTATAGAAGTTTTTATTTTGTTAAAAGACAAGAAAAAAGAACTGCAGGTGCTTTCATAATGTACAAAATTATCAAAATGGCAGTCAGGGATGAACAATTTCAATGCTGACTGATGCAAGTATATCTTGCAAAAAAAATTTTACTATGAAATTATAGGTCAGAATAATAGAATTATTCAAAAGCTATTACTTTAATTTTGGACTTAAAAAGCGTGTACACTACTGATAGGTACACTTATATCTTCATGTTTATCTGATGACAATTAAGGATCCCTGTTTGACTGCCAAAAAATATAACCATGCATTGAAACTTTTTTGTGGTTACACAACAAAATGTTAAAAGAAAACTCTTTTGTAACTGCTTAAAATGAATGAATAAAGATGAACTGAACAAAAATGATAAACAATTATGAAATCATTTTCTATTTAGAGTACAGTACTAGCCTGCAGGCAGATTTTTGAAAAAATTCTACTTACCAACCTATATTTTCATAGTACACATAGAAAAAAAGAACTAAGAACACATATAATCTACTACTTGTCTTAGGCATCAGGATAATAAAATTGTACATTTATTTAGATTGAATTAGTTTGGCCAAAATGAACAAATTGATCTTGATCAATTTAAATTTTAACAAAATAGTTTACCTCTTTTCATTTAGCTGTATGTGTTATACCTCTAATATCATTTGTTTCTACATGTAATATATTTCCAAAACAAGATTATCTTTTTGATTTACAGGTTGGTTGAAATTGCTGACATGGAAGGTCTTGCACTGAAAATTGGCAAGCTAAGACAAATTATCAATAGGATTTGCTCTGTAGGGCAGGAGCAAATAAGTGATCATCAACTCCAGGAGATTCTGCAGCAGATTAATCTGGTGAGAAAAACACTTTAAATGTCCATAAGCTCTTAAAATTTGTATTATTTTTATGCAGATAATTATTATGTAATGCCATTGTTTCCAGTATCCTTGCTTCTTTATAGACACAAAATGTCTAGTAAATTACTTCTCTGTTTTTGTCCAGTTTCCCTTTATTGGAAACTGGTTTATCTGTCAAATGTTATTTAACATCTACACCCGGCCCATTATTTCTATGGTTAGATGCATGCATGTAATGCATATGATCCATTGGAAGTTATGTTAAACATACTAAAACTAGAAACTAATTCATGTTGCATCTATTTCAAAATTGATTAGATGATATATACATATCTAAGATTTTTATCTTTTCAGGGGAGATAACTCTTAGAAAATGATGGAAAAATCTGAAATTTTATTTTGCCACAATATAGCTAGCTTGTGTATCTTGTCTTTGTATTTGTGTTTTTTGACTGATATTTCAGATATTCAACCACATCAGCAAATGTAGATTTTGTGGCAATTTCATCAGTGACACATTGGAGTTTGTAAATATAATAAATGTAAGTATGATATACAAATTGTAAACAGTTGCATTTATTTTCCCTTAATTTGTCCGTGCATGCATACATGTAGTCTATACAAAAGAAAAGGACACTGTAAGTCCATATTCAGGGAAAGCAATACTAAAATTGTTGTGCTTTTGTTATGAATCAATAAGAAGTTTTAAACTTTAAAATGCCCCACTGCTGTTCTGGTCCTATGACTAAGGCTTGCTTTAATTGCTTGAGGCATGTCTTCATGCAGTTATTTATGAACTGTAATAAAAAGTTTCTTAATTTCTTTCTTTCAGAACGTTGCTGATCTGTCACCCACAGGTTTGTAAAAAAAAATTGTCTGTTAAACAGGTGTACATGTGTACATGTGGTCTCTATCAATCATTTCTGCAAAGGTGATTTTTTTTATTCCTGAACACATGTCATTTTTACTCGAGCTACGTTGAAAACTTTCTTTAAATCATTCATGATTGGTATCTAGCATTTTCCAAATTCAATGCTGTTTTGGTCAAGGTAATACACAAATGAACAAAAATCCAGAGAAAGTCAAAAAAGAAAATTAACATTTAGACGATATATTCATCAATGAACATGGTTTATAAAATAACAGAAAATATGTTGTATTTTGATACCGAGAAATAGGGTTTTTTGTATTGTGTTTGTCAATGAATGAAGATTCATCCAGAATTTAAGAAATCTTAATAGGTTTGTAAAATGACCATCGGTTCATACCTACACCTATCACAGACAATTGTTGGGTGTCCATGTCCTGATTTGAATTGTCAATAAGTTGGACTGATGAGGTATGGTAAATAAGAATTTGTAAAGTTCATGCATTGTCTTTTTGTTAATGTCAATTTCATTCATGGCCAAGCTGGAACAACTCTAATTGTAAGCATGAAACTTGATGTGGAAACATGTTTTTTTTTCAATGTATTTTAATTAATGTAGGGGACTAAATAATTACTTCCATAAAAATATGGTGAAGTTTAAGGAAAAGTTTAACAATTATCATGCAATATATCTTGTTTTAAGCTGTTTTCTAAATTTTAAAAAGAAATATTCTTATATTATAATCATATTTTTCAAAAGTCCAAAGGACCAGTTAGGTTAGGTGATTCACTTGTCCTTGCTGAAATCTACTAGTCGAGGACTAGCAGACTAGTGTTAGTGTCGACCCCTGAAATGATGCATGTTAATGTCATAAAATTCAGTAATAATACAGTATATAATACTATATATATTTTTAGTCAAATCTGAAGTCGTATCCAGCTGCATTGTCCAAATTTTGGAGCTAATCACCAGAGGAGATGTCTCATTTGGCTTTAAAGTTGAGGTAAGAATCAACTTAAATGGTAAAAACAGAAAAGTAACATGTAATTATTCTTGTAAAGTTATGGTTTTTAATCTTAATATTTAATTTTAGGATTAAATAAAATAATTCATCACATACCTGTTGAATCTTGTTATAGTAATACAAGCAATTGTCAGACCATGAAATACAACGTTCTGTATTGCACATGTGCAATACGGAATGTTGTATTTACCTACTAGCCGGAACTACTTTTTTTATGGGAATCCCCTTGTCATGGCGAACTGAAAAGTTCCCGGTATTTGCAAAAAATATCAAAGTTTATAAAATCTTTGTATCGATCTCTACCAAATACGAAAGGTATGTGATAAAAGGAAGACTACACACTTGTGTTTTTTCAACGAATCAGAAAGCACTCATATATTGCGCGGACGTATATATTCATCCGCGCAATAAACTCATGCTTTCTGATTCGTTAGAAAACCACAAGTGTGTGGTCTTGCATATGTATATATTATTGATTCAGTCCCACTGTACACTGTCAGCTGTACAGGAAGATATGCTTTCTAGTGTCTCCCTAGGTTTTCTGTTCACGTTAATATTTAAGGCAACTTTTCTTTGTCCAGTCCTGAATACTGCTGTCATAAAATGTAGATAAGTCGTGACTTTGTGTCATAACATACATGTTTACTATGTGTTTTTATTAAACATTCAAAATGCCAGGAAGCCCTAGAGTATTAGTATACCCTTGTAATAGGAAACTTGCATTAAATGTTAATGTTAATTTAATTATCTTTAACAGCATTAGAAGTGAATTAATTTGATTTCAAAATGAAACTTGTCATATTAAATTTGAATTTAAAATAAAATGATTGAATTTATAACTTCCTCTGCCGAAATATTTGCTTAAAGCTTTTATTTATGATTTCAGATCCTCAAATTAACCAATGTGTTACTGGAAAACTGCCCAAATAGTACGAAAGAAAGTTTGTTGACACATGCAGTCTTTGAGAAGCTAATGTAAGTCAAAGTTCAATCCCTATCATTGTTATGACCTTTGTATATCAGGGGTTTTGCCAGCTATTTTGGGAAAGGGCCCCTGAGCAGGAAAAATATCATCCGTATTTGGGAGAATTATCATCAGTGTTCCCACATTTACTGGTTTGGGAAAATGTCGTAAGTTTGATGGGGAAAAAACCTGCAATATGATTATAGCAATAAGTTTTCCTCTAGCTGTTTCTTGCAGTAAAATGTAAAGCAATAAAGAAACAACGCAATTTTCAGTATTTTTGTTTATTCAGATTCAAATTTCATTATTTGTGTATTTTGAAGGCTCCTTCATTGATGGTGATAATTAGAACATTGCCCATATAATGACTGGGAACTTGTATAAACATGCATGCATGCTTTTTAATCCAATTGGGAAAATAAAGATAAATGGGTTCCTGTACCAGACCCTATATACATGTACTCTTCAAAATTTTGATAAAGAGACGATAATGGTATAGGGTGCATGCATCGATTCATCTTTCTGTCTGTCTCTTTGTCCACTCTTAAGTTACTGCAATCTAACTTGGTTTAATATTGTATGAAATTTTATCAGCATGCACAATATTTAATATCTAAGGATAAATTTGAAGTAGAGTTAAGTCCATACATAATTATTCAATATAGCATTTACTATGGTGTGATTTGTTGAAAGTTTCTGCACAATAGCTACATGTAGTATCAAATATGACCAGATTCTGATGAATGTTGATCAACACACAGGCAAGGGTCAATGTTTGAGGAAAATCTTTCTGTAACTAAATAGCAATCGGGGTTTTTGTTTGTTTTAATTGTTTATGATGAATTGGAATATGGGCAAAGGGAGGCAATCCCAAAACAATTAATTAGTGTCCTATTAAGGTTCCCCCATACCACTGCCAAAAACTGTAACTAACCATTGGAAACTGTTATTTCAGGCAAGGCTATAACTTTGACAAATAATTTTGAAAAAGAAAAGAAAAATTATCTTGCGGAACTTCAATGAGAAATAATAAAGAAGAAATAAACAAAATAAGATCTTCGGCAGGGCTAGCCCGGGAATCAAACCATGGACTTCGGATTGATATGCCATCGCTCTAGCTAATTATCCTACCTAGATAACAGAAGCGTCCTTGTCCAACTGTGCTTCAATTATATCGAAAGGGAAATTAAGGGGAGGTAACTGTATATAGGAAAAACACAGTGCAGTGGGATAAGGTTCCTTAACAGCTAATGTCGTTTAGGACTCTCACAACTAAATCATTTACTATATGTTATTACCAAACATTTTAGCTAATAACTTTAATATTTGAAGTTCAAAACTAGTGACAACTGTCTAGATTCATGAATACATACCTTGCAAAGGCTACAAAATGACTTTATTGGTAGGTTTAGTGGCATATTGGAGTGTCAAAGCGCCAAGAAGTTGACAACCGGAAGTTTACAAGCAAAACCGGTGACCCAAAACAGAAACGCCCCCAGACATTTTGCCCCTGTGCAAATTCGCACACAGACATGGAAATATATCAAAAGTATATATTTTTCAAAAGTGAAAAACCTGAACATTTCATTTATCTAAAAATCTGTCATCAGTTCCTTATTAAACTCCTTCAGTGGTCCAGTAAAAAGCCGGAACTAATTTCAGATAGGAACTACAAACGTATGAAACACTTGCTGATTGGCTGATTTAGTTGTGTGAGGATATATGTAAAAGTATAGGCCGTGTATATCGTGTGACTTCGGCTAATTTTATCATCCCAAGAGTTATGCCCCTTTATTCATTGTAAGGTTCAGTTTGTACATGTATGTTATTTTTAGTTTAGTGCCTATTTAACAGCTTAGGTCTTTTAAGGAGTATGTGCATCGTTGTTTGTTTTGTAACTATAATTGTGCACTTGAGATGGGGTATATGTTAGTGTATTTTTCTGTGTGGTAATGCAGACTGTAGAAATTGAAATGCATCATTCGAATGGTAGTCATGCAGTTTATATTTGTAAATTGTAAGTTTTTATAACCGTTATGTGGCAATAAAGGTAATTAAGACCATGCAGCTGGACTATTTCAGAATTTAATGTCTTGATGTTTAACCACAATAAAAAATGTGTTCAGAATATTTTGTCATTCAATTATAATCTGTGCAACAAAGGATATTCTAATTAAATAGTTTTCCAATGCTTTTATATTTGAAGTAAAAAGCTTCCTTTATATGGATTTAACAATTTCAGTTGTAGTAACAAGGTAAAATGGAATACTATATGTAATTAAGGTAAAATGTTGAAAATTTGGTAGGGGATAGGGTTTCTTTTGTTTATGATGAAGACATATGATGAACAGAAAATTTGGTCTTCCAATCAATGCATTGTATATATGGGAAATGACTGCAAATCAGATCAAAACATCGTTGATGGATCATGGCTTCTGCCAACCCATAGAAAAGCTTTTATCCAGGACTGAAATTTGGACATCTGTTTGAAATACATTGTAGTATTATTGTAAAGCCCACCATCATCAGTTATCACTTGCTCTCAAAAAGTATTTTATGGATCTTTCTCAAGTTTCTTAACTATGAAGGTTTCATAAATTAATAAGAAAATTTTCACACAATTTTTGATCTAAAGTTTCAACCCATTATTCAATTGTTTTATATTTCAAGATTATTCAGCATTTTGTTATCTTTACAAAAAAAGTACTGAAATGTCCAATGTTTAGGTAATTAATTAACTGCCCGGAAGATCAGTGCCAGTGGCAAATTGTGAAAGACAATTACATATTGTGTAAAATGTAGGATGTTTATATTTAGGTATACATTTATGCATAGAAATTATTCTTGGGGTCCTTTTTGTTACATGTACTTATATATACTTACAATTATATTTTGTAGGCTACAAATCAAGATGAATCGACAGGTGTCAGGGAAAGTAGTGGTTATAGGGCATAGTTTCATAAGTAGGTTGGGGAAGGGGGCTCCTTGCAACAGACAGGGGAGAGAGATTTCATATTAATTTTGGGTTGGAGGATGTCACAGTGAAACTATATGGGAAGCCGGGGGGGGGGGGGATTTGAGATGTATTGGACTTACAAGATAGGATGAGGGATTTTGGCCAAGGGAATGTCTTGACTTGCCAAGGTTCGATAGGGGAATGTTTATGGGGCTCCTGAGGTTATAGTGCTAAATAGGATAGATAGGTGGGGGTTGGTTCTGGTGGCCATTTTGAGGATACCTAGGAGGGCGCGCCTGAGGTCAGTCATCCTGGGGAGTATGGGGCTCATCGGGCCAACCTTAACTTGGCCCGGGCTTTCGCGATGAAGGAAACGATCTTTGATAAAAATCTTTGTCCTGACAATTCTTCCTTAACTACTAGGATGATTTCTGTAAAACTGGTTCATCTGGGCTAATAAGATTTGGTTTGCAAGTAATTAGTATGTTTTGGCATTGGGATGGAGTAGAGGAAATATATATGTCAGTGACCTAGCTATGTATGCTTAAATAAGTGTACAGCTTGGTCAATGAAGAAATCATTATTGGTGAAAGACTGAATTGCTTTGCAATGCTTTGCCTTAGTTAGCCTTTAGCTTACAGTTCTGGTTTATATAGGAGTGGAGGGTATTAGTTAGCCTTTGGCTTACAGTTCTAGTTTACAGGTGAAGAGGGTATTAGTTAGCCTCTGGCTCACATTTTATTTTGGCTATGTTTGAAGATCAGTGCTAGCGGATCATAAGTAGATGCCTTTTTAAACTATATAATGCTACGTTTCCTTTTTTTATGCTCCTAAATCTAATTATTTACTTCTGAATGATGCAATGCCAGACTGGTTTACAATGAAACATGCTAAAATTCAGTGATAATATCAAGTGAAATTGCAATCCGCATAAGTTCATTCCAGAAGGTCACTTGCCTGGCAGACGAGTTCTTTAAAAAGTTTTTATTGCCTTCTGTTTTTATGTGAGACAGTAGTCTTTTGATTACAGTTTAAGTTTCACTTACATTTCAACAATTCCTCAGTGCTTTGATTTATTTCCTTACCATAATCTTACAGATTTATTTAATACAATGTGTGTATATATTTATTCATAGAAAATGAAGCATTTTGAACTTGATTCATTAAAAGTATTAAGTGATGTACATGTTATCCCAATTATTTCATTGTTGTTCATGTGATTCATGTTTTGTTTAAGAAAATAATCACATTAGTGAATTTTGATTGAATTTCCTATTTCAGTGTAAAGTTTGGGAGACAGTTGGATACTGTTGGTGGTAGGTCTTTGAACATATTATAATTTTTCATAATACTTGAAAGATCAAAGCATAATTGAAGTCGATTTTTTTTCCACATTTTTTTCTAGCTTAAAATGCTGAATGATTTAATACATATATATACCTCCATAACTTTTAAATATTATTTTAAATTAATCAATTTGTATTTATAAAAGAATATAGATAAAAAGTAGTTGAATGTTATAAAAGATTGAAATACCACGGTTAATTTTCAGACTATGAGTACCAGGTTGGGTTGATTGAATGCTTATTCAGGATTATTCCAAAGAAATTTCGTCTGAAGTATGGCAAGCTTTTGTTCAGTGATGCATTGTTATTGGAACAATTCCTTGCTATCAAGGACCAAGATTTTGAAACCGTAAGTATTCATATAATTTAATTGAATTTTGTTAAAATTTTAATAAAATCAGAATCCCACTTTTATTTCTGGAATCTCGCCAAGTCATTTTGATAATGTAATATTTAAGGACACCTGCCCTTATAAATGTGCATCAATCATCTTTTGGCAAAGAAATACAAGTTTTATACATACATTGGGGTTTCTGAAATTTTGTATACCTCTGATGGAAGTTGGGGTAAATAGTATTTGCTTTATCCTTGTGGGTGTGTACATTCATGCTCATTGTGGTTTTCGGAGCAAATCTCTGCCATTTTTTCACAAATTTTGTGCATGGGAAGGCGGTGTATCACATGCTAAAACCATGTCACTGTTACCTCAGTTTGTCCTTTTACCTTGACCTTAAGTACTAAAATAATGGTTCCAAGACCATATCTCAGCTGCTGTTTCATGAACGGATATCAGAATTTATTAGATCAATATAGTTACATCATGTTCAGGTAGTGTGTCACATCTTAACACCAGGTCACTGTGCTGAGTTCAGGATGTAGGTCTCTGTGACCTTTTCTTATACCTTTGACTTCCAGCTTTGGAAAGGTTTGTCTGGGGTATATCTTCTGTACTATTTGACCTGGAGTAACCATATTTGGTATGCAAGTACATCTTGGGATGGCAGAGTTCAAAGTTTGAGAAATAGGTCACTGTGACCTATGCTTGGACCTTTGACCTTAACCTTTTAAAAGGTTTGTCCAGGTATATCTTTAGTCTTACTATTTTATTATGCCCCCACCATAAAATGGAGGGAAGTCTATTTTATTATGCCCCCACCATAAAATGGAGGGGCATATAGTGTTGCCCATGTCCGTCCCGTCGCGATTCAATGTAAACACCTGTTTCGATTCAATGTAAACACTTAGCAACTTCATTCTTTGACAGATATTGGTCAAACTTTATACAAAGGTCAAGTATGAGTATACTTGGGACATCATTGTGTTTAAGGGATCCAAGGTCAAGGCCAAGGTCACACTTGCTATATATAGAAAATCATCAACTGATTCAATTTAAACACTTATCAACTTCATTCTTCCACAGATTTTGGTCAACTTCATTCTTTCACAGATTTTGGTAAAACTTTATATAAAGGTCAAGTATGGGTATACCTCTACATCCTTGTGGTTCAGGATGGTAATAACATACAGGAAAAAACATATGAATATTAAAATCAACTTATCAACTTTAAGTGTAGTACCTTGTGTGTGTGCATGTTTCAGGGTATCAAGATCAAAGTGGTTGTAACTTTTTATAGAACACTGAAACTAATTTCACATGGGGGGGGCATTTATGTTTTATAGACATTTTCTAGTTATGGAACAAGTTGGTATCATCAAGTACATCTTCAATTCACGAAAAGTAGGTCACTGTGACACACATTAACATTTGATCTCAGTTCTTCTATACTTGTCTTGAAGTAACCAAAGTAGGCATACAGATGTATCTTGAGATGACAGAATTGATTCACTGTACTTAAAGCAAGTCACTGTGATCTTTATATTGACCTCTCAGATGTCAAACATTGGAAAAAGTGCCCTTTTCTCTATTAGGACACTTTATTTACAAAAGGATGTTCCTGAGATAGGTATACATCTTGGTAAATGAAGAAATCATTACTGCTGCTTGCCTAGTATTATTGATATAATAAGTGAGTTTTACATTGTAATTCCAGGATTGCAGAACTTTTCTGAATGATTACAACAGTGATGCAAGTCAGAAACAAAGGTAAGCAAGTCAGAAACAAAGGTAAGAACTCTGGTATTTATAAATTTAAATGTATAGCACATCTATTCTCAAACTTCGAAACACCAGAAGGATGGCGCTTAATATGGAAAATAGTGGTGAAGCTTTAAATCATGATCACCACTCCAAATACTACTACACATTTTTAGCCCATCACATGTACATCAGATGGTGGGCTGATCAAATTTGTGGTCCGTTGTTTGTCCGCCCTTTAACAATTATTGCTATGGCTATTTATCAAAAAGTGCCTGGGAGATTTTTCTTAGATTTTATATGTAGGTTCCTCATGGTCCATAATTGTACATGTTTTATTTTGGGACTGATAAGAAAAACAAGATGGCCACCAGACAGCCATTTTGGAGTTTGTTATCATTATCCCTAAAGAAGTAAACTTAATGAACAATGACCTCACTTTGAAAGAGCACTTTCAATCAAAAGTTACATGATACAATAATTGTTGAAAAGACTTGATCAATCCAACAGATAAGAAAATTAATTGTTGAAAAGACTTAGGTAATCAATCCAACAGATAAGAGAAAAGAAGAGAAATGAAGGAAAACTATCATACTTACATAAAAGTAATGAAGATTCTACACAACTGTCACAACTTTCCGCTGTACAATTTTATATAAACCAATGTGGTTGTACCTCTTTGGGTATAGCCATAGTGCTGGCCAAATGTATATAAAGAATGAATAAAGATGATTCTAGACCAGTTTTGGTATAAAAAAAAAACCTATTTAAAACCCTTTCACCACCGTAGACCAGAATAGATGCGTCCCCATCAATGCATGGTAGTGTCTACTAAAGTAACATAGGGGTGAAAGGGTTAATGAATTACAAATATACAGGAATATGAACATTAACAGTATTTTGTTCTGTGCTTGGCTTCTGACCTGAATATATACATTTGATTTGTATGTAATTCAGACCTATATATGGGCCTCTTGGTACGATTTAAAATTTGTAATTGTCAAATGAGACCATGAATAGTAATAAAATTGTGATTGTCCTTTTCAGAGTGAGGTCCATTCCCTGCATTTCTGCATTTCTTGGAGATCGTGAGGTAACCATAATATTTTTCCGCATCACCACTACATGTACATGACGTTCTTGAAGCCTTGATTTTGTTATACTATCACAAGTAGTCATTCCAATATCGGAATTTCTGTTACAATTGCTGATCATGCATGAATATCATTACAAATTCGAATGAATGACTAACCTTTTATTCTGAAGGTCTACCATCAAATCCTTGTGTCTGTTTATCCCATATACTTGTGTGTGTTTCACTGATCAACAATGTATTAAATATATGTCACCCTTGTTAAAGAGTAACCACTTCCTGTCTTCTCAACAAGCTAAGGGAGAAATTTCTAGCTCAGTCGGTAGAGTGTCAGTCTTGTAAACCAGAGAACCCAGGTTTCATCACCAGCAGATGAAATGAGAAATAATTACATTTGATACACTGGTGCCACATAGGGATCTGGGAAATGAAATATTTTGGTATGACAATGCCTTGAGCAAGGTCGCATTTATGTCCGTTACACTCTTTGTCATCACTCTAACGACTTCATTCCTCAACAGAATTTCATGAAACTTCATACAAGTGTTTGGTTTGGCAATGCCTTGAACAAGTTGAACAGGTTTCTATGTTGGAGGTCAAGGTCACTGTTACTATTTTTAGAAAAACTTTGTCATCGCTCTAGCGACTGCATTCCTAAACAGAATTTCATGAAACTTCATACAAGTGTTTGGTATGACAATACCTTGAACAATTTGTGTTTCAGGTTACTGTGTGGAAGCTCAAGGTCACTATTACTATTTCTAGAATCACTTCGTCATCGCTCTATCGACTTCATTCCTCAACGGAATTTCGTGAAACTTGGTACAATTGTTTGCCATGACAATACCTTCAACAGATGCAGTTGCTCACTAGAGCAGTTACGGTTACATCATTGAATGTTCTATTCATTTCCTCACATATATGGCACACTATGTGTGAATGCAAGGGGATTTGTATCATTTGTGATGCCTTGTTTTCAATTGTATGACTAAGCTTTTAATAGACTCTGAATTGTAAAACAAAAAACATGTTGTTATGTCAAGAGGTCAAAATTGTATTGACGGAATTATTTTCCAAGTTAAACATTTTTTGTTTATTTATTTTCAGCTTAAAAAACCAAATGATCCTGGTTATGATTACTTTTGGGTGGATTTCAACTATGGAAGTGGAAGACTTACAATTTTCTGTGAAGATTACAGTGCGGGCAGTCAGGTAAAGAAATAGTACTATATGGCAGCAGTTTAAATGATTGACATATCTTAAGTGGGAAGTTATAGGCATGTGGTTTTAATAGACAGGTGTTCATAAAGGCAAGCTACACCAAGATATATAAATTCCTTAAAATGATTTTTTTTTTATTTAATGTTCAATTGATTTAAATTCAGAAACTTCTTTTCTGAAAAACAAAACAAAAAAGAATAAAGGTTTGTCAACTAAATTCCAATCAGTTAAAACAAATTACATTTATGAGCTGCTTTTGGTGTGATGTCCCATTTGTAAGAGAACATAATGGTGGAATCAAGCAATTTTTACATTTTTATATGAATTACAGTGTATATTGTGATATTTTCATGTAGGTTAATTTTTGCAAATTTCTGGAGAAATGACTGCATTTTTTGTTTTTACTGGTCTATGCACAAAAATATGACTACCGTAAAAATAGTTGCTCTTCAATAATCGTGAAGAAGAATAAACAGAAATAATGGAATCAATGTGTCAGCATTAAAGGTATTCACTACAAAAATAGAACTGTCTAGATTATTGCCACAGGCGGGAGACCTCGTCAGCTTTTGTAAACACATTTCAGGTAATCTGGTACTCTGACATAAGGGCTATTTTACAGGTGTTAAATGTTTATATGTATGGTTTTTGCAAATATGAAGCTTTTTGCAAAACAAACAAAAAAATAACCACAGTAAAAATATCCCAATTAACAGTAACACAAAATATTTTTTTAATATTTCCATCTTTATGCCAACTGTTTTATTGAGACAAGATGTCATCTAATTCCTCGGCAAATCTCATTCCTTGTAACAAGTACATATTTTGCCATTGTGTTCTTATTTCAAAAACAGGATTTTTCTGATGACGGATCTTGGGAAACCCTGTCTGTTTGGAAGTCTGATGTGCAGCGATACAAAGTAACTGGCAAGTACAATTTACGGTTTTGATATCCAACCTCTATCGTTACAAAATAAAAATGAATCTTGAAAAGACTGCTGTTTCTTTTATACAGTCTGTCATAGATAGATATGAGGGATATGGATAATCTACCCATAAGTGAAGAATTAGGGTCAGAGACCAAGGTTCTGACACTTCATTCTACACTAGGGAGTAGAATTTTCATTTCCCATAAATTCACATCTTTCCAAAGTTTTGGTAAAACACTTCATTAAGACAACGCAAATACAACACTAAATTTTAAGGAAAATTTCTAGATTACGTACCTTTACAAAAACTAAGGCCGTGTAGTAGGAAATAACAGAAAAAAAACATTGTATACAATTTAAGTAAGACGTGAGGACAAGCCTGTGCCAATAATCCTTTACTTTAATGATGTTGCTACAATTTGACGGTCTTTTGATTGTGATGTTCCAGTAAAATGTCATTTTCTGATTGTGGTAGTAAAGGTCACTGAGTGCAGATACATCCACATGAGTTTTACACAAGACTAGGTGGAAGAAAACTTCATTCTTTGCTTTTAACTTCATGGTTGGCTGTCTATTAGCTCCACAAGATTCCAACCAGAACAGCATCTTTGATGATCTCTGACAGTTTTCATTACAAATCCTATCCACAAATATGACTTCAAATTCTTATGCTCCCCAAAAATATTTGTGGGGAGCATATAGTTGCCGCTATGTCCGTCCGTCCTCTTCGTGTTTGGAGCATAACTTTGCCTACAGTAAAGCTAGGATCATGAATCTTGGTGTGTACATCAGTCATACTAAGGTGATGTGCACTGTACCAAATTTAGGGCCCACAACCCCTTATTTACAAAGTCATTGCCCTTTTTGGCTAAAATGTTGTATATGGAGCATAACTTTGCCCGCATTTAAGACAGGACCATGAAACTTTCACTTGGTTTGTACATTAGTCATACATGGACAATGTGCACGGTACCAAATTCCGGGCCCACAACCCCCTTAATAACAGAGTTATTGCCCTTTCGTAAAATGTTGTGTCCGGAGCATTACTTTGCCTACAGTTAAGCTAGGATCATGAATCTTGGTGTGTACATCAGTCATACTAAGGTGATGTGCACTGTACTGTATTCAGGGACTGCAGCCCCTTAATAATAGAGTTATTGCCCTTTGCTAAAAAATCAGACACATAAACATGTATGTATGTTAAAACATTAATTTTCTTCTTCCAAACTCCCCATTTCAACATAATTTATTTTGTTTTGTTTTGCAGCTGAAGAAGACTGTCATCATCTGGATGTTGAGCTTATAAATCCAATTCCAACTTTGTATCCAAGTCAAACGGGTGTCTCGGGTAAGATAGTGTCATTTACCTTTGACAGTGTGTGGAGAATGGAAGAGGCTGCTGTACAAACATTTGGCGGTGACAAATGGTTCAAAAAGGTAATTCTATCTGAATCATAAAATAATTAATCAAATAGATTTAGGTAGCAGAGTACAGTAGAAATGGCCCGACTCTGATAAACAAGGCACATGTCGAGGAAATGTAAACACAGCGGATTTACCCTACACAACACATGTATACATGTATATATATTTGTAAACTGCATTACATTTACAATACATATAAAGTACTGAGAAGTGTATAAACCTCTTTTTTCTATGTATGTCACTTTTGTGAAAACCATGGTTACCACATCAAAAATTACCAAAAAATGCCAAAAAATGCTATTTTTAACCCAAAATTTGACCCCCGCAAGTAGTAATTTTTTTCCTAAGCTCTGTCTGAAATTAAAGATTACCTACCTGGTTGCAGAATTATCTGGGTCGCAGTAAAATTGTAGAACTTGATTTTTTGCAATTTTGCGTCGTGTGCTGTTGTCAAAATTTTACCTCCTGTAAAGCTAGCTTTTCATGTGTACGCACCCTTTCGTATTATGGCCAAAATTTTATTCTCGAACCAAAGAAATCTTCTTTCTTTTTTACAAATGTGAAGCTCACATAGCCCACTTCATCATGCTTATACCAATTTTAGTACAGTTTTATTTTTATATTTTTTTTACATATCATTATACAGGGGTTAGCCATTTAACAAAAATATCACCCATGGCCACAACCCTCTACTGTACACTGCTACCTTATAACAATATTTTCCTAAAGTTTAATGTTTTTCTTTGGAAATTTTACTTTGTTTAACGACATTAGACATTTGTTTGTTTAACATCATTAGACATTTGTTTAGGTATTAATACATATGTGAAGCTATGTTTGGTCATGAAGAATATTGTAGATGTTATGCCTCTTTTATCAGATGTGTTGTACAGCTTTGCAATTCTCCATTGATAAACTGATTTCTTCGAAATTTTGGGCATCAATACTATGTTACATGTGAGCCTGTGCTTATGTAACTATATATTTCTCTGTTGTCATATATATCAAAGACACATCTGAAGATTAACATTCATCATATTGAATGTCACTACATGAACGGGTAGGTATGTTTATTGTAAAAGGTAGCAATAACCTTATTAAATCCACAATTTAGTGCTGAAGAGGTGTAGGGTTATGAAATGTTAGCCTGTGGCTTACAGTTCTAGTTACTATAGTATAACTGACTTATCTGGGAGTGGTCACTTTATTCATATATTGTTGCATTTTCCTATATTTATTCTTTTACAGCCTTCAAAAACAAAGGTGTCTTTACCTACCACTTCAGTATGTGTAAGAGCAAGTGACAGCCCAGATTTTGAAATGGTTTGTATTGAAACTTTTATGTTATCAACAAGTTAATCATTTTATCATTTTATTCCTAAATTGTTTCAGTAGTACAAATTGTATTTATAGCTTTGAAAACCTTCTGCAATGAAAATATAATATTTTTTAAAGCCTATTGGAATACATTAAGGGAAAATCATTTGTTTTAAACGTCAATACTGCAGATAAGAACAGGAAATTTGGGTAAAACTCAAGACTGATGTTCTAATTGCCAGTGTGTATAGACACAAAAAAATAACATACTTATATTCCCTGACTATTAAACACTATAACAAATACTAAGCTCTTAGTTTTAGAAACCATAAAATGTATCAAGATTTCTGACCTTTAACATCAGTCCAACTACATCTGTCCATATGACATCTTAGTTAATACTTTGCATTTAGTGCATTTAGGTCCCTTTCTCTGACGTAGTACATTAGTCCAACAGTCCTTTAACTTTATAAGCAAATACATCTAAAGGAGTACTTGCTCTATTTGTGTGGTTTGACTGTGTTAAGCTTCATTTCTATAATATTGCAACTATATCCCATAGTCATCTAACTTTCCATGCAGATACTTCTTGGCAAGTACTACACACCATAAGACATTGATTTCAATTAGACTTTGTGTTTAGCTCCATTACTCTTAAAGTAGAAGTGCAACAGTCATCAAATGTCATGTAGATACAATCTGGAGTACTAGAGCAAAACATTAAATTCAGATCACAGTGACCTTTATTTTCTTTGGTTACATTAAACATTCATCTCTTTGGTTAGACTTTAAGTTGACTGTATTTGCCATAATTAGCACTCCTCCCCCTATAAGCACCCCCTCCCTTTTTGGGGAGAAATTGAAACTATATAGACTGTCTGGTGACAAGGCTGGACTTGAAGTGGATGAACAAATTCATTTTCAGTACTCTGGCCTCATAAGAATGTTTATAATGTACTTTGATGATTATAACTGGATAAAGTTGAATATTTTTTTCAATCATAACTCATTAACTATTCTATTATTCCAATAAATGCCCCCTTTAAGGCAATTTTTTAAGCTCCCTGGGCACCAGTTATGGCAAATATGGTAGCTCTATTGCAATCATAGTTGCAGCAATGGTATGTGTCTGTTTTAAAAACATTATCTAGTTTATCATGATTTTACTTTGGTTAAATTGTTCTTAAGTGTATATAAGTACTGTGCTGTCATATTACCACACTGTTTTACTGAGCTCATAACTAAGAGTCGACATTCATGTGTATTTTAAAGGATAGTAACTATGATGAACTGGATGAAGAGATTGGGACTTTTCAAGAGCCATCTGTAGACCAGGATTGTCTACCAAAATTCTTCATGCCAGCACAACCTACCAGGGTGAAAGTATCTGTGCCATGTGTTGCTGTTGTTGTAGACAGTTCCCAGAATTCTGTGATGGAGCCAGCACAAGCTATTGCTATGAAGTATGTGCAGTCATTGCAGGCACAGGGAATAGGTAACAACACCTCTGAACCAGAGGAGGGAACATGTCCAGATGATGATCTCGAAGGTGTATCCCTTGGTGATGAAAAATCCAGTCCTATTTCATCTAAGGTGTCTGAGCCAGTATCATGCATTAATCTGGGATTTGGAAATGTGGCGAAAAAGGCTCATCAAAAATCTGCAGGTAAAATGAAAAACACAATAAACCAAAAGGTCTTTTAAAACACAATAAACCAAAAGGTCTTTTTTATTTTTTGCTTGGCTTGCATAAAAATATTAGAATGTCTGTAGGTTTGTGATGCAGTATCTGTCACCAATCTGGTCATTGACAATTTTATAGCTTACATAATCAGATAGTGTGCAGGGGCTGTTGTGATCGCTCCCATGGTAGGTTGCCATTAGTTCATTTTTGTGCTTTGTATATTTTGAAATTGATCAGAAAAACAAGATGGCTGCCAAAAACCATCTTAGATTTTGATATTTATGGTTTGTTAACTTATTTCTCAGAAAATCTTAGAGAGATCTTCCTTGAATTTCCCATTCGTGTAGGTCCATGTGGAAGTTTACTTTTGTGACTAACCTAATATACAAGAACGCTGCTAGGCAGCCATCTCGCTATTTGACAGTGAAAGTTTGTTATTGTTTCCCCAAGTAATTGTCAAATTTACCAAAAGATGCCTTTATTTTTGACATGATTATCAATCTTACAGAAAATAGGAAACACTATCAAATTTACAAAGAACTTATTATGAAAAGCATATAATTGTTGGTGCCAAAGTCCATCTTTTATCTAAAACATCTTCTTCAAAAGAACTAAAACATCCAGGGTGACGATAATGAACATATTATTTGCAAGGGCTGAGCACTGTCAAATTTGTTCAATATATTTCCTTAACCCTTTCACCCCTATGTAACTTTAGTAGACTCTACCATGCATTGATATGGATGAGTCCATTATGGTCTACAGTGTTGAAAGGGTTAACCCACTTTCAAAGTCGATGCATTAAAAATGTTTTTAAAAAAATCACAATTGTTGTATTAAATGATATTTGGCCATTAATTTGATGAGGTGATGGGCAGCAGGATTTCTCATATATAAACTATACCTTGACTAACATCCAAGGTCAAAAAGGGCTAATAGTTTTGTAAAACTCAATGACTTTGACCTACAAACAAGGTCAGAGGGGTAAATAATTATATACAATCTTCCACTGACCAACAAATGAATCATTGAATCTAGAATTTACCAATTAGAAGGTTTCTGAGGTAAGGAGTTATCGAATTTAGCAAAGTAAATTATCCGGATTCAGATGCAAGACCACAGAGGTCAAATGTGTACAAGTCCTACAACAAACCATAGGGCATTGAGTCGGTATATGTAATCAGGCTTTAGCTTTCTGAAGTGAAGGGCTCATATATCCCAAAATGTGCCCTTACCAGTGTTCTCCCTCACTTTTAGAATAGGTTTTAAAAAATACTGTGTTCGTGAGTGTTCACATTGGTATGATAATAACCTATATGCAGAAAAAATTACAAGGTTCGTACTTGATGAATACCAGGCTGTTTTTACCGGCAACCAACTTTTAATGAGAACGCTTCATATATATATGTTCATATATATTCATTGTCACAGGGGTTAAATGTGTTGAAAAATTTAAAAACTTCTTTTTTTAAGAATTATAATGCCTAGAATAAAGATATTTGGCCTGTAGCTTATTTAAGTGAAGGCTGTTCAAATTCAATGTTGTTTAAATACATGATATGATATCAATATAGCCTCTTAGCCCTTAAGTCAAAAGTATGAAATAGCAGCTAGGTGAACGATCCAGGCCCTATAGGTGTCTTGCTAAGGCATAACAAGAAATTACATTAATACTTTGATACTAAATATCACAAGAACTTATATTAACTCAAACTTGTAATGTGTGTAGAAAACTTGGGCATTTAGTAAAATTTGCAATTTTCACAAGACTTTCTGCCATTGTCTCTTGAAAAGTGCAATAACTTGGACTTGGACTTGGATTTTCATCACAATATTTGCAAACGTTATTCTGATTTTGCAGGAATACCTACCCCTAAAACGCCAACCAATAGAGGTCTATCGAAAGTGAAGGTAAAAACACCTGTAGCTGTATTGACACCAAATGAAGGTACAAAGAGCAGGAAGACTTTGAAAAAGAAACTGTCAACAGCTAAACCTTCAAGAAAATCTTCTAAATCTCAAGGTTAGAAAATTGCACTTTTTTGCCTGGCATATCATAATGACATTGAACTGAAATCAAGTCTACATGTGATACATATCTGTCTGTTGTGAAGATGCTTGATTATCAAGTTTATTCAATTAACGACATTGATCTTGGTGACAAGGCCACACTCTGGTCAATGTATTTAAAACTTCTCACAACTTCTCTCAAGAATGTTGATCTTCATTCAAGGTCACAGAGAATGAAGTGTTAAAATCTTGGAACCACATCTTTTAACATACCATGGCATCTCCAGTAATGAAATGTGTCCTGTTGATTGCTGGATAGGTCCATGTGTTTGCCAGGAGGCACGGTGGTCTAGTGGTAGGACGCCGGCTCGTGACCGAAGGGTTGCGGGTTCGAGTCACAGCACGGCACTGTGTTGCATTGTATCTTTGAGCAAGATACTTTACTCTGCTTGTTCAAGTCTACTCAGCTGTAAATGAGTATGTGGTTGGGCAGTGCTAGAATTGTTGAATGCTAGCTGTGAGCGCTGAAATGGCAGCACCAGCTGTATGCTCCCCAGGGAGGTTAGAATGATATAGGCTGGTTGCAAAGGCCCTATAACAACGGATAATAATTTGTGAACCGCTTTGAGATGACCTACGAACTAGGTTGTGATAAAGTGGTATATAAAACCTCAAATTAATATTATTATTATTATTTGTTCAAATGGATAACATTGACAATTTTAGATCACAGGCCATATATGCTGAAAACTTGAAAAAATAAATATAAGGTCATCTACAGTACAAGAAACCATGAGAGCTAGAATGATAATAGTTGGCCTGCAGCTTGCCGGGATGTTAGTGCTTTAGATCTTGTTAAATTGAGTGTCCAAATTTTAAGGAAGAGTTCTTGAGAACTACAAGACCTTTAAGGATAAGCTTGCTTGCCGAAAAGCTAACAAAATTATATATATTGTCCCAACCAGAATCTAGAGTTGAAATGTTTTAAAACCAGCACTTTGGTATGAAAATATTTTATCAACACCATTAAGGATCCCTGTCCCACTTCACTCTGGTTTTCTGTATATACACATTACATCCCCTTTATTTCGTTACGGATATATCTGCATGAGCACAGTTGGACCAGGACACTTCTGTTGACCAGGTAGCTCAGTTAGTTAGAATCTTCAGCCCACGGTTCAAATCCAGGTCTAGCTCTTCTGAATTTTTACACTCGGAACACTGTTGTTGATTAAATTTATTTTGTTTCACCTTTCTCATTTTTCATACAAGTTCTGCAAGGAATATGGTTTTCTTTTCAAAAAATGATTATCAAATTAAGCTATAGTCATGTTGCAAAAAGTGTCGGATGCATAGCTACAGTTTCTGACGGTGGTACGGGGATCTATAAGTAATAGTTGAGTGATACAGACACCTTTGGCCTCTTATTCTAGAAAGTCTTTAATCCAGGGTTATGAAAGAGCATTTACAGTAGGACATAACCAGGAGACCCAAATAGAGTGTTTGATTTTGTAATTTGTTACAATTTCACTATTTCTTTGTAAAATTATTGTGTTTGACAATGTGAATGTACAAAAGGGTAACTGCTTGTATGTACATTTTACTCATATGCTTCAAATTGACAAGATTCTTATTTAATAGTATGAAATCACAGTATTAGAGTTGAAAGAGGAATGTCATTCTTTCTGTTTTATTTTAAAGAAAAACATGCTATGAAAACAGTAGCAGCGAAAGAAAATGAATCCATTTCCTTCCCTGATTCTTGTCCAGGAAATGATGACAACAAAAAAGTACATGCTGAACAGAAGTAAGTTTATGTGATTGTTCAAACAGATTCTTCTATTCTTTATTATTAAAATTCATATGATATCACAATGTGGAAATTATACTTCCTTTTTTGGGTCACCTGACCTTTAGCTCAAGTGACCTATTGCTATCCCTCTTCGTCCGCCGTGTCCGTCGTCCGTTAACATTTTACATTTTCAACTTAAGGTGGCTCCACACTTTCGCAATTAACCAGCAAAATTCGTTGAAACTTTCATATAATTGTTATGCAACTATGTCGAGTTGATTTTATGAAAATCTCAACATTCCGATAGTTTGGGGAATTTTTTGGAAAAAATACCAAAAAATTGAATTTTCGTCAATTCTAATATTTTCCGGTTTTTTTTGTGTGTGGCATTGTTCGGAACAATAACAACAATAATAAAATGAAAAGAAGCATTTCTAATTAACCCTACAAATATTTTATTTATCGCAAAATATGTAACACATGTTACACAAAGTGTTTTTTATTGAATTTGTACGGATAAAAGTGATTATCTACAAGCTAAAAGCACCCAGGACACAAAGTTCTATACATATAGAGTGGGAAATTGAACAAAATATACACAATGGCTTTATAATTAATTTATTTTACATTTTACAATCACTTTGATCCGGGTGAGAGTTATCTTCCTTGAAAAAAATCGGAACTTTTTGCAGAGGGGTGACATTTACACAATGACAGTTGTCTCTGTTTACATATAACAAAAATGATGGAAATAAATCAAAAATATGATATCAAAATTATCAATTTATTGTTCTTTAATGGAACCAAATTACCCTCAGTCATGTACACTTTGGACATCATTCCACAGTCCGCTAACTCACGGTATATTTATAATTACATGTCAGACCAGAGGCTATCGCATGGTATACCGTTCTCACGTGCACTCACACATGCATTTCATAGGTATCTTGATATTTTACAAAACATTATTTTCACAGAGTAAGCTAGTAGACTACATTTGTAAACACGATTTAATCGACAGAGCGAAACTCCCTCAACAGCGAAAATCGTAACGACCTCGAGCTTATGAACTCGTGTAAACACGCGATATGCACATGTGAGGTTGGTACGTCCGCATTCCATGTGTTTCCTATATGACCTTCTTGAGGTCGTCTGGTCTCATGTCACTGTCTTCCCGTGAGTCTGTTTATGTCTATGAATTGGAAAGCTTTATTCCTGAAGTACGTGTGAGTATACATTTCCCGGTAAAATCTTGATATCGGGTGTTGACATATCATCGGCACGCACGTGTACTATTGTTTACCATGGGCCTGTTCGTTTATGCGGAACAACCGGTTTGACCGTTTATAAATGTAACAATTTCGGGTGTAAATCCTGGCGGACCTGCAAATGTGTATGCAGGCCTTGCAAGGCTTTCTCAAGACTCGCCTGAAAGCAGCATCAGATTACTAGGTCCGACCTTATTTAATAAACGAACAACAGTGGTCCGATCGGTTTGACCGTTTAAACGAAAACGGCCCAGCAGGTGTTACTATAATTTGCACTACGATATTGAATGCCCGATACGCAATACGGAAATGACGACACGGTGTACATGCACATTTCGATTAAGATAATTGAGTCCTAGCTGTACTTTTTCCGGAAGTATGTCACGAAAATGGACGCTGATGACGATGTGTCGAGCCACCTTAAGCTGAAATACTGACCAAGGGATTCTCCCTGACCAAGTGTTGTTATTTTTCGGGTCAATCAGAAATCAAATATGGCCACCACAGCCGCCATTTTGAAAACTATTTCAAACTTAAAGTAGAGTTCTGCTGGGCCGATTGAACTGAAACTTGGTAGGAATGATCGACTCATGATCCTGACAAAGTGTTGTTATGTTTTTTTTTGTGTCAATCAGAAATCCAATATGGCCACCACTGCCGCCATTTTGATAAACTATTTCAAACTTAAAGTCAAGTTCTGCTGGGCTGATTGAACTGAAATTTGGTAGGAATGATCCACTCATGGTACTGACAAAGTGTTGTTATTTTTCGGGTCGATCAGAAATCCAATATGGCCGCCACTGCCGCCATTTTGAAAAACTATTTCAAACTTAAAGTCAAGTTCTGCTGGGCTGATTGAACTGAAATTTGGTAGGAATGATCCACTCATGGTACTGACAAAGTGTTGTTATTTTTCGGGTCGATCAGAAATCCAATATGGCCGCCACTGCCGCCATTTTGAAAAACTATTTCAAACTTAAAGTCAAGTTCTGCTGGGCTGATTGAACTGAAATTTGGTAGGAATGATCCACTCATGGTACTGACAAAGTGTTGTTATTTTTCGGGTCGATCAGAAATCCAATATGGCCGCCACTGCCGCCATTTTGAAAAACTATTTCAAACTTAAAGTCAAGTTCTGCTGGGCTGATTGAACTGAAATTTGGTAGGAATGATCCACTCATGGTACTGACAAAGTGTTGTTATTTTTCGGGTCGATCAGAAATCCAATATGGCCGCCACTGCCGCCATTTTGAAAAACTATTTCAAACTTAAAGTCAAGTTCTGCTGGGCTGATTGAACTGAAATTTGGTAGGAATGATCCACTCATGGTACTGACAAAGTGTTGTTATTTTTCGGGTCGATCAGAAATCCAATATGGCCGCCACTGCCGCCATTTTGAAAAACTATTTCAAACTTAAAGTCAAGTTCTGCTGGGCTGATTGAACTGAAACTTTGTAGGAATGATCTAAGTTCTAATAGGCTGATCTAACTGAAAATCGGTCTAGGACAGATCAGCTCATGGTCCTGACAAACTTAAGTTAACGTTATACTTAACAATTTTTTACTCAAATTTATTATGGTTTATAATGGCAAATGATACTTTGAATATTACATGTTAATAGCTTGATTGGAACTATAACCCTGAGTTGACAGTTTGATACTTTGAAAATTTTGAGCCAGCTCTACCCCCAAGGGCTGTAGGATGGGGCCCAAAGGAGTCAGTGTACTAAAATTTCTTCATTTTCCTTGTTTAGAATCAGAGGTGCTAGTTTCAAATACTTTTTAGTCTTAAATCTGTATGCTAGATATTGAATAAGGTGGTTTTATTGTTTTTTTGTCACTGAATAATATTTCTGTTCGTGTTAAAAACAAAATCAACTCTCTGTATAAATATATCAGGTGACCGTTAAGGCCCATGGGCCTCTTGTTATATATTGTAGTGATTTTAGAAGTTATGGGTACATGAAAAAATTAAAGTTGTCATAGGTAAACAAAAATGATAAGTTTAATGATGTCTGAATGTAGTATGCAATATTCATATATAATAGCATAGAAATAATTTTACCAGAGCTACACTAGTTTTGGTATAAATAGTCAATATCAACAAAAATATACTATTAAATGTTGTTTTGTACATTTATTGTTTTTTCTGAAACAATTTTCTATTGTAATTCCAGGACCAAAACAAACTGTCAGAGCAGAGCTAACATTGTCCAGAAAAAGCAGCCATGTGATGCTAAGAGACCAAGGAAAGCTAAGAACAATTCTTCAAGTAGCACCATTTCTGATACAGCTGTTGACTCTGAACCTAAAGACAATTCAACTGAAAATGCTTCAAACAAATCAAAAGTAGAACAACTGAAGACTAGAAAGCAGAGGAATGCCCAAGAAAAGGAGCATGATAGCAATATACTTAAAACTGTTCAAAAGAAATCTACAGAACTTGAAGCTACCAAACAGGACTTTGCATTTAGTTCACAAGACAGTCTTATCAATGAGAACACATGCGAAGAGATCTATTCCATGGAGCAGGATGGCTTGTCTTTCACAGAAGAATGTGACAAAGATGTCCAGTGTTCAATGAAAGGCTCTGATAACAAAACATCTAAAGTGTGTGCAGAAAAAGACAGTCAACATTCTTTTACAACTAATGTAGACAATACCAATAGAAAGAAAAAAGAAAATTCCAAAGTTATCAAAGAAAAAGAACAAATCTCCAAGAAGAAAAGATCAAAATCAAAAAGAGGAAAAGACCTGAAAATTGATAAAGATATACCTGATCAGGGGATCCAAAATGATAATGAAGTTGATGTTATTCAGAGCTCTTGTGATTTTGAAAAGTTTGAAAATGGACAAAAATCCAAAACTGCAAATAACAATGAACCTGTTGACCAAGATTTTAACTGTGGAGTGAACAAAATTGCTGCTGACAATAAAAAAGCCCAAGAAAGATCCAATGATAAAAGCAAAAACAGAACAACTAGCAAAACTATCTCGGAAAAGTCTGACGCTAGCGTTTTAGATTGTGATACTGAAGATTTCATTCAAAACATGAATGTCAGTGCAACATTTGGAAAAGGAAATCGTAAAAAGAAATTAAGCAAATTAAACAATGCTCAAGATGTTGACAAAATGATTGAGCAAACAAAAACTGGATACACTTGCTCTGATAATGATAACCCCATTGAGGATTCAGTGGATACCCCTACAAACACTTGTACAGCTGTGAACTCCAAAAAAGACCAACATTTGGAGAAAACTGAACAGTCAAAGAAGCAATTAAACAATAAGGGCAATTCAAAGAGAGTTGATCTGGATATTTATGATTTCAACGAAGTGGATCAGATGAGTAGGTCTTTCATTCAAAGAAAAGGAGCAAATTCTGGTAAGGCTGACAAACTTGTTGAATGTGAGATTGATGTGCAAAGTGAAAATGATATACCAGCTCCGTCTACAAATAACGGTGTGGTTCTCGAAAAGAAATCGAGGAAAATAGGAAGAAAGAAAGACAAAAAAATGAATAAATCTGAGAATGAGGAATTAAACACTGCAGCGAACTGTGACAAAGACGCTGCATGTAATCAAACCAATAACAGTCCAATTTCACAAACAGACAAAAGGTCAAGATTAAAGAAGGTGAGGAAAGCAGCCCTGGAAACTGACGTCACCTCAACAGAGCATAGCAGTAGGAAAACAAGGTCAGGTAGGCAGAGAAAACAAACTACCACAAAAACCTGTGCCAAGGAATCTCAGGGTGACAAGGAAATAGAAGTGATACAAAGCTCAGTTGATGCTGAAAATGATGGAGATTTAGACAGTAGAACATCTGTAAGGAATGAAGACAAATGTGTTTTCAAAGCCAATCCATTTGCACAGCCAGCAAAAGGAAAGCAAAATAGGAACAAACAATTACTGGTGTCAACACCATTTAAAGATTTTGATGTTGATGTGGAACATTTAAATGGAGAAAATGAAGAAATTCTTTCATCTATACATTGCAGTGACAGTAATGAAACCAAAGGTTGCATGGAACAATTAGAAAAACAAAATGTCAAAGAAGACAAAAATATTTTGACCAAAAAGAAAAAGCATGGAGTGGGTCATGTAGAGAAGGAAAGTTTGGATAATGACAAACAACCAAATCAACTAACAGGATCAGTGCAAAAAGGAAAATGTTCTTCAAAAAGTGGCAAAGGCAGGCCTGGGAGACCAAAACGGAAGGCCTCATTAAGAGATGATTTGGAGGATGAGGAGACGGGCGGTAATTCACAGCTGAAAGAAGATGTACTGTCATTGTCCAAGAAACACCCATCACATGGAAATACTGTTACGAGTAAGAAGACCAAAGTAGACGAATGTAATAGTGATGTTCATTGTGAAGATGATTTACAAAGTACAGATGATGGGTTGGTTTCTAAAAAGGGTTTTGAGAAAGCAGAAGCAAGAAAGGAGAGAAAATCAAGGAAATATACGAATGTGGAATTAGAAGATACAGAAGATCAAAATAACAATAAGCAAACAAACAAGAATCCTATTAAAAAAACAGAGAAAAGGAAGACAAGGCTAAACAAGGGTAGACACACAGCTCCAGAAACAACAGCTGACATCAGTTCAGTGAAACACAGCACTACAGAAACAAGGTCGAATACGCAGCGAAACCCTGCTGTCTCCAAACTTCCTACAGAGGAATCTGATACAGAATCTCAAGATGACAATGAAATAGAAGTAATACACAGCTCCTTTTCTCCTGAAACTGGTGAAGGAGTTTTGAACAATAGAAAGTCTATAAGAAATGAAGATAACGATGTTTCTGATGCACCTTCAGACAAGGAGCAAAGATTGGCTCATGTCGCAGGAAACAACCATGTCCAAGACGATGGACAAAACAAGCAACAGTCAGGAGGAGATGTGGATGAGGAAATTAACTGTTCACCACCAGAGGAGAGTTCACTTGCATTGTTTAACACCAATCTGTCACAAGGGAAGGCCATCAAATCTCTCAGCCAGAGGAAGTTCTTCAAAGAGAGATCGGGATCATCAACATATGAGAGACACGACATGCAGAGTGCTTGTGTGTCTGCTGCTGGTGTTCAGAGGAAAAAATCTTGTGAGGTAGAATATGGAAGCAGCAAAAATCAAGTATATTTAGCAATGTCATACTCTTCAACTGACCGAATCAATTTGCCATCGGAGAGAGGCGATACTGCTGGAGATCCATACGACTTTGACAAGGAATGTGAAAGATCTACAAAATCAGAAAAAAATAACAAGACGAGGCAGGAAGACAAGTCAAAAGATAAACAAGGAAAATGTCAAACTCAAACTCATTCCAAAAAAAATGGTGCTTTATTGAAAAAGAAAAAATCTGCTTGCAAAGAAAGCATGGACCAATATTTAAAGGAGAAACATGTGACTGCTTCAGACTTTGTTGCAAAAAATAAAAGGTCAAAGCCAGGTCACAACAAAGATACAAATTTATCAAACTTATCAAAATGTTCAAGAAAAAATGTTGATGTGGTGAACAATTATACAGCTGATGGTATAAGCAACAGTGAGCAAGATTCAGTTTGTTTAGAGAGTCCAGCTTTGTGTGTTCCGAAAGAATTTTCTAGTAAAACACAAAAATGCCAAAAGAAGCGTCAAAAGAAGCGCCATAAAAAAGAAATTACTGAAAAAAATGTAAATCGATTGATGGGAAGACTTTTAGGGAAGAAAAGAAATGCGAGCACCTGCCAAGATTCAAATGAAGAGGAAGAGTATGATCATCATGATGCACTTTGTCTTTCTAAAGGTGATTCTGCTAGTCCAGTAAAAATCCCATACTGCGAAATCACTCTTGATGAAATTGTCGGTGTTCCAAGACTTCACGGAGAAAACAATCATCTTCCATGCTTCAAACATCATGAACATCAAGGTAATCAACAAAAGAGAGCACACTTAGAAAGCCCTAAAACCACTGATACTGCTTATAGAAGTGACTTTCACTTTGGAAGAAAACAGGAATCCGTCGTTAAAAATCATAACTCTAAATCAGTGACTACCAAAGGTATGAAAAAGACACAAATCAATGATGTAAGGAGAAGACACTTGGATCAGTGGCCCAGTACAAAGACCCAGACTTCCTTTACTGATGAAATTGAAAATATTGACTCGGAAAGCTCAGATGATCAATTATGCAGGTGAGGCTGTGTTAAAATGTTGACTCGGAAAGCTCAGATGATCAATTATACAGGTGAGGCTGTGTTAAAATATTGACTCGGAAAGCTCAGATGATCAGTTATACAGGTGAGGCCGTGTTAAAATATTGACTCGGAAAGCTCAGATGATCAGTTATGCAGGTGAGGCCGTGTTAAAATGTTGTTGACTTCTTCTTTTGATTTCTAACATGATACTATTTTTAACCTATCATTTTCTTATCAAAAAGTGCTAGGATTTGTATTTTGATTGAAATCTAATCCTCCCGAAGGAGTTGAAAATTAAATAAGACAAGTGAAAGATGCAGGTCCTTTGAACCACTTGTAACCATAATTTACCTCACACTAATATCATTACCATTGTAGGTTTGATGATGTTAGTTTGTCTAAACAGAGTAAAATAAGACAAGTGAAAGATGCATGTCCTTTGAACCACTTGTAACAATGATTTACCTCACACTAATGTCATAACCATTGTAGGCCTGATGATGTTAGTTTGTGTAAACAGAGTAAAATAAGACAAGTGAAAGATGCAGGTCCTTTGAACCACTTGTAACCATAATTTACCTCACACTAATATCATTACCATTGTAGGTTTGATGATGTTAGTTTGTGTAAACAGAGTAAAATAAGACAAGTGAAAGATGCAGGTCCTTTGAACCACTTGTAACAATGATTTACATCACACTAATATCATTACCATTGTAGGTCTGATGATGTTAGTTTGTGTAAACAGAGTAAAATAAGACAAGTGAAAGATGCAGGTCCTTTGAACCACTTGTAACAATGATTTACCTCACACTAATATCATTACCGTTGTAGGTCTGATGATGTTAGCTTGGAGGAGGAGCTGCCACTTGAAAACAGTATCATTACAAGGTTTAATCAATTTTGCAAGGTTTGTGTATACTGTGTTATTTACCCTGATGGTGGAATACCTATGTATAGTTAATTGTTGGAGTATCGATTAAAGGGTCTCTATTTCTTGTATTGATTGAGGAATATTTGAGGTGTATTTACAGTATGTGGTTAAATTGCCTTTATTATGGGAATTGACATGTCGTAGATAAAAATGATAAATTTCCTAATTGCTGATGGGTTTGTCTTACAGAAAATGGTTGGAGAGCTAGAAGAGGATGTACCTATAGACAAGACAAGGTACATTAATGGGAGTATTCTGTTGTCTGTGGGATAGGATCAATATTTATTGGTGTATCTAGAGAGATCAAAGAGGTCGCTAATTTAGATCCATCGGATTATCAGATGGGAATGCTATTTATATGCCTGTCTTCCCAGAAGTACAGAATTGTGGTAAGGCATTGTCAATCTATCTGTTGGTTTACTTTTAGTCGGGTGTCAATTTGATTGCTTTGAGACTCGGTACAGTTTGCCACCATTTCATGGAGTTGTGTATCAAATGTATTGATCTAATAGTTATTTATGCCCTTCATGTAATTTCCATCATTCCAAACTTGTTTATAAATACAACTAGTCCTTTAGTTTCCATCCAATTTCCTTGAAAGGAATGGTAGGGTTAAACATCATCATTTGTAGTTGTGCATTATCCTGGTATGTTTACTGATCCAAGGATTATCTAAAAACAAAACTAGAGTTAAGGGCCTCTTTGTTTGTGTCCAGACACTCAGTTCTATGAATGACAGAGAATGCCCGTACATGTATGGGCAGGGATATTTTAGCTAAAATTCAGCTTATAGATAAAGATTTGTTACATGATTGATAGTGCCTTTGTACTGGAAGTGCTGTGTGACTGATACCAATCTTATCAGGAAAACCACATGTAATACAATGTATATGTACCCGATTTCTAGCTCACCTGGTGATAAAGTCTATGTGAGCCCATGCCATTATTTGTGTTTCTAAAAAACTAAAATATCTTGGGAAGTGATACAAGACGTGCAGTTTGATTGGATTGAGCGATCAGATTTGTTCAATAAATAACCTGGACCTTCATGTGCATCCAAGGTCAAAACAACTTAGATGTGTTAGAAAACTCAAGTTACATCTTCTATAATGAACCACAAGACTTAAAACCATGATATCATGTATAGCTTACTTTGATAAAAGACCATAAAATTGGTTAAAATTGGACCTTTTAATTTGATGAATTAAAGGGCTGGCAAAGTTGTTAAAAAATATTACCTTTAACAACATTGGCCAGTTTGTACAGGCCCCTTTGGCCTCTTGTTTTATAAGATTACTTTGTAGGCTTTAACATAATGTAGAAATGTACAGTTGACATACTCCGGATCCTATTACTGTATATTGTTATAACTTCAGGGCTTCGGGGTGATATCTTAAGTTCTGATGGTCTGATTGCTTTCAAATTCTATCATCATTGAAGGAAGACTTAGTGTATTGGATGGGATATCAAGGTCTTAGATAGATTAGAATATAAAGTTTAAAAAGTGACAGATGGTCTGATTTAGCTTTATTTCAAGCTTAAAAGATCTCACTTGTTATTTAAAATGCCTTTCTTTTCTTTTCCCATTTCTCTATACTTCGTCATCATAACATCATATAATACATATAACGTCATCAATCAGTCTACGCTAACGTCATCAATCCGTGCACACAAACGACCATTAGTCTGTCCACTATTTGTTATTATGCACTCTACAAAAGGTTTGACCTAAAGCATTCAGTTTATTGCTCAACTAATTCACCCGTGAAGACGACACATTTGAAATCTTCCAATTCAAAAGTTGGAATGGTTCATTATACAATTTCAGGGATGAACGAGTTAAATATTCACTCTTTTCTTATTTGTAGAAAAGAAACAAGCAGGACATTGGATTGTACAAATAGGAGAAAAGAGATTCCAGCATGCAGAAACAACAATGATGATGAACTGGTAAGATATCACGCAATTAAACATTGGACCACACAAACAGTTGAAATACTTCCACTTGACATCACCAAAATATTGTGAATTATGGGATCTTTTTTTGTTAATTTACCTTTATTCATTACAATAGTATTGTTTTCACAGAACAGCACCAATGAACCTAGGACTCCTAAATTTGTCCTGTATGATCCTGAAGATCAAGTGGAGATATGTAGTATCAAAACACCAATGACACTACCTTGCAGTGGTGAGTACCCTGAACCTGAGGTTTTATTAGCTCACCTGGTCCAAAGGACCAAGATGAGCTTATAATGCCATACCGTGGCGTCCGTCCGTCAGTCAACAATTTCTTCAAACAACTTCTTCTTCTTAACCACTGATCGGAATTTAACTAAATTTGACTGGAAGCATCCCTAGGTGGTGGGGATTCAAAATTGTACAAATGGTGGGGCTGACCCCCAGGGGGCTTAAGGGTTGGGCCAAAAGGGGGCAATTTGGCTATATTGGTTTAAGCAACTTCTTCTCTGGAACTAAGAGATGGATATCAACCATATTTGACTGGAAGCATCCCTAGGTAGTGGGAATTCAAAATTGTACAAATGCTGGGCATAAAGAGTCGAATGCAGTCATGATATAAGAATTGACCCAAGGATCTGCCCCACCCTTGCAGACTTTACCCCTGGGTCATAACTTTGAAGCGGTTAAGATCCCCACCCCAAAACTATATATTCAATTGTTGGGCATAAAGAGACAAATGCAGTCATGATATTATAATTGATCCTGGGGACTGGCCACAACCCTAGGGACCTAGTTTCTGAATCACACATTGGAAACAGTTGAGATCCCCACCCCATTATAACCATACATAAAATTGCTGGGCATGAAAAATCTAATGCAGATATGATACAAGGATTGGCCTTGGGGTCTGGCCCATTCCCTTGGATCTTATTTGGAGAATATTTTGCCATGATTACTTTTGATATCCAGGTGAGCAATACAGGCCCTCTGGGCCTCTTGTGTTTATGAATCTACATGAACCCAGAATGCTGATATTTGAACTCTAACTTTATGTAATGAAATGAAATGTGTTTTGTTCAAATAGGTGAATCAGACAACTAACTTTCAAGGTCGCAGGGGTCAAATGTTTGAAAAACATTTAAACTCGTAAAGATTCATGATGCTTTGAGTAAAAGCATTTAGTATATAGCTTTTTTGGATTGTTGATCTGCAGTATGTAGAGTATCATTTGGAAATAAGAGGTGCCATATTTATTGCAAGCACATAACATAAGTTACCATCGAAAGATATACAACAATTGTGGGCATATTGTAATATTAATTAGCATAGGCTGAACCCCTACTATGTAATCTGTTTTATAATTAGATTGAAATCTTCTTTTAAAACAGAAAGAGTATTGATTCAAAACATGTATTGATGTAAGTAATCACTGCTATATATACCAGGGTATTAAGTGTAGTTAGTAGGTGTAATAGATGTAAGATAACGAGACATACTATATTTAAAGAACACTGGAAGAGTGTGCCTATTGCACTATAATAACATTTCCTTTAGTTTACCTAATATTGCTTTCAGATATTGAGGGTAGCCAAGAGGGTAGTATACCTTCAGACGATTTACAGATTCAGCCTCTGCAGGTACTATCTAATGATCTACTCCTACATTGATAAATATTGTCTTGTCTCATTGCGGTTTAATTGGATATTGTAATGATTCTTGTCTAACCTCAATTCCTTCCAATTCAAAACTTCAGATCTTTTTATGTAAGTCAAACTCAAACTCAAATTTGATACCAAGTCTTAATGATTTTGAGTTCTGTTCAGATCAAAGTCTAAGGTTACTGTTAACACAAAAATATAGTTTCTTTAAAATGTGTTCATAACATTTAATAAAAGAGTCAGATGCACCCTGACTCTAGTATTTCCAGTATACTCCAAATCTACACACCAGAAAAGAAAAAGGAAAAAAGAAAAAAGATTTGCTAAATTTTATTTACATTTATATATATACTCTCTAACAGCATGCATCTAAATGGAATATAAATTCTTAATTATCAATATCTGTAATATTTCAGGAAAGTTCAAAAGCAGAACGTAACAGAAACAGAGGTAACAGGTCATTGCAGGACACAAAAAACACTGATCTTTCAGGAATTTTATCAGGTAGTTGTATTGGGATTGCATCCTCCATTTGGTCTGACATGTATCTATTTACTAAACATGAATTTTGTATTCAAATTTGTGTTCAGACATTTGATCTATCCATAGCATATCTGGACAAAATTGAGAAAATCTGTTTTAATGTATCAAACCGGGTTTTTAGCTCACCTGTCCCGAAGGCCCAGGATGATGATATTTAACAATAACATGCTTGGATGAAGGGCTAACAACTTTGTTTGAATGAATGACCTTGACTTGTATTCCTGGTCACAGGGGTTGAATTTGTTTTAAACCTTAAAACGACTTCTTCTGATTACCAATAAGGCCCAAAATGTTGATATCTTGCAAGAAGCATGCTTGGATGAAGGGCTACCAAGTTTGTTCTAATAATGGCCTTTAATTATTTCCAAGGTCAGAGGAATCAATTATTGTAAAAAAAACTTTTGAGCAATTGCTTCTGAATAACAAAAAGGCCCAGAATGATTATATTTGGCCAGTAATAACATGCTTGGATGAAGGGCTATCAGATTTGTTCAAATAAATGACCTTGACTTATATTCAAGGTCACAGGGGTGAAATATGTTTTAAACCTTTTAACAACTTCTTCTGAATAACCAAAAGACCAAAAATGTTGATATTTGGCTAGTAACATGCTTGGATAAATGTCCTTGACCCATTTTTAAGGTCACATTTGGTCAAATGTATATAAACCTTTCAATGACTTAATCACAATAAATAAAAGGTCTAGGGTGGTGATATTTGGTAAGTTGGATGCTGAGATGAAGGGCTATAAAGTTTGTTCAATGTAATGACCTTGTTTGTCTTTCAAAGTCACAGGGGTCAAATGTGTTTTAATCTTTTAACTGGTTCTGTTGAATGACTTTTAGTCATAAATACTGATATTTTGCCTGTAACTTTATCTAAGTCCACTTTTAAAGTTAGAATTGTGAGATTAATACGAGGTGAGTTATGCAAGACCATAGGGCCTCTTTTCTAGTGAAAAGTTGAAAGTATGTACAGCAAGTGTGTCATAACAACAAGTTTGCTAAATGCAATCTAAAGGGATGCTTAAATAACTTTGTGTGCAAAATGTTTGACAAACAAGTCAATTCTGAGGACAGTTGCAAGTTTGAAGGTGAACATGATCCAACAGATTGCATCATATCTTTGACTTAGATATGTGCACAAATACTTCAATTTATAGGTCCTAAATTAACTCATTTTTCTCCATGCACAATGCGATTAGATAATAGACATTTGTTTGTTTCAGGATACTCCTCAGAAATAAGACCTTCCAGAACATCCATGAAGAGAAAATATGATATATCCTTTTAAATAGTCCAGAAATTGATGGAAATAAAATAAAATGAGAACTAGGTGTAAGTGGAGTTTTACATACTATAAGTGATGTATGGGGCTTATTTAGAGCCAACGCTTCTTGTTCCCATTGCTTGTCCTGTTTTCTTGGTGAACCCAACACTTTAATGACCTTAACACTGAACACATTATGCTTCAATGTGAAGATGACGATGATGTGTACAGAAACAATCAGAACGCTGGTTATGATCTGTCAGATACTTTGGAATTGGAAATGTGCCATCTTAGACCGAGGAGACTGTTCAGTTCTGATTTTAAAGGTAACAAACACTGTGTTTCGTCGGTGAAATTTATTGGAAACATCCTTTGAAAAATATATTATTTCAGCCTATCTGGCTTGGAACGCCTGTGAGCATATTGATTTGCAGCAGCTGTCATCTCTCCATTGTTTATCTTTAAACCTGTCCTTAGTGCTGATATTTGGCCAGTAGCTACCACCTCCGGGGATGGAGTATTTAAGTATCTCGATAACATTATCCTGACTTTCTTTCATGATCACTTCTCACAGGTGAACACTGCAGGTTTTATTGAGTTATTGTCCCAAACAAGACCAGTGCCAATAACTGTCAAATTTCATACGTATTGCTTCCTGATACTTTGTTAAAGGTAGATACAGAACTGTAAACATTCATGCGTATCAGATGACATAAATCTCATAAAGAAATGTGAAATTATCTGTTGTTACAAAACACACAATCTGTGTAAACAGCTGTTGTAGAAATCACTGGCAGTAGTGATGATGAAGATAAAGAAGACGTGTATGGTCGATCACAAGCAAGCAGTCGTAACACAGGATCAAACGAGTTGATGGGTGGTTCTACGAGTCACCTTGAAGGCATCAGTGTGGATGCTGGTGTTTCAGGAATTGTCAAGGCTTTTGGAATGGATTTCAAGAAGCAAATGCAGGTACATGTAGTAGTTTGGATTGATATAACCATTTTAAGAGCAGTTTTGGAGATCCAATTATAAAAACATCAGAAATAAAGATAATGGTCTTAAACTACTATTTGTTGACTTTCACATCATGCCTAAACATATAAGTTGGAACCTTTAATAACATAGCATGAAATGTATACTATTTCAGAATTTTCTTTTGTTTGCTCTATCAAAGGATACTTTTAATATCATTAGCTCATTTGGTCCGAAGGACCAAGGTGAACTTATGCCATACCATGGCGCCGTCTGTCTGTCATCTGTCCGTCAACAATTTCTTCAAACGACTTCTTCTTCTTCTTAACAACTGATTGGAATTTAACTTAATTTGGCTGGAAGCATCCCTAGGTGGTGGGAATTCCAAATTGTACAAATGGTGTGGTTGATACCCTAGGGAGCAGAGGGCGGGGCCAAAAGGGGACAATTTTGCTACCTTGCTAAAAACGCTTTCTTCTCTAAAACTATGCACTGGATATGAATCATATTTGGTTGGAAGCATTTATGGGATGTGGGGATTCAAAATTGTAAAAATGGAGGGGCTGACCCCCAAGGGTGCTGAGGGGTGGGGCCAAAAATGGTAATGAGCTATATTGCTTTATATTGCTTGAAGCGACTTTTCTGGAACTAAGAGATGTATATCAACTATATTTTGTTGGAAGCATCCCTAGTTGGTTGGGATTAACAACTGTTCAAATGGACAAGCTGAACCCCACCCTTTGGGCTAAGGGTGGGGGCCAAAAATGGTTTATAACTTGAAAATGGTTAAAATCCCCATTATATAACCATATATACAATTGCTGAGTATAAAGAGATGAATGCTCATATGCTTCCAGGATTACTCTTTGATCTGGCCCCATCCTTGGAGACTAAGACCCTGGGTCATAACTTTGAAACAGTTGAGATCCCCACCCCAAAACTAAATATACAATTGCTGGGAATAAAGAGAGGAACACAATCATGATATTAGAATTGGCCCTTGGGTCTGGCCACACCCCTAGGGATCTAGTTTCTGAGTCACAATTTGACACAGTTGAGATCCCCACCCTATATCCATATATACAAATGCTGAGTATAAAGAGACAAATGCACATATGCTTCCAAGATGGCCCCAGGGTCTGCCCACCCTTGGAGACTTAACCCCTGGGTTATAACTTCGGAGAATATTTTGCAATGATTGCTTAGATATGCAGGTGAGCAATACAGGCCCTCTGGGCCTCTTGTTTGATTGTTTGTTTGTGTTTTACGTCCTATTAACAGCTATTGTCTTTCAAGGATGTGCCAGGTTTGGTGGAGGAAAGCTGGGAACTTAAAAAACACCATGGATATTTCATGTGTGAAATTCTTAACCTGTTATTTTGATGATAAATATTTATATCTTATTATTTTCACTTTGATTTAAGACAAAACAACATTGCCTAGATGTGCTGTCAAAAACAGTCCTGAAGTCAAGTCAGAAACATTTGAAAAATATGTTGACAGACAGAACAGAAAGAAGGTAACACTCCTGTCCTTTATAATGAAGCTATCTATTTACCAGTAAAATAGAATTGCACGAAAGAATGAACTGCCCATATGATAGTCTTAGAAAAGTCTGCTAAATGGCTCGAATTTAGAACTGAATATATCTTAATAAAGAATGAATTTCTTGAATGACAAATATCAACATCTGTATAAACTTAAAATTATTAAATTGACAAATTGATCATTGTGACAGGGCAAGTATAATGGAAAGGTTTGGTAAAAAGTTACTGGCCGAGCTGACTGCACTTGGTATCGATGTCAGAACTCTGGAAGATAACGAAGCGAAGACTCTGGTAACTATAAAGCATAAATGTTTTGCAGGTGTTTTGAGTTTATTTGTGTGAGGAGTATATAGTAAATGCTTTGTTGGTCACAGTGTCTGCCTGCATCTGTCAATAGCAAAAAGATCATGTACAAGTATCTCATGAACCCCTGAACATAATTATATAGTTGATATTTTCACCATACTATAGTAATATTGAGCTTTATGCCTGATCCAATGTTGGAGGTCATCAGTCAAGGTTAAAGTGCTGAAGGTCATGGGAAAAGATCACACTTGACCACATTTGAAGTAAAAAAATGAGTCCTCGGATTACAGACTATATATATATATGTCTTGTACACCATTTCCATATGGGAGGGAGGATGGCGTTGGGGAATGGTAATGTGCAAGTGGCGGGGGGTATATCTATGTGAGCCTCAACTCAATTAGTTTTTATCATAATAAACATTGTGATTGCTTCAACTGAATCCTACGGAGTAGCGTTCTATATAATGCATAGGTTTTCATTGCATGGTTTGTTTTGAACCCAAACAGTATTTGAAAGTTTATTTTGCTAGCTTTTTAATTGTCTGTGTCCTTTTCAAAGTGTACAAATGACCTGTGTCTTGGCTCTTATAATCGAGTCACCCGTTATTTGCAGTCTTTGCTCGACAAAGGAAGCAGAGATTTTCCAAAGCTCGCAAAATAAACTTTCAAATACAGTTGTTTGTGTTCAAAACAAACTTACCTTGACTGATATGCACATGCCAGTTCATATTTAGATAACATAATTCTAATATCCACCAAGCTGCACTAAATAACCCCACCCTAACATGTTCACATATACAGTGCCCTATTGTACACTAAATACCCCCACTCTAACATGTTCACATATACAGTGCCCTATTGTAATCTAAATACCCCCACTCTAACATGTTCACATATACAGTGCCCTATTGTATTCTAAATACCCCCACTCTAACATGTTCACATATACAGTGCCCTATTGTAATCTAAATACCCCCACTCTAACATGTTCACATATACAGTGCACTATTGTACACCAAATTGGTATGCTATGTCTCATCATGCATTTTATTTATTTGTCATAAAATCTCCTGTAAATTGTGACCTTGACCCATATTAATTTCAAATTACACAAAGTTAAGCTTTGATTTCTGGAAAAAAAAGATGTTTTACTGTTTTATTTCAGGACTTTTTCCAGCAGCAAATGAAGAATATTAATAAATGCAGAATTTCTCAAGAAAAAAGGTTTGTAGGGTATCGATATCTTTACATCTTAAGATAAAACGAAATAAATTCTTGATATTTTTACCATGGACATAGGTTTATTTTACCTATGAACCTTTAATTTATGTTTAAAGTATCATTTTTGAAACTGCCAAAAAGGTGGGTTTTGTTTATAAGCGTTTGACATTTTATGTCTCAATCAGCGGCATTGATCTGTGTGGGATTTAGTTAACCAGTGGATAAAAGTTTTTATGTGCATTCTTTATTGTAGACTGGAAAACTTGAGAAACATGCAGCTTGACTTTGTGGCAAGCATGTGTCACATGGACCAGTATGAATCCAACCAGCAGGTAAAATCTATTTGCTACATTGTGGTTATGTGTATGATTGTATTAGATAATTGAGCACTTAGAAGCCACATAATTCTTCATTGGCCATTAATCTTGATTTGCTCGGCTAATTTACTATTCAATGATTTCAGTTTAAGCAGTTCAAAATCAAAATTACGTATCTGCAAAATGGAGACTTAAAGAATGATTTATATTTGTTTAAACAATCCATCTGTTTTAAAACTTTGTATGTAGACTGGGTGCAATTTGCAAATTGCAAACTTTTTGGGATACAATTTTTCCAAACTTCTGTTAAATTAAACAGGACTGTGAACATTTCTAGTTAAGTATTTCTACATCAGCAACAATCTCTTTACCACAAATTTTGCACTTTGCAAATTGTATTGTTTATTATAAACCTGATTATAACATAGTACAAAATCAAACTTCATGCTGTCATCAAGATAAACTACTAAAACCATAGTTGAATATACAACTGTGTGATAATGATACTGAAGAGAAGGCATGATTTTAACTCCCAAAAAACCGTGAATTAAAGCTGAGCACATTATTGGCCTCGCAGCAGGCCAATCCCTTTTACCCTGACAAAACACTTTAAACATCATATGACTATTTATCGTATATATTTTTCAGACAACATTTAAAAATGCAATGAAGAAAGACCTGACCACAATGCAGAGGAAATTGCTTGCAGATGCAGTAAGTTACAAAACGTTTCATAAGTTTTTTTAAAGATTGATTTTAAATGAATATGGAATTATTGTCACTTAATCTAAGACAATGTGTAAAAAGTATATTAAAGTTCAACACCATGGAAATGCATTGAAACCTTTTTGTCCCTTTGATTGTGATGTGCAGTCTACTTCATAAGGCATGTTTATAACAAGCTGATATTTGCATGTCTTGTGTTTTATTTCAGCAAAGACAGGAACTTACAACTGTAAGAAGAAGCCTTCACACAATGATTGGATAGAATGTGGTAGTTTAGTTGTATATATGTGCCTAGTAGTTTAGTTATGTGTCTGGTAGTGGTAAATATTTACAAGCTGCCATGATCGTAATGGCTCTACATCTGTCCTAAGCTATACAATTGTGCTCTCTTTGATATATTTATTAGAGGTAAATTCAAAATATAAAGAATGAGTTTGGGTTTGAGACGTTAAGATAAGTGACAATGAGTTTGGCTTTGAGACGTTAAGATAAGTGCCAATGAGTTTGGGTTTGAGACATTAAGATAAGTGAAAATGAGTTTGGGTTTGAGACGTTAGCATAAGTGACAATGAGTTTGGGATTGAGACGTTAAGATAAGTGACAATGAGTTTTGGGTTTGAGACGTTAAGATGAGCGACAATGAGTTTGGTTTTGAGACGTTAACATGAGCGACAATGAGTTTGGGTTTGAGACGTTAACATAAGTGACAATGAGTTTGGGTTTGAGACGTTAAGATAAGTGCCAATGAATTTGGGTTTGAGACGTTAAGATAAGTGCCAATGAGTTTGGGTTTGAAACGTTAAGATAAGTGACAATGAGTTTGGGTTTGAGATGTTAAGATAAGTGACAATGAGTTTGGGTTTGAGATGTTAAGATAAGTGACAATGAGTTTTGGGTTTGAGACGTTAAGATAAGTGACAATGAGTTTTGGGTTTGAGACGTTAAGTTAGGTGACAATAAGTTTGGGTTTGAGACATTAAGATAAGTGAAAATGAGTTTGGGTTTGAGACGTTAAGATAAGTGAAAATGAGTTTGGGTTTGAGACGTTAAGATAAGTGACAATGAGTTTGGGTTTGAGACGTTAAGATAAGTGACAATGAGTTTTGGGTTTGATATGTTAAGTTAGGTGACAATAAGTTTGGGTTTGAGACGTTAAGATAAGTGAAAATGAGTTTGGGTTTGAGAAGTGAAAATGAGTTTGGGTTTGAGACGTTAAGATAAGGGACAATGAGTTTGGGTTTGAGACGTTAAGATAAGTGACAATGAGTTTGGGTTTGAGATGTTAAGATAAGTGACAATGAGTTTGGGTTTGAGACGTTAAGAAAAGTGACAATGAGTTTGGGTTTGAGAGGTTAAGATAAGTGACAATGAGTTTGGGTTTGAGATGTTAAGATAAGTGTGAAAATGAGTTTGGGTTTGAGACGTTAAGATAAGTGACAATGAATTTTTGGGTTTGAGACGTTAAGATAAGTGACAATGAGTTTTGGGTTTGAGATGTTAAGATAGGTGACAATGAGTTTTGGGTTTGAGACGTTAAGATAAGTGACAATGAGTTTAGGATTGAGACGTTAAGATAAGTGACAATGAGTTTGGGTTTGAGATGTTAAAATAGGTGACAAAGTGTTGTATATTTGATGTGGTGACTTGATGTGAAATGATTGAAAAGTACAAATATTTTTTTGTCATAATATTTTCCCATTGAATTACATATATATGAACAAATTTCATCAGATTTCTTTAAGCTGAATTGCTGTTGCTTTATTATTTTAATGAATTTGTCACAAATATTAAATAGTTGTGTATTTGTAACTGGTCAAAATAAATAAAATTATTTCTGTAAAGTACCTTTTTGTACAGAATATGTTTGATGAACTGTTGCACATTCAATGATATGTCTTATAAATGAAGTCCATTGTCAGTATCCTATGATTGGTTATGAGATATTTATTTTTTCATGTCCTTGTTCATTGTTATAGGTTTGTAGGTTTTTACTCATTATGTCATCACATATCAAATATTTATTGTTTGGAGTTCTTTGCTATAATACTGTTCAGTAATGTTAGTGAACTCTTATTTGTTGTTTAATATACTTGACAAGATTTTATGTACAGTACTTTACTGCACAAAGTATTCTGTAGCAGATTGGCTGTACAATGCCTAGAAATACTGTATGAATCCAGGGAAAATGTGCAAATGTATACTAGTCCAATACATGTAATTAAGAGGGGTAAAATAGTGTGAAGAAGTTTACGTAGTAATCCGTTAAAAAAATAACTGAGGAGTAAACAGAAAATTATTTGTACAGAGATAGATGAAAATTGTGCTTTTAAAAATGAAGTATCACCTATATTATTGTGCCCATTATAAATTAAGATATGTACTCGTAATAACAAAACCAATCTCGTATTATTAGAAACGTTTCATTAATGGAATGTCTCTTAAAAAGATATCATGTTTTGCATGTAGCAATACTTTGTGACATGAACAAATTTGATGTTTATTATTTTTCTAGAATAATAAACATAAACACTGAATATTTCAAATGTCATTTAAAAAGGCAAGACAGTTTTAACACTGTTGGTTAAATGAGCAAACATTAATGTTATTTTGTAAGTTAATAATAAAATATTTGTTAACTGTTACCTTTGCACTCTTATTTTATGTTTATAGAACAGGAAATATACTTTACAGACCCGAATAGGAATTTGTTTCTCTTCTGGTGTTTTGCTTCTTCCTAGATATAATGACCAGACAGACGTTGCAAATTACTAAAACTATTCACAGATGATTTTCAGATTTAGTTTATAATCTGAAGTATTTATACGAGTGACTTGCAGGTTCAAGGTCACATTGTTAAAGTTGATTGAATCGAATCTTTGGTATGGAATATTGCCCCTTTACCAAAACAGAACGAAGAAAATTGTGTGCAGAAGTTGAATTTTAAAGATTTCCACCTACGGTGTGGACGAGAACTAATTATCAATACATTGCAAAACCTTTTGCTTTGACTGAGTTTTAAGATATGCAGTGTGAAAGTTTTAGCCCACTTAAAAGGAGGAATCACATCGCATCCATGTTGTCCATGATTTTAGTTTCCGGGCAATAATTCCTTTTGTCATGTATTTTGACCAAACTTCATATGCTGTTAGTTACATCTTGTGATAAAGATGTGTCGTCTGCTAAACTATGTATATACTCTCTAGAAAACGACCGTTTCGTCCCTACAGAACTCGGAAACCTGTACAAAAGGTTGCCAAAAAAAACAAACAAAAACGAGGATGATGGCCAGTGGAAAGATTTACATGGATGACCCTGAAAAAGAATAAAGACAATAAGACCATGTGTTCCGGAAGTGTAAGCTCATTTTGCATCGATCGACGATATTCCCTATGTAAATCTGCCAAAGGTATGTCAATGTAACATCCTTAAAGCGAGGACAGGGATGGTGACAACAAAATAACAAGGCACACCAGCTGCATGTCGCATAGGCTAAACAAATACGAAGATAAAAAGGTTCATTGTTTGACCTTTGACCGTTTGACTTTCGTTATTAATTAAAGTCAGGAAGTGGTACGATTTTTTTGTGTGTTCAGTATTAAGTTCTTCAATGAAGACGGCCCAAAAAGCCAAAAATGAACAGAATTGCAGAAAAAAAATAACAGACTAGTGTAATGGGACTTGCATTGGGGTAAAGCATAAATTACCCGTACAATAGGCCGATAGCTATTTTATGGAACCGTAGGCCGATACGTATTTCAAGGAGGATTACATGTTATTATAGATTATGTTCAGATCTCGAGACTATCAAAATTATGTAACAATAAATCGTGTATGACTAAAAAACCGGAAGTGGAAATCATTTACTGTAATCTGAGCTGGGGTTAATTTTTTAGCACACGCACTCTAATAATCAACAAGCGTTAAGTCTTTACCGATATTCGATTAGGTTGTGTTAACAAATAAACTTGCCTGCTTATTTATTGAAGGATACAGTCTAATAAAATCAAAAGTAGAAACTACTTAAATCTCTGTGATGTATGTGTTGGAAAACGTGGTGTATTGTACGCCCAAACTTTTGGTATTGTGGCGTGTTAATTTTGAAGTGTTTATTTAATCGAAAGTATGTTTTCTTCAAATTGAAATATTTGACAATAGGCTTTATTTGGGGACGTTCTAGGGCAGTTAATTTACTCTCGATGTTTAGCAAGGTAAAGAAAATCCACGGGTGTAAAGTAAATAAAGCAAATGAACTTCTGGACAAAGGTGGACGCTTGGTTAAAGGAGCCGATACGTTTAGAGGAAGAATGTTTTATTATACACCGTTATTGGTAAACTATTTGTCAATTTCAGCAAGGCTCTATGAAACAAATATTGCTGATGGAATACTATACATCAGCGATATACTAGGTTTTAAGGATCAATATTTAGACCATTTATATAAACAAATCTATGACTGGGAGAATGTGATTCGCGATTCACTTGGACAAACCGTCATTAAGGACCATTCAGCACGTATCCTACAGGACTAGCAGAACACCCGATCGACCCGGAAAATTATCCCACAGGGAAAAAGTCGGATCTGAGGCAATCGTCAATATTTCCCGATGAAATATACCAGCCAGTTATAAATGGAAGAGAGAAAGCGACTGATCTTCTGTCTTCTAACGGTAAGTTTTGTAGTTTTATTGCTCTACTCACCCATGTGTAACTTATGTTTCTAAATGACCTGATTCAATCAGTACTTTGACCAACAAAATGCACAAGCACCATTAATTACGCGAGCGGGGAATGACTGTCAAATTCACGTGTTTCTTCTAACAGGCGTGCCTCAAACTTCACTCATACATCATAACATATATATGTACCATAGCTTTTTTGCCTGCTTCCCAATCCTTTTATTTATTGAATAAAACATTTGAATTCAAACAGCATTTATTTTTAATAATGAGCGTACACAACACACATGAAGGCACGTCCTTAAATGATCTTAGCTGTTAATAGGACGTTACACAATATAAAACCAAACCAAACTTAATTGATCCTTGACGAGTTAAATCTAACATACTAAGGTTAATATTCAATTAAATAAGTCATAAATGAAGTGGAATACACAAAGTTAAGGAAAGTTAAGGAATTTCAAATCTTCCATATGAGCACAATTATAAAAATGTACACCAGAAAAGAAGAGTACTGAAAAGTGTGTGTCAAATTAGTACTGTTTCATTTCCCTACAAAGGAATCCAGGTTTAATGTAAGCTAAACATCTTCAACTCCACTCTGGTATAATAATGCATTTACATTTATAATGCAAAATGAATATTGTTATACGCCCGTCGAAATTCTACGGACGTATTATGGAATAGCGTTTGCGTCTGTCCCTGCGTCCGTCCGTCCGGTTAAAGTTTAGGTGCAAGTTTCTTCAGTTGTCTACAGTTCAGTCAAATCATGTGTTATTGTCCTAATTTTTGGCATAGATTTTCATATAAGGTCAAAGAAGGACAATATGGATATAATTAAGCAAACAAAAAATCATTGGATGGGTCAGACGTTATGCATCCGTTTGCGTTGCTCTTGTTGTTGATGGTTCAGGCGAATGTTGAAATATTATAATGTTGGTCTTTGCAAGTAATGATTATGAAATTTTACATATGTTTTATTCGTCGTGTTAAATTTTGTTAATGACATATCTGTTCAAAAGAGCTAAAAAACCATTAAAAGTGTCGAATTCAAACATTAAAACCAGCTTTGCAGGTAAATGAAAGACAATGTATGACGGATTCTGTGAGAGGTATAGGTGTTAAAGAGCTGTAAACCCAGTGAAAGATGAAGTCATAAATAGCATCTTTCAATCACATGTTAAGTTTGAAAAAAGTAGCTTGAAGTGTTAGCGATTCCTTGTTTTTTATGTGTACTACTATCGCGATGCAAATATTTTATCAACGTGACGTTTTAATTATATCTTTAAACATATAAAATATCAAATCGTCTCTTGCAAGCTAATTAACGCCCTAAGAGACTCCACAGATATGCGAAAATTAACTTGCGACAGACTCTTTGGATTATTTTATACCGATTACAGGAAAACATTTCTAAAATATTGTGAAATAGATATACATGTAGAGAAACCAAATTAAGATGAACTCAAAAGTTACTCTCCGAGTTCTTTTATTTGTTACATTCATCAAATACGTGTATTTCTTTATTTGAAATATTGATACTGTTATACAAGATCGAGTAAAAAGAATCAATACAGGCTCTGTATCTATGGTTTTAATCCAGATTACAGTACTGTTATCATTACACTAATGTACATCGCGGATTAAATGGGAACCAGCACCAATTTCACGGCATTGGAAACAAAAGAGCTGATCTAATGGCATGCACTTAAAGGGTCTGTTTCAAAGGATCGGCAATCGTTGAAATACCATTAAACTAGATCTTTCAATTCATGATCGCGTTGATATATGTGTTAAAAGTTCATATTTGATATGATTTTCTCTTATATAGAAGAACATTGTTTGTACTAGACGTATGGTAAATATGCATACTATTTGCTTGACAAGTACTGTCTCAATTTCTTAACCTAAACCACGAGGGGGGGAGGGGGGGGGGGGGGGGGGGGGGGGGGGCACCAATATAAATTTTTGGAAAAATGATAGGATTACCATTAAGTTTTTAAACTGAATTTGGCATTTATAAGAAATAAACAATGTCTGATTTTTTAACTTTATTTCAGAATCATTAAACCGTTTTTAGCTCACCTGGCCCGAAGAGCCAAGTGAGCTAATGCCGTGGTGCGGCGTCCGTCGTCCGTCCGTCCGTCGTCTGGCGTCAATATTTTACTTTAAATAACTTCTCAATAACCAAAAGGCCTAGGGTGATGATATTTGGACAGTAGCATGCTGGGATAAAGGGCTACAAAGTTTGTTCAAATGAATGACCTTGGCCCACTTTCAAGGTCATAGGGGTCAAATATGTTAAAATCTTCAAACAACTTCTCAATAACCAAAAGTCCCAGGGTACTGATATTGGGCCTGTAGCATTCTGTGATGAAGGGCTACCAAGTTTGTTCAAACGAATGACCTTGACCAACTTTCAAGGTCAAATGGGTCAAATGTATAAAAACTTCCAACAACTTCTCAATAATCAAAAGCCTCAGGGTACTGATATTGGAGCTGTAGCATGTTGTGAAAAAGGGCTACCAAGTTTATGCAAATGAATGACCTTGACCCACTTTCAAGGTCACAGGGGTCAAATGTAAAATCTTCAAACGACTTCTCAATAACCAAAAAGCCCAGGGTACTGATAATGTCCTTGTTTGACATTCAAGGTCACAGGTGTCATATGTTTAAATCTTTTAATAGGTTCTTATGAATCAAACACTGATATTGATATTCTGCCTGTAGCTGTATTTTAGTCCACTCTTAAGATTACAAGTGTGAGATTAATACCAGGTGAGCGATGCAGGCCCATTGGGCCTCTTGTTTGTCTTTGTTTTCCTGTTGTTTTCCCTTTCAAATGGATTTAATTGGTTTTATCGTCGGACTATAAATATATGATACATTTTCGCATGCTTTGCAACCCTCTCTTTTACATTTTCAATTTGATAAAGAATTTAAGCTGTAACGTTATGGGAAATATACAAAAAAAAAGATATTGGTTTACGATGAACATTTAATACCTGTAGATTATATAGCTAGATGTCGATCTTTTTGCATTACTAAGAAGAGGGGTAATAATTAAGTGAAAGTCAGTACAGAAATCGATTGCATAAAGAATTAAAAAAAAAAAGAACTATAGTAAATGGTATGAAGCATTGCATGTTATATGTGCAGCATGTTTTTAGGTCACCTGAGCTTTAGCTCAAGTGACCTATTGCTATCCGTTTTCGTCCGTCGTCGTCCGTCGTCCGTCGTCCGTCGTCCGTCGTCCGTTAACATTTTACATTTCAAACTTAAAGTCAAGTTCTGCTGGGCCGATTGAACTGAAAGTTGATAGGAATGATCGCCTCATGGTCCTGACAAAGTGTTGTTATTTTTCGGGTCGATCAGAAATCCAATATGGCCGCCACGGCCGCCATTTTGAAAACCTATTTCAAACTTAAAGTCAAGTTCTGCTGGACCGATTGAACTGAAAGTTGGTAGGAATGATCGCCTCATGGTCCTGACAAAGTGTTGTTATTTTTCGGGTCGATCAGAAATCCAATATGGCCGCCACGGCCGCCATTTTGAAAACCTATTTCAAACTTAAAGTCAAGTTCTGCTGGACCGATTGAACTGAAAGTTGGTAGGAATGATCGCCTCATGGTCCTGACAAAGTGTTGTTATTTTTCGGGTCAATCAGAAATACAATTTGGCTGCCATGGCCGCTATTTTGCTACTAAGTTCTAATAGGCCGATCTCACTTAAAATTGGTCTAGGAATGATCAGCTCATGGTCCTGACAAAGTTAAGTTAACATTATACTATTTTTTACTCAAATTGGTACATATTTCAACAACAAAAATAAATACTATAGACTCAGGTGACCGTTAAGGCCCATGGGCCTCTTGTTACATTTTAACAAATAAATTCGGCAATGTGAAGTCAGCTTCTTCGCACTAACAACCACGTATCACAGTCGAAGTCGGAACAGTTTCTGGACACATAACAACTCTTTAAAAATACCCTATTATATCAACTCAAGCATGATTGTTCTACTTCTAAATATGTGTATCAACAATATTTATAGCAATGTCTATTGATCACTGATTTATTTTTACGTCAATTAAACTTGTTCCCCATGGCAAAGCGTTGTTAGGGTCACCATCGATGTATGGCAAGGTGATTGTATACGTATTGGCGTCGTTAATTAAATCAATGTCTTCACCTTGTGTTAATGTACGTAGTAACGTGAAGCAACACAATTATATGTTATACATAACGTCATTAATCTTACCATCTCGTTGTGGAACAGATTCCAAATATATCGAGGATGATTTTATGCATGAAAACACAGAAATATGTTATGACATTTGTGTCTCTGTTTTGTGATACCAGTTAATTGTTGATATACAAATGTAAGTTTTAATTGAACTACAATGTAGTAATTTTGGTGAACTGATATCTTTTCAATCTTTAACTGTTACCTCATATGTGAGCCAGGTGAAAAACCAGGTCCGAACGCAATGTTGATAAAACGGTAGTGGTATGAACAAAACAAAACTTCATACTGGTGAAATTTCAACTGAATAAAATTCTTCTTAATATGTAGGCCGTGTGATGGGAAAATATAGGTCATAAATAGGTTCTAGGAGTCTTATGAGTTCAATGACCAATTGTATTCCACAACTGACATAATTAGGACATCAGCATGATAATTATTATTAAATTATTACTGAAGAAGAGGGAGAATTTCAAAGAATATTGTCTAAAACGAAGTCTTAATCACTTGTGTAAAATATTAGTCAGTGCAAAATAGCAGTTTCCAAATGGATAATGATCCCCGTCAGAAACAATTTGAAAAAGCGGTACCGGGAAATGTATTTCAGATCTTTTAAAAGCAATGTCCCATACAAAGTAAACACGCCTGGTAGATATACAATTACCCTTCAAATTGCACATCACAACTGACAATTTAATATGTAGTTTAAACATTAAAGAAAGTCTTGATGACGTCATACACTTTTCCCTTAGAAGTTCCTCTTTTTCTAAAGTATTAAATTTTACCGTTTAGTCCCATAGGAAATTAAATAGATACTACTAATATTTAAATTTTTTTCATATTTTGTAGAAAACATTATAGTAATATTGAAGTGCTTCATTTTGTATGATATTTACTGTCGAACTTGATTTATATGAACCTGTGTTTTAACACTTGCTCAGTTCGACAGAGATGAATTGCTTAACTTCTGTCAGCAAAAGCTGATTGTCGGTTTGCTATTTAACTAGCTATTATTCATCTGAAAATGACTGCATGCTACTTTAACATTTTTTGAGATATTTGCAATACGCCATCACGTAATATAATGTTGACATTCCGTAGTAGGCATCGAAATTATGAGGTTTAACAGAGTGAAAGAAGTTAGAGCATTAAAAACTCATATAAGATGTCAAAAACTAAATCCACAAAACCCCACAAAAGCCTATGATTCAATCTTAATAACTATTACTCGAAAGTTGACTCTTCTATTAACTTTTTTTAATCAAATGCAATTTAAATTGGTGGACTGAATTTTATTCAGTGTCTTTTAATTGGGGTTTTGGTTATTCTTCAGAATATAGTGATTCGAAAGCCAGTGACTGATAACAACCACTAGCCGCACTGTGCCTCACATTTAAAATAATATTAAATTGCATGGGAACAAGCTATTATGAGTTGATTTTCAATACAATAAAATGGTGAAGTATCAACTTATTTCTGTCTTATATTGAATTTTTTTCGTGTCTATATTTGGAGTAAGAGACAGAAACTGAGAAAGGAAAAGCCTCGTCGTATGTTTTCTGTATTAGATGTATGAATGAGTTTAAAGTAGGTCACTGCTAGTCAGTCAAATAACAAACCTTATGAAGAATAAGGATCACAAACTCCTTATATAATACTACATTTCCAAATAAGTTCTTCCTTTCTCCAAAACATAGTGATTATTTTAAGATTGAAACAGCAGCGACAAATGTTATTTTATGTATTTTTTACAAAAGTAATCAATGTTTTATAAAGGTGAACGATTCTTTGATGCTGTGTTTCAAAATGTACATGTCCCTGATTACTTATTGCTATGGTGTGAATGTTCATGTGCACTGCTTGCTCAGAATGTTTACATCTCGGGGTTCAAATGAATCTCATACTACGGGTTTATTTGGATTCCTGTTTCTCACCAGTGACTGACGTTCCCCTCACTTACGTTTCTGCAATAGCAGAGTAAACAACATAGTTCACCAAAGGACTTTTGGTATACACAGTCGCCTGTCGTGTCCGGAGGTTTTGTTACTGCTGAACTGAGACTTCTATTGCTACTTTCATGCAAACATTGGACTTTTTTTTTCTTCAAAATTGAATGGTACAGTTAAAGCGACCTCATCTAATGCAAAGTTCATCGAAATTGCTGAATACACTGAGAGCATTTGGATTTTATTCGTTTTTGCAGATATACGCTAAGTCACTAGAATTTCCAAATGGTAATTCATCGGCGGATTACGGAATTAAATTTCATGACCCGGATGGAGTATAACACCTGTGCGTGTAGGTTGCTAAGGTTACGGTGCTATAACATTCTGGTCAGGTGACATTATGGTAAAAGGATGCAAATGAAAGCAAGTTCCCATAAATAAACGGCACACCAATATTCCTCGAGCACAAACAGGCCCGCACGCATATGAAAGTATAAGCTGGGTGGCATTTGTCATGTTCGCGTTCATTCACAGTAGAGGTTTACCGAGTATTCAAATATCTGGAAAATATATATACAATCGCGCTTAAGAAAGAAATCGGTTGAACATAATCATGAAGTTAAATAATTTACAATACAAAAAAGCCGAAAAAATGGATAAATACCATTATTTACATATATTAAACTGTCGCTATTTAATGATATCGTGATTTAGAAAATAATAGTACGGAATACTTTCTCTCTTAATAAGTCATATTATTAAAAACTCGTTATTGATCACAAATACGTATGCTCACTTGAATAGCCGAGTTGACCTACTATTTTCAAAACTAGGAAAACAATACTATTTTCATATTCTGGTACTTGCACTGTTGATTTCCTCGTTTGTACTAGAACTTGAAATTTTATTCCACTATAACCATGTTTCGGTAATAACACTATTGTTTATCCTAGTATATAAATATGTTTTGTTCTTTCAGCTTTTCTTCCATCAGTCACTTGGTTGGCACAGTTTCGGGAACACACCTTATCATTGTTGGCCATCATCGGCGTCCTCATCAAACCCTTCACCGATAACATGTTCAGGTATTTTAACTTTTTAGTGTATCAATAATAAATATTTTAGAATATTTAAAATATATCTCTCCTACTCTTATTGATAAGTTAATCTTGGAAAATAATAAAAACAACACTATACTGAAAATGATATAATGATATTTAGGCAGTAACATGCTAGGATAAAGGGCTACTAAGTTTTGTAAAAATTAATGACCTTTACTTATATTCAAGGTCACAGGGTTCAAATATGTTTAAAACCTTTAAACAACTTCTTCTCAATAACCAAGAGGCCTAAGATGATGCTATTTGACCAGTATCATGCTCAGATGAAGGGCTACCAAGTTTGTTCAAACAAACGACCTTCACCTATTTTCAAGGTCACAGGGGTCAAATATGTTTAAAACCTTTAACTTCTCCTGAATATCCAAGAGGCATAGGCTAATGACATTTGGCCAGTAACATGCTGGGATGAAGGGCTACTAAGTTTATTCAAATGAACTACCTTTATCTATGTTCAAGGTCACAAGGGTCAAATATGTTTAAAAACTTTAAACAACTTCTTCTCAATGACCAAAAGGCCTTGGATGATGATATTTGGCCATTAACATGCTAGGATGAAGGGCTACCAAGTTTGTTCAAATGAATGACCTTTGCTCATATTCAAGGTCAAAGGGATCAAATATGTTTAAATCTTAAAATGACTTGTTCTGAATATTCAAAAGGTCCAAGGTAATGATATTTAGCCAAAAATATGGCGGGACGGAAGGCTATATACTTTCAAGGTCGCAGGCGTCATATGTTTAAATCATTTAATAGATTCAAATGGATCGAACACAGATAATCTGCCTGTAGCTGTGTATTAGTCCACAAGTGTGAGATTAATACCAGGTGAACGATTCAGGCCCATTGGGCCTCTTGTCTTGACACATTTCTTTATTTTCATACATTAAGATACAATAATGCATAAGAAGGATTTTAAGAATGTCATGTTAGCACGAGACGGGCGTATATTGTTACGCCCTGCGGTACTCTTGTTGATATCATTATTTATTATTCACACGATAAGTACTGGTCAAATGAGTACTTATACCATTGCAGCTTTTGTTTTTATTTCCTTTCACATCAGGAGTGCACATAGAATGGCTGGAAGCTCCTCCGACCGAAGTGATATCCAGTAATGCCTTCAACGTGACGTACGCCCTATCCTTGGATTCAACTTTCTACACGTGGGCCATTAACAATGGCTACTTCGGTACTGCTGGCGGGACAGGCTTTACGTAAGTATGACCTCAGATGAGATTTCCTCACACAAAGTAGCGTAACTACACAGTCCTGTGTTTGCATGTGTATGAGTACTAGTAGAACTAGTATAAACATGTACATGCACAATTAACATTAATTGCAATTTACGGGATTTTGCCATTTAAATTATACTCTTTCTCTCTGTTATTGACTTGTTTCGCCTTTATTAGGGCCCCGTATCGGAGATACGGGTGCCCTATAGTAATCACTCTGTCTGTCTGTCTGTCTGTCTGTCCACAAATTTTGCATCTTTTCACTGATGAGCATTTGTTAATGACATGATGAAACAAAGTTGATCATAATTAAACAAGGAGTCAACTGACCGAAGGTCAAGGTCATCGGGTCTAGGTCAAAGGTTAAGGTCAAATTTTATAGCTTTTCACTAATGAGCATTTATGACATTATGAAGCAAAGTTGGTCGAAATTCCACAATGAGTCAACTGACTTATGGTCAAGGTCACTAGATCAAAGGTCAAGGTCAAATTTAGTATCATTTCACTGATGAACATTTTGTTATGACACTATGGAGCAACGTTGATCAGAATTAAACAAGGAGTCAACTGACGAAAGGTCAAGGTCACTTGGACAATGTCAAGGTCAAATATTGTACTGATGAACATTATTTTTATGTTTTTATGAAGCAAAGTTGTTCAGAACTTAACACCGAGTCAAATGACCTAAGGTCAAGGTTAAGAGGTCCAAAGGTTCAAGGTCAAGTTTTGTATTTTTCACTGATGAACATTTTGTTATGATATTATGAAGCAAAGTTGGTCGGAATCAAAGAATAATTCAACTGACCAAAGATCAGGGTCACTGGGTTAAAGGTCAAGGTCAATTGGGTCTAAAGGTCAAAGACAAAGTGGATCTCTGACTTTGACCCTGGCTCTTGATCGAGAAGGTATTTTAAGTGAAATAAAACATATCAAAGCTAACAAATGAGTATTGCACCGGTATTTACATTTCTGTTAGCCTAGCAAATATGGAGGTGGAAGGAAACAAGACTCACATCATAGTACATGTTAAATGTATATTTTGCTTCCTTGTGATTCTTTTTGAAGTCCAAATATCAGACGTCAAGCTCAGCTATATTTGCAGATTGCTTCTTGATGATTATGGCAGATATATTGCCACAAGACGGGGCCCTTACTGACCTGTCAGTGTTCTAGTTGTTCAGGCGGTTCTTGATTACATTCTTTTTATGCTTCCCTTCGTTCTGGTTATAGAAAATGAAACAGTTTGAAAAAAAAATCTTGAAATGTAGAATACGTGATGATGTCATATATTGAACACTGTACATAATTTAAGTCTAGATACATTTTCTTAATTTTAATATGGTGAATCAACATTATTTTCAGTAATGCAACGGCGGCACAGACCTGGTGTGAAAATACAGTCTGCCCAGATTATACGACCGCCACAGAAATCAACTGCTGTGTTCACCATGTCAACGTCCACTCCTGTCCTCTAGATCAGACGGACAACTCTCTGTGTGGACCATGGATTCCAGACGACGGCGCAGTTTTTACTCACTCCCAGGTCCTGGTAGGGCATGTCCTTGTCCAAAACTGGACAAGTTATATACCAGGTCTCGTTCAACTTGGTATTAACTCCATAATAGCTCATTTCAAGGTAGCAGATCTTCACATCGTCCTGGAGGCCAAATCAACTGTTAAACCAAAATCAGGTAAATTTCATTTAATTTTATTATTCCTATTTTGCTTTTACCCAATATTTGACTATAACAATTAGCACAATATTTATTTTCCGGGTTTTAGTTTGAAGCGTAAACACGATGTGTGTCCTTTTTAGCATTAAGAATTTTGTGTGGTTATAATGACCGTGAAAAAATACTATATGAAACAAGAAAATCACTACTGTGAAAAAAGGGAATTTTCGCCACAAATTTCTTTCTATTGTTTGCCATTTTTACCGTTAAAACGAAAGGAAATATTATACACAGGAGCGACAATATTATTAACATGTATAAAGTGATTAGAAAAAGCGGGTTTACAGGCAGAGAATCAAACATTGAGCGAATATTTCAGACTACAAAGTTAGGCTGGGCGTTAAATTTACGCCTCGCAGCATGCAATAGTTCTAATGTTAGGACAGTACTTGTTAAAGGTGAACTGTTATAAAACACTCACAGAATGTTCAAACTCCTGTAAGGGACATTATTGTATCGTGTTGGTATTATTTGATTCGGTTCGAATGAATAGACGTGAATGATTCTTCTAACCTCTCCCGTGATTTGTTGTTGGAAAAGTGTTGGTTCGATTTAGTACCACAGAACCTTTCATTTATATGTATTATAGTGTATAGTGTATTAGTGATTAACAAATAACTTTCACCAAATAAAAGTAATACACAGGAGGATTTATCGCATTGTGTGCGATGTAAAAAGTGTGTATAAACATGTTTGTAATTGAGGGTATAATAGTTCTTATTAGCAAGTATCATGTAATTTTACAAACCAATATTTACATAGTCAGCCCAGTCTAAACTCGTGACGTGCTAATCAGACCTAGAGTGCATGGTTCTGCCAAGAAGGGCTTTCCATTAAAAATCAATCTATTCAATAAAAGAAAGTCATTATACAGAATGCTGTCACATTATGATTGGGAAACGTTTCACGGTAAACATACTTATATAATTGTAGAATAATATTTACGATGTGATTATTAAAAAATAATATACTTGTATATACATTAACAATGAAAATGCTGTATTCAATGGCTTTTTAAATATCGGTGGAAACTTTGTCGATAGATATTTTATCATCGGGGTTTTGATATAAAATATCACTATACAAAAGTTTGTACTTTCTTTTAGCCTGTTGGTGACATAAGGTTCCCATCAATGCTAATGGATAAAAAAAAGTCTTTATTAAAAGTAGTGTTCAATGTGGGTCACCAAAAAATTAATATTTCCCAATTATTAGCTCACCGGGTCCGAAGGACCAAGGTGAGCTTATGCCATACCGTAGCGTCCGTCGTCCGTCCGTCCGTCGTCCGTCTGTCAACAATTTCTTTAAACGACTTCTTCTTAACCACTGATTGGAATTTATCTAAATTTGACTGGAAGCATCCCTAGGTGGTGGGGATTTCAAAATTGTACAAATGTTGGGGCTGACCCCCCAGGGGGCTGAGGGGCGGGGCAAAAAGGGGGCAATTTGGCTATTTTACTTTAAGCGACATCTCCTCTGGAACTAAGAGATGGATATCAACCATATTTGACTGAAAGCATCCCTAGGTGGTGTTGATTCAAAATTGTACAAATGTTTGAGCTGAGGGGCGGGGCCAAAAGGGGGCATTTTGGCTATATTGCTACAAACAACTTCTTCTGTAGAACTATGCACTGGATATCAATCATATTTAATCAGAAGCATTCATGGGAGGCAGGGATTCAAAATTGTACAAATGGTGGGGCTGACCCCCGTGGCGGTTGAGGGGCGGGGCCAAAAAGGGTTATTTAGCTATATTACTTTAAGCGACTTCTTCTCTGGAACTAAGAGATAGATATCAACCATATTTGACTAGAAGCATCCCTAGGTGGTGGGGATTCAAAATTGTACAAATGGTGGGGCTGACCCCCCAGGGGGCTGAGGGCTGGGCCAAAAAAAGGGCAATTTGGCTATATTGCTATAAACGACTTCTTCCGTAGAACTATACCATGGATATTGATCATATTTGGTCGGAAGCATTCATGGGAGGCAGGGATTCAAAATTGTACAAATGTTGGGGCTGACCCCCCGGGCTTAGGGGTGGGGCCAAAAAAGATATTACTTGGAAATGGTTGAGATCCCCACCATATAACCATATATACAATTGCTGAGTATAAGGAGAGGAATGCACATTTGCTTCCAGGATGGCCCTAGCGTCTGGCCCCACCCTTGGAGACTTAAACCCTGGGTCATAACTTTGAAACGGTTAAGATCCCCACCCCAAAACTATATATACAATTGTTGGTCATAAAGAGACGAATGCAGTCATGATATTAGAATTGACCCCAGGGTCTGCCCCACCCTTGCAGACATAACCCCAGGGTCATAACTTTGAAACGGTTGAGATCTCCAACCCAAAACTATATATACAAATGCTGGGCAAAAAGAGACAAATGCAGTCATATTAGAATTGATCCTGGGGTCTGGCCACAACCCTAGGGACCTAGTTTCTGAATCACACCTTGGAAACAGTTGAGATCCCCACCCCATAACCATACATAAAATTGCTGGGCATAAAAAATCAAATACAGATATGCTACAAGGATTGGCCTTGGGGTCTGGCATATTCCCTTTGATCTCATTTGGAGAATATTTTGCCATGATTGCTTAGATATCCAGGTGAGCGATACAGGCCCTCTGGGCCTCTTGTTTATTGATTTGAGCTACCGATTTGTCAAATAATAGTCGACGTAGTAACAATGCACTATATGTAACGCTATCATAAAGTCAGTTATAATATTTCGCAGATTTTGATAACGGTGAATTTTACAACTATTGTGTTAACGTCATATATTGAAAAGTCAAACTTTCCCCATACACTTTTATCAATAATTTCCAGATTGAATTAAAATGTTGTTTTGAAGCATACGATGAAATAATAAATAGGGCTTGCAAAGAGTAGCTACTTACCTTATATTTAACTTGAACAGCTACACCAAAATAAAAGCCAAAGTCCGGACAACCATATTCTACTTTCTATAATGAGTGATATAAATACTGGTAAGATGCTTCTATGTCAATAGAAACGGTTTGCTTTCAAAGGAACAAACGTTACGATCATATTAAGATTAATCTTATGTTCTTGTTTTTGGAAGTGGGAATGCATTTTGTTTACATACCTATATTGAAGCGAACTAAGTGTGATTTTATAAATACCTTTTTCATAATTTAATACTTTCAAATCCACCGTATTCAGTTTAAACCTTGTATAAATCATATATTAAAAAAACTTGCGATGTATTTCATACTCCATCATATATGATAATGTCCGACGAAAATATATATTAAATTGCATGCTTAATTATATATAAACCATAATATTTCTTTGTAGCAGATCAGCTTGGTTGATAAATAATTTTTTGACCATACTGTTAAGTTATAATGATTTGGAATATGCTTGTTTTGGTGGGTGGAGATGCCTTTTACTTAATATATACTTATGTACACTAGCGCAATGAATATATTAGTAGCGCAAATAGAAGGGTCGCCTAATGTTTGTTGTCACCGTTCTTTGAACTTGACGTATATGTGTTAATATACCTTAAATGCGTATAGGTTTAATATTGAAATGTCATCGTTTTATAAAGCACTTGATTTTAAATGTTAGAAAGTTACCAATGTAATCCTTGAAAATGTTCACTATTCATGTTTATTTGCATTACTAACATTTTCCTGCTGAGCCTATACAAGTAGGCGATATCGTACAACAATGTATGAATCTCACCTCCGAGCTTACTTAAGGGGAGTGTGGTGGGACAAATCAGCCAATTGAATCATTCAATACGTAGTGGAGTGCCGTGTAAATACTTAACAAATGGTGAGAGTCTCTGTTAAGGACCAGCTAATGGTTTCAACTAAATATGCATAATCAGTGTAACAAAACTGTTTGAGAGATAGGGAGTTCATTTATTAATTGTTCCAAATTTCTTAAACCATTTCAGTCATTTTTCGTTTACCATGGCGTATTTGACAGTACAAAAAAATAAATAAGTAAATTAAACAAATAATAAATAAATCCCCTCTTTTAACTTCCATTCACAATCGAATTACATAACACTTCATTTCACAAATATTACGTTAGTTTACATTATCAACGTTTGCTCCGTCATGAATATGTTTATGATCTAACTATGATGTTATCTATTAACTTATTTTCATATATCTTTGCATAAACTGTTCAGCTTACCTCCTTGCAGTTGGTCGATACGCAAGTGCCTTAAAATAATCACGCCGTCTGTCTGTTTGACTGTTCATCCACTATTCAAAAACACCCGGCGTCCGTGGTTCGTCGTCCGTCCGTCGTCCGTCCTTAAACAATTCTTGTTATCGCTATTTTCTCCGGAAGAACTAGAGGGATCTTTCTTAAATTTTATTTGTAGGTTCCCCTTGGTCCTAGCTGTGCAGGGCAATTTTAGAGACTAATTGGATAATTAACATGGCCGACAGGCAGCCATCTTGGATTTTGGTAGTGAAAGTTTGTTATCGCTATTTCTCGGGAAGTACCAGAGGGATCTTTCTCAAATTTTATCTGTAGGTTCCCCTTAGTCCTAATCTATGCAGGGCAACTTTTGAAACGGATCAGATAAACAGCATGGCCGACAGGCAGCCATCTTGGATTTTGATATTGAAAGTTTGTTATCACTATTTCTCAAGAAGTACCAAAGGGATCTTTCTCAAATTTTATATGTAGGTTCCCCTTGGTCCTAAGCTGTGCAGGGCACCTTTTGAGACTGATCGGATAAACAACATGGCCGACAGGCAGCCATCTTGGATTTTGATAGTGAAAGTTTGTTATCGCTATTTCTCCGGAAGTACTTGAGGGATCTTTTTTAAATTTTATATGTAGGTTCCCCTTGGTCCTAAGCTGTGCAGGGAAACTTTTAGAGACTAATTAGATAAACAACATGGCCGACAGGCAGCCATCTTTGATTTTGATTTTGAAAGTTCGTTATCGCTATTTCTCGGGAAGTACTAGAGGGATCTTTCTCAAATTTTATATGTAGGTTCCCCTTGATCTCTCCTTGTGCATGTTATATTTTGAGACTGATCATAATATCAAAATGGATTAAAAGAAGAACTAAACAGATCTTTCTCATATGGCAATGATCGATTCTATTTCTTTCACATTAAGTACTGTACTAGTAAATATGTGAAATGACAAACTCACTTTGAAGGTTGGCTTTCATACACATCAGTATTAAGTTTAGATCAAAAGTTACCTCAAGGTGCATTTACTGTTAACATGACTCGATCAAACAGATTAGAGGAAAGAAGAACTAATGAAGATGGTACAAAGGTGGGCGCCAAGATCCCTCTGGGATCTCTTGTGTTTTTTATGATAACATTAACGATTGCATGTAAACATTAAATCTGATGTGATCGTCATGAAGGAACTCTTAAATTAATTTTGAAAATGTGCATTCAATGTTAAGGTCATTGTTGTACTATCAAAGCTTGCTTTTCTTTCAAACGATATTGGTTTGGACGCATTTCAGAACAAATATTGTGCGTTGATCTTCACTGAAGGAACACCCCTATTAGTTTTAGAGGAGCATGACCTTTAAGTCAGGCAATATGACGTCAAGATCAATGGTACTAAAAATATTTTTTATCAATCTCTAGCAAAATTGTTTTTGTTATATTTCTCAACAGATTTCCGTGAAAGTTATGTATGAATATAATTTAAACGAAATTATCTTGACAATATGTTAAAATTTCTTTTATTTCGGAAAGCATTAATTCATAAAAAGGATAAATTCCGCGATAAAATATCAGTCGTTTGTCAATGTAAACATAAAACATGTGTAAGTTGTACCCGATAATGTTTCTGTTGTGAATTGCACCTTTGCGTTTGGAAAGAAATTGCAAAATTAAGTATTTAGAACTATTTTGTAATCATTTCAAGATATATAAAAAAAAAAAACACAGCAACAATGTTCTCAATTCTCTAACCCACCTTAAATGTTCATCTCAGCGGGGCTTGGCGACCAATACGTTGTAGTTTTAAAGTTTTTCTTCTGTTGTAAATTTATCAGTTTGATGTCTCTTTAGGTTTAAATAAGTTCAAGAACATAATTTGAGTTTATTTTCCTGTATATAGAATGTGGGAATAGTGCGTGCGAGACTGAAGACGGTGAGGACTGTGAAACCTGCCCAAAGGACTGTGGAACATGTCCCCTCAAAGACTGGCAAATCGGGCTGATCGCATCGATTGGCATTATCCTTTTGATAGTGGCCATTTGCACGGTTCTAGTATGTGATCTACATTTGATAATACTAAAACAATACATTCGAATAGCTTATGTACTTAGTTTTACAATGATTTACGAGCTTATTAATACTAGTATATATTTAATACCCACTGTAAAACAGGAGGGAAAAATAAAGAGTTCTCATAGCTTAAATTATCCGTAAGTCCATTTAAATACTATAGCAGATAGAAAATGGTTCTAAATATCTACATATGTTTTTGCTGCAGATGTGGTGTGTTAACTTCATATCACTTAGAACAAAATGTCCTAAACCCTGGTCAGGATTTATTCTCTCATTATATTTTTACAAAACAATGTGCATGTTTCACATTGTAATAGAATGTTTGTAAATTATAGTGTAATTGTATATTTCAGTATTTCCAGTACCAGAAAAGGAAGTTACTGTGGGACGAAAGTTGGATATTACCGTACGAAAGAATCAAAGAAGGTAATAGTATTGTTATACTTGTCTATTAAATCGAACGATTCGAAATCACTTTTGGGAACTTCTTATCATTTTGACAACCTTGTTCGTGTTATTTTTAGATGCATTCAAATTATGTTAAACTTTACACATAATAAATAACGCGAAAACAAAATCATTTTCTTATAGATGCAGGATTGCGAGGGGCGTTTGGAAGTATGGTCAGTATGACATGTGGAAGCGGGCAGGATATGACAGGACAGTCCAACAATATGGCCATGTCTGCAATGAGGAAGCAAGTTTTTGCAAAGACGGCTATTGTGTTAGTATTCATCAGTTAATATAATTTTGTTATTTTTCTCACTTGGGCAATGAATACTTTTATTAGTATGAATAGCATCAAGCCATTCAATAAACTTCAAAAAATGCAAAATACAATGTTACCGCTGTTAAAACAAAGACGATTATGGTAATACAGAATGCACTTTTTTCTTTTTTTTTTCTGTAGAGATGGACGAACTGTGGCTGTACGAAATATAACAAAAAAGGATTTTTCTGTTACTGAAACAATTCGATGGGAGGTAAAAAGTGTAAGGTAAGAAATCTTTCTTAGGAAATCATGGTGAATAGATTAAAAGATACATATCTATTCCTTGTGAAACTTGACTGGATCCACAACCCCAGCATCAGTTAAAGCAAAGTTAATAGATTATTTGATAAATTTCACTATCCGTTCTTGTAACATAAAATGTAATATCATTAAACATTAGCCATATTTCTCAGCGATAAGTTTTATAATAGAATATCTTGTAATATATTTTTGTCATTGTCTACAGGGAACTAGACCATCAAAATATATGCAAATTTGTTGGTGGTTGTATAGAAGTGCCTAACGTTGCAATTGTCTCTGAGTATTGTCCAAAAGGGAGCATAAGTGACGTCCTACTCAATGATGAAATACCACTCAACTGGGCTTTTCGGTAAGTTGTAAATAAAAATACACTTTTTAAATAAAATATTGGTTGACAATGCTACATCTTCGCTGGAAAATATTTTTTTCCTCTGCCTAATGCATTATTTATTTATCTTTACATCGCATGATAATCTCATTGTAAATCAATTCGTGCAAGGAATTATATTTATTATTGATTTGATTTTGGTTTGTAGGTTTTCTTTTGCTGCTGATATTGCAAGAGGAATGGATTACTTGCACTCCAAAAAGATAATGCATGGCCGACTGAAGAGTAGTAATTGTGTAGTAGACGACAGATGGACCGTCAAAATATCAGGTACAATGACGTAGGTACGGTATATAAACTTGGAACGAAACACGTATTTGATGCAGGAAGAAAACAGTTCATATTCACTGCGCTATTTTGTTTATTCAAGACTCATCAGTGATAATAAAAGTCAAAAGCATGATTATCTATATATTAATTGTTCCAAAAAAATGAAATAAATGGCAAAGGTCATATAAAATCCTTTATAACGTTGTTAAATCTCACTTGTGGTTGCAAAATATATTTTGATAAAAACAGCAAATATTTCGTTTAGACTGTACCAGAATATATTCAAGTTACAGAGGTGACGGCCAACCTCTGAAACTAATCGTCAGCTAGAGTTAAACATTCCTTGACGTTAAGTAATCACTAGCAATCCATACATAGGGCGAGGAAGCGCCTGTTCCTTTAGAAAGTTGACGCTGTAAAGTAAACATTTACTGAACTATTCATCAAATTAATACTCACACTTCAGTGGATAATAAGTAGAACAGCATTAAGTGAAATGTATACAGAGAAATATAAGTATATCAATAATCGCGATGTTCAATTATTACTGGGCGATAAATACACTGTTTAAATACTAAGTACACTGATTTTGGAGTAGACAATTAATGGACTAATATTATATCAGGTGCAATAATGTAGTGGACCTAAGATTGGAAGTATGCAATGGATGATAGATAGACTTTCAAAACATCATTTATCGTTTACAATGATGTAGTGGACGACAAAAAGGAAATGTACAATTAGGATACAACTGTAAATTCAATGTGATATGTTGGATTAAGATTGAGATAACAACCTCCTCAAGTCTATAATGAATTCATTCAATTGAATGAAGTCATTTATTACTCAAAAAACACTTGTTTTGCATATTATAAAAACCACTACGTCGACTTGTTCTGCATTTTTGCATTAAAACCTAAATATTTAAATCGCCTAATCACAGATTATGGATTAGAGGAGTACAGAAGACAAGATAAAGTCCTGACGGAAGACGATGATGACAATGAAGCAGACGAATATTACAAAACAATGCGAGAACGTGTTTACAAGGCACCAGAAGTGTTTGGCTTCGATGAATATGAGGCGACGGCGCTCATCGATATGTATGCGTATTCGATCATACTCATAGAGATAGCGACCAGAAATGATCCATACGAGGTTTGTATAGCAATAATAATTCACATAGCGATCGTATTTAGCCGTACACGAATGTACAAAGATATATACCGAAACTAGTTTTGATAAAACTATTATACGTGAAAGGTAATAACTTTCCTCAGAAAAGAAAAATAACTTTATTTATTTCAACATTCTTTTTTTTCTTAATTGTTTTGCACTTTGTAGGATGAAGATCCATTCGATCTACCTGCTCGATGGAAACCACCTTTACCGGATCTTTCTCGCGAAAATGCAGAAGATGCAGACAGCGCGTGCCCTTGTCCAAAACAATATATTCAGGTACAAGGCATTGCAATGATGATGCACGTTCAAGAAACGTGTACAGTGTCACATGTTAAACTTTGGTTTTCATGAATTTACATCAGATGTTATATTTGTAATTGGTAATGAACAATTTTGATGTAAATATTTCGCTGTAAATCTATTTGAAAAGATAGTGAATTTGATGTTTTGCAGCTGATTCAGGATTGCTGGGATGACAACGCGTCAAAACGACCTTCGTTTGAAAACGCCAAAAAAGCCTTACATGTCATGAATCCCAACAAGATGAGCCCGGTTGATCTAATGATGGCAATGGTATTTACGTGCTTGTTTGATTGGTTTTAGAGAATCAAAATCCTCAACTTGAGCTAATGTACCTACTCAGTGGATGTGTATTAAAAAAAACTACGAAAACGTACAGGATAGCAAATCTAAATGCATTACAGAGATTGTTATTAACATAGCACTATATGTAACAATGTATTCAACCTTAAGATACCTTCGTTTAACTATATGCATTGCACACATTTTTTTTTCAGGAATAAAATCTCGAGGAATGTGTTTTTTTCTGATAAACATTGTTAATGCGATCACGACTTTATTGTATATTGCCTTATTTCATTGATCATGTATATGGCGACATTACCTAAATAAAAGAGCATGTACAGGTTCCGCTAACATTTTCTTCACAATTTTTCATCAGATGGAGAAATATTCAAAAAATTTGGAGGTAATAGTTGCTGATCGCACACAAGACCTTATACTGGAAAAACAAAAAACGGATCGCCTGTTGTACAGTAAGTATGATACTATTTCATGTAAGGTATATGTTCCAAATGAGTTAATTGCAATGGACACCGACTCTTACTTTTGTTACACAACTAAAGCCTTGATAATTACCAGAACTGTTCATAAGTATTTTAGGAAACTTAATGATTTATGTGTTATCGTATGTAGTCCATTTTAAAATAACGACAAAACTTACCTTTAAAACACACTTTTTCAATCCACTGTTCCTTACTGTCAGGTATGTTGCCTGTAACGGTCGCGGATGACCTGAAGTATGGCCGAACGATAGCTGCTGAACAGTTCGAGGCGTGCACGATCTACTTCAGCGACATCGTGGGGTTCACCAATATTTCGGGCGGAAGCACGCCGATGCAGGTGGTGGCTTTGCTGAATCACCTCTACATCACCTTTGACGGCATCATCGACAAGTACGACGTCTACAAAGTGGAAACGATCGGAGATGCGTGTATGTTGGGTCTGATTTAGTCTTGTTAGTGTGTGATATACTTTAAGAAGACATTGAAGTTTTGTGAACTATAAATGTTCATCCGATAGAACTCGCGTTTAATTCATTTTTTCAACGCTGTAGAACGTATCACGAAAGTCATATATGTTCTTAAGGATTATTTAAATTTCTGATTAATTTAAAGACAACTTCAATCCTATTTAGAGTTAATGGTAATGTTATTCTTATGTTTGGAATATAAATTTTCTTTATACTCTTATACATATTCACAGATATGGTTGTATCAGGAATACCAAACAGAACGGTGTTTCATGCTCGAGAAGTAAGCAATATGGCTCTGGACTTGGTTGCCGCATGCAAAGTGTTCGAAATTCCTCACCGCCCAAACGATCCACTCAGAATCCGTGTCGGTTTACATTCAGGTAATTAAGTCCCCCAAAACAAAGTTTTGGGGACTTATTGTTTTTACTCCGTTTCTTATTATTATTATTTTTATTATTATTATTCTGTGTTCTTCTTCTTCTTCTTCTTCTTCTTCTTCTTCAGCCATGAACTTGTCCGGAGGTTTTCTCAGAAACTACTGGGCGGATAATCATGAAACTACACACATATACTCATTAGAGGGTCTAGGTGTGCAACAAGCTATTTTTATCTCGACCGGAAGTCCAAGATGGCCGCTATGAATTTTTGAAATTTTTGGGAATTTAACATTTCTAAAGGTGTTCGCTAAGGTTAGCCAATGTCACCTATCCTATTTTACATGTTTTACATATATTTTCCAATGCATTCCAAATTTGGCATATAGGTGTATGATGGTACCGCAAACACAACTATGACATCCGTTTTCTAATTAAACAAAATGGCCACCATATACTGGTTTCTGATTGGTCGAAGCTCCGTTGTAGTTCGATTTAGTTTAGATTTAGTATGTATGTGTAATATGGCATTGCAAACTCAACTGCGACATTTGTTTTCTAATTTGACAAAATGGCCACCATATACTGGGTTCTGATTGGTCCAAATATAGATGTTGTCTGATTGTCCCCGGAATCGGTACAAAAGGGTTTTGAGTGATGCCGAACACAATGGTAACAGTTTCGAGAAGGTCAGTTGTCATGGTAACGAAATTGGGGCCTCTGATTGGTCGAAATTTAAATGTTGTCTGATTCTGCCCAAAATTGATACATAAGGGTTTTGAGGGATTCCGAACACAATGGTAACAGTTTCAAAAAGCTCAGCTGCCATGGTAACGAAATGGACCCTCTAATTGGTCGAAATTTCGATGTTGTTTGATTCTACCCAGATTTGGTACATAGGGGTTTTGAGGGATGCAGAAAACAATGGTAACAGTTTCGAAAATGTCAGTTGCCATGGTAATAAAATTGATGCCTTTTATTGGTCGAAATTTAGATTTTGTCTGATTCTGCCAAAGATTTTAAGTCCAACAGGGGTTGTTGGGGGGCTTCTGTAACGGCCATCCGTTACAATTAGTACTAGTTATTATAAATACTCCATCCTTTTATTTCAAAAGTGTATTAGCTACATTGATTGACATAGAAATCGAAGAAATATGTTTTCGATAAGTTAGATTTTATTAACTAATGCGATGAAATGTTTACTATTTCTAAAGAACCCATTAAAATTTAAGAGATAAACATAACCAAAAATTCATAACCAAAAAATCATTGACTTTCTCTAAGGTTTCTTTCAGTGTGAATGGCACACAAGGTACTGGCACGGTACACGCACATGTTTAAAGTCTATGACGGTGGAGTCTTATTTACTTTACAACCAATAGTATGTACTAAAGAGATCTGCGCAGCGTAATCGTTATATATTCCAATCAATATTTGATCGGTACCACACCAACATACTTAGTGTTTCAATAAGATTTTATAGATCTTTCATTCGTATGGATTTTGGCAGATTACACAGTTTAAATTTGCACTCCTCTCGCGCCATTTAGTGTCCTCAGTGTCGTCGCAGAAACAGCAAACGTGTATGAATTGCAACCTCATATGGTATTTGACCTTCAGCATTAACATAGCTCTTGTTTGACCAAGGTTAATATTTATATAAGTTCACAAGGATTGAGAGATTGAGCATCGAAACGTCACAAGTTCCTATAAATATGATTTGCTGTAATATATCGATTACTTGGTTTTTGATGGGCTTTCTGTATCTTATTCAGAAGACCTATATTTTCTTTATCTAGTAGTTTTATATTTATGGTATATATGTATTCATTGTTGTATGTAATGCGTGAATTACCAGAGCTAATTTGGTACTTTCTCCACGCCTGTAGATTCAGAAAACTACAAATTTAATTGGTCAATTGATGTGGAATCGTTACTTCTTTATCAATTTCCCTAGGGCCTTGAACTATTTAAAAATTTCTTTACTTTTAGCCTGTAAAACTTATCTCGTTGTAACAGGCCCTGCCTCCTTGTGTTGATTAGCTGTTCAATTTATAAAATAAAACCCGTACGTCAAGATTACTCCCTTGTGTTACAGGTCCTGCCTGTGCGGGAGTGGTTGGACTTAAGATGCCAAGATACTGTTTATTTGGCGATACGGTCAATACGGCAAGCAGAATGGAGTCGAACGGAGAAGGTAAATCGTCATTTATATCAGATATTTTGTCATTATGCCATTGATGCAAAGAAGTTAGATATTGGCCCCGCTATATTGTATGGTTTATTCCTTTAGTCCAACACCCGATGATATACAATCTGTTTTTACTTTGCATTTTGATCATTTACCTAGCTAGTACAAATTCATTAATACATCAAAATTCAGAAGTTTATCTAGTGTGTTCCCTAGTTTACCTAGTGCGTTCCCTAGTTTACCTAGTGTGTTCCCAAATGTACCTAGTTTATTCCCTAGTTTACCTAGTTTGTTCCCAAGTTTACCTAGTTTGTTCCCAAGTTTACCTAGTTTGTTCTCAAGTTTACCTTGTTTGTTGCTAACCGATACACAATATGTTCTCCAGTATACCTACCTCATACATACCATTGATATGGAAAGTGGTCTTTAGGAAATTCAGCTGATACAAAATCATTCCTATACTACACTTTTTCATTCATCGAACTCATGCACAATAAATAATATTCAAACTATTTTAAAAATTACCGCACTACCACAGTAATCATATATTTGTTCATAATAGTTCTCTTGTACAATATTCTGTACTACTACAAGAACTGTTACCCCTCTGCTGCAACAATCCTTGATATACAAACCGTTTTCTGTTTTACAGCGTACAAGGTACATATCAGCCAGACAACATATCAGGAACTGAAGACATGTGGCGGCTTTAAGTTCGACCTTCGAGGAACTATTCCTGTTAAGGTTAGTAAACTATGTTTATTAGATGAGGAGATTGGATATCTCACTGACTACTATTTATTTTATTTGTTTATCCCCCGCCCAGCGAGGTTGGCGGGGGTTATACAAACGGGTTCCGTCCCTCCGTCTTTGTGTCATGTTACCGAAGAAACAAATACATAAAAATGTAAAATATGTCTAGAGCCTATGTCATCGAGGTGCTAGACTTGACATAATGACGTATTCCTAGCATTTCAGCCGTTGATTCACAATACAGGGTCAACCATGGTTTAAAATATTTCGCTAGGTGGCCTACAGTTGTTACAGCAACTATGGTCAAACCACCGTATTAACCATGGTCAATTCATAGTGTTACCATCAACAAATACTGGCCGACTATTCTTTTGAACATTACCCAAGTTTAAATGCGGTCAGTCACTTACCTGGGTGATTTGGTAATGTCTTTTTGTCACACACGCTCTATCACTCTTTCCCCCGCCCTCCACTCTTGGACGTTTTGAATGTCTTTCACATTTCTCTCTGGGGATCTGAATGACTATGTCCCTATTTTCGTTTTTGCTTTTTTAACATTTAGTTATTATATCCTGTTCTCTCTTTACGATGCATGCTATGGTTAATTATTCATGTTTTAGCATAACATAAATAAAGTATTTGAGGCTATATGTTTCTGTATATAATAAAATATTATTGAGAGAATGTTAATACATTTAGTTTAAACTTTGTTTTATTCACATAACATATGTAATACATAATACAAATATGATTATACATAAATAAATTGGAGACAGAAACAAGTGGTAATACACTTATATAAATCTGTTACCTTTCATCGAAACCAACATGATCAACTATAGCTTAGGGATAGTGACGTGAATAAATTACAGGGGAAGTTAGAAGAGAGTTTGGGAAATGCAGTGTAAAAATATGGTACATGTACAAAATACGTTATATTCATAAAATTAGTGTATTGTGGTCAAGAAAAATCTTTCTGTTGCGTCATCGTTAATACACTTTATGATTGATTTTCATACTGTTTCAAGGAAGGTATATATATGCATATAAGTAAGATATAAACAAACAATCTGCATTATGATGCTAACATAAAATATACTCTATGATAATCATAATCATGTGGATGTTTTTTCCATACGCGGACAGTCGTTGTGATAGACTGTTCACATTCCATACACTATTGCTGATCGATTGTTCGTCACATCCCGTGCCTTAATATGTCATTCTCCTGTTCTTTCTTGTCCTCCTGGTATATCCGTTTCCGCTAGACTGTTTGCATCGGGAAAGACCATCCACATGACCTACTTCACATACGTTATATGTTATCATATGAATACAAGGGTCATTGATTAAGAATCTTATTCAAAGACGTCACCTACATGATGTCCATTGAATGACTTTCTTATTTAAAAAAAAACCCCGTCAGATTAAACACTAGCTAGAAATTCCTGAAGCTACGAGTTAGCTCCCTTCCGTTGTTTACATCACCTGGTATGACCAGATGCGGTGAATTGAATATCTTTATATTGGTATTGAAGGGAGAAATAACTGAATAATGTTTCCTTACAATTCGTCATTTGAAAAAGTAAACATGAATAATGCTTTAGAAGATGCAATTATAACCTTGTTAAGAACCATCAGTCGAATTTGGATATTAAGTCGTGTACCGTCCCTTAAAAAATCTTCTTTTAATGTCAATACATTCTGTTTTGTTAAAATGAATCCTATTGTAATATCACAAACAAATCACCGTATTACCTACAGCTAAACAATAACGAGCTTAAGTACATGAAGGGTATTTTAGAGAAATGAGGGTTTTTGTCACGTATATATATATATCTCGTAAGACACGAGTATTTTTCCAATGAATGTTAAACACATATCATCTTATTTCATAAAATCAGGGAAAAGGCGATATGCAGACGTGGTGGTTACTAGCGAGGGATGAAAATTATGAAAAGATACACGGAAAGCTGTCTTCCAAACCTCAGGTATCCAATGGAAAGATAAACGGAAGCACAGATAGCTTGAATAAAAGCCTTGGGAAATCGCAAGACGTAAAAGCAGCCGAAACAAATGTGAATGGTTTAGTAAAGGGGGAACAGGTATTCACGCCTGTTGAATTGCCAGGTAAAAATACAATTTTACGTTCTTGCATTAAATATTTTCATTTTCTTTTTAACATTTTTTTGTTGTTTAGAAATTGCATGAATATCAATAGATTTTACGTCCAAATCAATTTCAAATGGCATGCTTACTATATTTACATATTTCACCTCTGGCTGTCGTTGTATATCCTACCAATTGAAAACTAGCATCAGGAAAATATAAGCCTAAAACCTATAGGAGTAAGAACTATTACATGTGAATGTTTTCTGACCGGAGACTGTTTGGTATTTCCATAATGTTGTTAAAGTAATAGGGAACCAACCATGGCACGACGTCAAATTCAAATTATAGCATGCCTTCCATACTTTTGTAGCATTGTTTGAATGGTCAAGAGTAATTTTTCTTTCAAAATTGTAACCAACAGTACCTTTTTGAGAGCATTCATTGATCATTATACTATCACAGATGCAACAAAAACAAGGAAAATCAGCAACATCAGTACTTCAAATGACTCGGGATACAACGAAAAACCTGATGATGACCCCGCCAATGTTCATGAGATTATTGTACAGAGTTGTGAATCCCTTCGAGGTATGTTCAATTGCTTGGTAGCTAGCTAAGTTCTTTTCTGGGATAACCAAGCATTCCAATCTTATCGAAAATAGGTGTTTGATACAAATTATAGCGATTTCCTTTATGCATGCTTTGTGCATGTTGTACGTTTTGCCAAACTTTGTTAGAATTGTTGATATATGTGTGATTCTTTTATTGAATAAGAAGCAGGTCTGATTTCTTGTTTTATTTCTGATGCATGCATAGATCATCTCATGATTCTTAAATAAGTTTGGGTGTATGTATAATGTCGCATGTTTAATATCCGAAGATATTTCTATAAATTGAAAATACATGATATCTTATCTTTTACGGACAGTTAACAGATGACTTCCAGCTTTGAGCGGTGTATACTGCAGAACGTTTTCTGTTGAGGAAAAATATCACAATCAACGATCACATCGATCACTAGTTGAAACAGATCATAAGTAAAGAACGCTTTGGAACATAGACCACATGTTGGATAGTTATTCTAATTAAACAAAACAGAAAAGGTTGAATATTTTAACCAGCTGTACCTAATTATTTTGAAGTAAATTAAAAAAAAAATGTCACTGTCATCACAGAAGGTCCTAAGTCAAAGTCAAAGTAGAAACGAAGATATCTATAAAAATAATCATTGTTCAGTACATGATCCATATGATTATCATACAGATACAATTATACCTAGTATCCTACACAAGTTAAATAACATTCATAGACAGATTTGTATTTATTGTCGAGTTCATGGCAAAAAATTTAACCATGGATATATTGTTAGATGTATTTATGGTCCCTATACTATTTCAGTTCCCTAAAATGACTTAACAAGTTGAGAAAAATGGATTAGGAAGCTTTGAAAACCGATTTTGATTGACAATTATAAAATGAGACACGAACATTAGACTTAAATTAGACTGTAGTGTCGCACTAAGACGACTGTCTTCTGCAGTTACATTTAAACACAATTTATATGGAAAATGAATATATGAAATATTTGTTAATTCCATTTCATTTTCCAGAGGTTGCAGACACTGATGCAGAGCCATGACGAGATAAAGATGTTTGTGAGAAACACTTTATAATAAACTGCAAAAACGTTGATTGCAAAAAGAGGATTATACTATTACCATTGCAGACGATAGTGAAGTTTCGTGATGGATATTTCCAAAACATGTGCTAGATGTATATACACATTGAACATGTTTTAGATTAGCGATACATTTGGTTGTGAACAAATAGTGAAACTCTTAATACTGCTGCCTTTCGTTTGTTGACTTCGATCCGTCATAGTGTTATAAATCTAGAGTATTTTATGTCCAGCTGTTGAAACAAAGCATGTGCTAGATGAATACACACACTGAACATGTTTTAGATTAGCGATACATTGGGCTGTGAACAAAGTGTTAAATTAGTAATACTGATGCCTTTCGTTTGTTGACTTTGATCTATGATAGTATTATAAATCTAAAGTATTTTATTCCAGCTGATGAAACAAACCAATCTTTTTCAACATAATTACTACCATATATAAAAAGTATGCTGGGCAAAGACACTTGATAGGAGGTTTGTTCATAAGAGAGCAAATATTTAATATGTGTATTTCACTCATTTAAGAGTAGCAGTTATCTCACTTTAAAATTTCTATATTCAGTTATTCAATAAACGTTACTTTAGGATATGTTAAAGACCGAATGTGATTAAAATATATCTATATCAGATGGAGCTATTTATGATTAGAAAATTCATATTTGTATACAGTCATGTTGATAATCTTCAAAAGAACACGACACACTTTTTAAAAGGACAAAATGAACCCAAATTATTCTTAGGATAAAAAAGCAAGATCATTGTGAACCGGAAGTAGGACAGTTTTGCTCCCGTGACGTATGTGTAATATTCAGAAAGACAATTCAGGTTCGAATCTATGACTTTTAGAGAAATTCATCGCATAACATTAGCAGTTTCTTGTATTCTGACATGGAAAACCATTGTGAAATTTATAATTTGAAATCATTTTTTTCCAAAATTCAGATAAAAGTCGTGATCTGTACTTAAACCATTAAAAATTCTCCCGTGGATTTACCACATATTATTCACTACGAAACTAGACGTGCATTTAAATAGTTCGAAATTAATAAATTAAATGTGTAAGAACTGGTAACAGAAAGGTAAGTATTTAATTTGAAAGAAGTTAATTGAAGTGAATAATCTGAGAAGAAATTACTCAAATTATAGATTAAACCAAAAGTCTGCATTTAACTGTGTTCAATTTTAATCAATGAAAGTTATCAAAATGAAAATGATGTATAATTGTAATGGTTCTTGATAATTTGTTGTTTAAATTAAAAGAGGCTTAAAAATAGTTATAACTTTGTTTTAATCAGTTTTAAGAAGAAGTATCACCTCTTTTCTTAATGGTTCGAATATTTATTAAACTGACCATAAAGAATGATATAACATTCTTTTTAAAAGATAGAAATGTAGGGCATATTGACAAAATGGGGTGCTGGGATATTTGTTACTGCTTCACATGGTATCTTAAATATGTCACTATATAACGCAAAATACAGCATACAGTAGACGTATTTTGCTGTCGAGGCCGTTTTGATTTAGTTTTTTTTTATATATTAATGCTATTGTAGTATGTTTTTATGTTTCAAATTGTGTTGCTGAAACGGTTGAAACCACTTGTGGTTTACATTTATATGAAAATTATTTTGCTGTTGCCATTTTCGAAGATGATGGTGGTAGTTTATGAAAAAACGTAAAAGTTCAAACGATTATCAGTACAGAAGCTGTTTTATTGGATATTTTAGAAATCTGTAGCTTGAAGACTTTGAAATGTATTTAAATGTCAGTAATGATGTGCTACAAATTCGTTTCCAAATCTGTTTGAACTTGGTGCATATTTAACTGATTACGTAATGAAAGGACAATCATGTTGTTATTTGTTATGTTAGTAAAAATGAATTCCATCTATCTTATGATGTCTTTTGTTTTAACTAGTCATTTTAAAACAAGTCATTTTACCACACAATACTACAAATCTTCATGATATAGAGAAGTTAAAATGTTGTATAATAGTCAATTCGTTAGAACATGTTCATGTTCATGTAAATTGACATGCAAACAGAGAAAGGTAGTCAACGCTTTAGTTTCTGTTTCTTCGATTGGAACGAGTCACTGCTAGTTAATGACTTGGCAAATGTCTAAATGGCATTAGAACATCATAGGTGTCCACCAATCGTCAGGTATTACAAAATGGGGAAGATGCCTTAGCGGCCACCTTTTAACGGAATTACCCAAAAAGGTGAAGATTTATTCTCTTTACAATATAGTATATGTTGGTTACATAGAATTTTTTTAACTGTTCCCAAGTACTCGGAAAGCGTCTTAATGAATTTATTATGACAATTGCGTGAATCATATTGTCTGTTTGTGTTACCAAGGCAACGGTGGTACAACATATTTGACAAAATGACAAGAATTGCATTTTTACACGCACACGTGTTCCTGGTGCACGAGTAAAATAACGGCTTGTGTTCACCTCACTGTAGGCATTGTCAAATGCAAGACTTGTCTTTCAGAAACGCATAGCTCAAGATCACGTATACCTTTCGTATTAGAAAAGAATTAGGACAAATACTGGTATTCAGAAATGCAATAAATAGATATAGCGCATGGTTCTTTAGACGCGTACTTAAAAAGGATTCTATATCGGCTTGAGGCGGGAGGTATCTAAAATCCTATGTTGTAAAATCTACCAGTCTAAAATAAACCAAGAAAACATTATGAACCTAAACAATAAATAGGGGAGCTCTTCCAGGTGTTTCGGAAGGGTAAGCGTCTTTCTACATCACCTATAGCATCAGTCGTTATGTCTCCTGTCACACACATGATGAAATGTAGGTCACCAACAGTCTCTCAACAAAAATCTCCTCAGGTCAATCTGAGCATGGATACCGCAGTACCTGTGCAAGTTTATATATGATTCTAGCATTGGCTGAAAACAATTAGTGTGTTCCTTAAAGACTGGTTTCCAACGAGTTTACATTTTAAGTGGAAGTAACACGTTGTTCCTGTCAATAATTAAAAATCATTGATTACATGAAGAGAGTGCGATGTACTTTCGACAATCTTATTAAATTATATACGGATTACTAAGAAACATAGAACATATCTGGGCCGCGGTGGCCAAGTGGTTAAGACGTCTGACATTCTGCTACCAGTAGCCCTCCACCACTGGGTCGAGGGTTCGAGGCCTACGTGGGGCAGTCGCCAGATACTGGCCGTAGGTTGGTGGTTTTTCTCCGGCTACTCCGGCATTCCTCCACCACCAAAACCTGACATATAAAATATCTAATGACACACAGAGGCAAATAGTTACGTTGAGTCCCGTGTTTAAGACTGACCGTACCCTGTACTGTATTGGCCGAAATAGTTTAGTAGGTAAAGAAGTGTAAACAATATCGTAATTCGAGCTCATAATTTATCATTATAGAGCAATTATGAGCAAAAAGGTCAAGTATGGGTATCCTCCAGACACCGTTGTGTTTCAGGGATCAAAGGTCAACGCCCAGGTCACACTTGCTATATCTAGAAAATCATCAACTAATTCAATTTAAACACCTAGCAACTTCATTCTTTCACGGATTTTGGTCAAACTTTATGCAAAGGCCAAGTATGAGTATACTTCGGACATTGTTGTTTTTCAGGGTCCAAGGTCAACGCCAAGGTCACTGTTGTATTGGCCGAAATAGTTTCGTAGGTAAAGAAGTGTAAACAATATCGTGATTCGAGCTCATAATTTATCATTATAGAGCAATTATGAGCAAAAAGGTCAAGTATGAGTATACTTCGGACATTGTTGTGTTTCAGGGTCCAAGGTCAAGGCCAAGGTCACTGTTGTATTGGCCGAAATAGTTTAGTAGGTAAAGAAGTGTAAACAATATCGTAATTCGAGCTCATAATTTATTATTATAGAGCAATTATGAGCAAAAAGGTCAAGTATGGGTATACTTCAGACACCGTTGTGTTTCAGGGATCCAAGGTCAAGGCCAAGGTCACACTTGCTATATATAGAAAATCATCAACTAATTCAATTTAAACACCTAGCAACTTCATTCTTTCACGGATTTTGGTTAAATTTTATACAAAGGTCAAATATGGGTATACCTCTGAAATCCTTGTGTTTCAGGGTTACAAGGTCAAGGCCAAGGTCATTGTTGCTATATATAGAAAATCATCAACTGGTTCAATTTAAACACTTAGCAACTTCATTCTTTCACGGATTTTGGTCAAACTTTATGCAAAGGTCAAGTATGAGTATACTTCGGACATTGTTGTGTTTCATGGTCCAAGGTCAAGGCCAAGGTCACTGTTGCTATATATATCAACTTTAAGTGTAGTACCTTGTGTGTGTGCATGTTTCAGGGTATCGAGATCAAAGTGGTTATAACTTTTTATAGAACACTGAAACTAATTTCACATGGCAGCGGGAACATTTATGTCTTACATGCAATTTCAAGTTTCTCCGGTTTCCATCCATCAACAAACAGTTCACGTCCTCAAATGTCTAGCTGTTAATAGGACGTAAAATACAAACAAACCAAACCAAACCACACCTGACCAAGCTTCACATTTTAATTTGGAATCTCTAATGCCTATCAATTTATAGTATCATGTAGTGTGCACAGAAACAGTATACTTTTTTCTCTGATGTAAACTGTCCTTGATCAGCATTTTTTTATCAGTGCCAATACTGCTTTGCAGTAGTGCAGATGTTACGCCAACTCTAGAAATCGTGGGTGCCACAGAAAGCAGTTCACTCGTGGCCACAAAATCAAATTGCCAACTTCAAGTATCAAAATGACTGCATTAAACACGAAGTTCACATTTATTTATGTCCACATCTTTGTGCTATTCTAGTATTATACATTTTAACAATTACCACACGCATTTACTCCAATAGGCAAGGAGACTGAATAGGTACAAACATACAAGTGAAATTCATAAAGACAAAAACATGTATTATGCTATACATATTTGTTAAATATTATATAATTCATTTGAGATGTACACTGCATTTGATTGGTCAATCAAAATACAAAATAATTTCCGACGGTATAACCACGATATTGCAAGAAGAATTATTAAGAAAAAAATTGAACTCTAATAATTTTGATAACTTAATAGCTTGGATGTCTGATCTTAAGTTCTAAACTAATGGGAGATAGGCTAGTAGTAAAATGCAGTCGAGAAATTATTCATAAAAACTTAGGGGCTGGTAGCCAGTCTACCTATTTACAGAAAAGTGACCAGATTTTGAAGGAAACGTTATAAACTATTTGACAGCTGTTTAAATTGTTCATAAGGGGCAAACTCATTAATTAGATAAATCAATCTGATGCCATCAATTGTGAAACCGCATAGTAACTATTCAGTTATAAAGAAGCGGAAAACTTGTTCAACATTTTTCTTTCGGGAAACTTTGACCTGTCAGCTGGAACCGTCACCTAGAAGAGCCATCGGAAGGTCGATGTGCTTCCACACAACGGAACAGGAAACGGAACCACAATGATGCTCATAGGTAAATTGATACTGAACCACCTATATATACACAGGGATATGACACAATCATGTAATAAATAGAGGATAACGTGTACCTTAGTTGTGAAATGTGACAGTTTTTCGTGAAGAAACCAAGAATATTCTATTCATTACAATTTCTATATATCGTTATTGCCTTCAGTTGAACAGATAATCCATCTCCCGCCAAAAAAAAAGAATTTACAATGGTCATTGTTTGATATTTATCATACTAATCCCTTATTGTTACCGTAGAGAACCAATGAAGCTTAATTACAGACAAGTAGGGAAACGGCACCTACGTGTCTGGGTGTTTTTCTCTTCTCGAATCAACCATTTCCTATCCTGACTTAGATGTTTCCACAAATAAGGTTTGTATACGAAAACACCACGGCAAAAGTATATATAAAAAAGTGCATTTCCAGAAGTGGGGGATCTACAGGGGCCAGCCGAGAAATTGATTTTTGAAACCACTTGTCAGTTGGGATAGTTAATTGTTTCCAATTTCACTAGTCCACGTGCAAATTCAAATAACCCAACATATTATTCAACATGTTAAGGTATGCTAATAGTTTTTAGAACCACTGTCTGCAATGCTACGTGCCATTCTCTTTCGAAATTCGAAAAAAAAATGCAGAGTAAAAATTGGAGGCTAAATACATGCCCCTTCAAGATTATATTCGTATAAGATTACGAACATGGAGCAGCGTTTCCACGCGTACCGATACCGACTGTCGTAGCATGATAACAAACTCCTGACCCAATTTTTACCCCCGAATTTGAACGCTCCACACACCACGCCGTGCATATGTGCGAGGCCGAGATTACAGACTCTACGCTGTACTCGAGAGACCAGTCGTCCGGCCAGCGTGTGAACTTTGTCTCCACGTAGCTAAAACACCCCCTGAAGATAGCTGTCATGTCGTCGTTCGCCCCAGCATCCTCCTCGTCCGACGATGGACCGAGCTGTGCCAGCTTCGACGCTGAAGATGCTACATTTTTCGCAGGTTCGTCTGTTGATATTCGTCATGCATGTGCACGTGTTCACAGATCGGTGCGTTGAAAATAGAAAATTGTATAAGATGAAATTCATTTTCTTTTGGATTCTGCTTCAAATAGTATATATACATATGTCATGGACGCACAGTTTGTTGTGTGCATTAACTTTGACGCTCGCATCAATGTAAACATATGTAGTGCATTGTTACAAATAGACAGAAATAGTACAGCATAATAAACAGTATAAGCATCAAATGTGTGATTTAAACTATAAAAAGTATATATGTTTAGTTATGCATCCGTGTACAATGAAGAAAAATATAAAGGTTTTGCTAAAAAGCATTGTCAGTACTGTAAGTTCCGTGGGCCGGGGCCGAATGTATACAGCATGTCATAAATATGATCAACGTATACTGCATCCCGTTAAATTATATGTTTAACAGCAAAAAGGGTAACTACGTTATGTCCTGTTGATTTTGTCTGTGCCAGTGGTACTTTATTTTCAATATATGCGTGCCATTTGACCCAGGTCCCTGTGGTGCTGTTGCCCTGTCCAGCCTGGGAAACCTAGCTCGTATGTTACGAGAGGGACATAGTACTGCGGGCACCCTATCCCAGGGAGATGGCGGCATGCGATAAACTTTACTAATTAGCCAGCTTTTGCGATATCGAGGCCCCAAATATTTATACATAAATACATGCCATACACACACCAGAAACCTCCGGTATTTGTTTACATCACTTTCACACAACACCCAGTAAAGTAACAGATTCATAGAAATCCACTCTCAGGCCACTTTTAACTCAATGCGGCGTGCATGTCAGGTTAGAATCAATTAACCGGTATCTGTATACAAGTTTTAATTACATTAAGATGTTATTTCTGCTTATCTGTTTACCCCTAGGAATCGACAAGATACCGTTCCGCCCTAGCGGAGGTCCGAATGACACGATGGCCTTCAGACACTACGACCCGAAACAGGTACAAACAGCGATAAGCAGTCTCGGTTTGGAAAATATCCATCATAATCCCCTGGATATTGAACCAGGTCATGTTTGTCCAACCAATAATAGGACGATGAGTTCGATTAATCAGGACAGCTATCAGAGCACATACTTTATTACTATAACTCATCTTTATAACAGCGTGTCTGATTGGATGATGGTTACATGAGGGTAATAAAACGGCATGTCGCCTTCATGCACTCAAGTATTCCAAATCATATTTCCTTTCTAAATCTGGAGCCTCTCTTAAAAAACCTGCCAGAGCCACCACAACCTATTTCCAAATGACGCAACCTGATCATTGTGTTATTTTTTTTCGGCATAATAAAATATGTATTGCCCTTGAAGTAGGGAATCACGATTTTGTTTCTCATCGATTAATCATGTTTAGCGAGGGCAGGGCAATAATTGTATAATATCCAACTGTTTGTTTGTCGGTCTGTTCGTACGACGGACAGCATAGTCTACAAACAGTCTTAAATTACATGTTTTACTAAATATAATCGTATTGCAGTGTCACTATAAAATGCTACCAAATTCAGATGACATTCATATAGGTTACGAATGGCATTAGTTGATTGTTTACGTCATTATTAGTATGACGTCACGACAGACTGATATGAAAAAGTCGATAAAACGTCAGAATAATTCGGACTATTATATGTATTGATCAAGCATACACGATACATACATCATTTGAACAAAATGCTGAATAAAAATAAGTGTAAAATGAATTTTCTATGTAATAAACAATTTCCAAAAATGGTAAATATAAGTATTTAACTGCTATCAGTTGACATTTATAGTCAATATGAATGCCAACTAGATACAGCAAATTTAATTAAGCGCTCTAGCCAACTGAAAGCAGTTAAGTTCTTAATATTTAATCAATATAACTATCTTTATACCTCAGAGTTGCTGTTATTTCCTACTGTTTATATATCCGATAATTTAAACGCTATTTCATTGTTTGCTAGGCTGCCTATACGTCCGACCATTTCCCTGTAGTGTTCCGTTTATGTAGCGCTATATGTACATTGTAGATAGTGATGGGACGTACCATGGAGGAATGGCTGCGATTCTCCGTCTGTTTCTGGCACACATTCCGTGGCACAGGTAACTAAATCTTCACACTAATTTACAACTAGCAGGTTTTAACCAATATCGGTTGTCAGAAAATGGCACTGACCTGTTGTACATGTATGTTTCACTTCATGACGCAACCACACAATAACATTAAGAACGTTTTATATATCTGCCCCTGAAATCCAACCTGTTGCTCCGATTATTTGTATAACGTTTTGGTATCACGTGACAACAGGTGCTGACCCCTTTGGCTTCCCCACCTTGATCCGCCCCTGGGATGATGGATCAGACACTATGGCCAACGCCAAGCGTCGTTTGCGGGCAGCTTTCGAGTTCTTTGTGAAACTTGGCGTCAAGTACTGGACATTCCACGACAGGTAAAACTAATTGTTTCATGTTGCTTTTTAAACAGCTACTGCCCTCTCGTGGTCGACTGTATTAGTTATTTATTTCGTTGAAATAGTCAAGATGCAGAGTCATTTCTCGTTGATAACTGTTGCTGCCTCTTTAGGCATTGCACTATATTGCACGTAACCGAGTCGTGTTCCTTTATTAATATAATACAAACGGAATTGTTTCTGCAATGTCCATCTGTGATCAGATTTAACAATTAGGTTGTTCATGGATTCAGAGATATCGCACCAGAGGGCAACACATTGGCCGAGACCAACAGGAACCTAGATGAGATCACAGACCTTGCTTTAGAGTTGCAGAAGAAAACTGGGGTGAAATGCCTGTGGGCAACAAGTAACCTGTTCGCCAGTCCTAAGTAAGAAATATATGACATGTCCATTAATCCATATTAAGGTAACATTTGAACCTCTCCATCATCCCGTAGGGTAACAATGAACTTGTCCATCACTCCGGTGTAAGGGTAACGTGTAAACAGTTCGACTGTCAGAAATAACGGAAATATAAATCCTGTCCATCCGTCCAATTTAAGGGAAACATTGAATATGTCCATCAGTCCATAATAACGGAAAAATTGGATCTGTCCCTCAGTCCATAAAAGGGGAAACATTGAATCTGTCCATCAGTCCAATTTACATGTAAGGGTAACATTGAACCTGTCAACTGCACCTGTCCATCAGTCCAATGAAAGGGTAACATTCCATCTGTCCATCAGTCCAATGTAAGGGTAACATTCCATCTGTCCACCAGTCCAATGTAAGGGCAACATCCCATCTGTCCATCAGTCCAATATTAGGGTAACATTACATCTGTCCACCAGTCAAGAGTAAAGTTAAACACTACCACCCGTCCATTAGTCCAAAGTAAGGCTAACGTGTAAACAGTAAGACTGTCCAAAATATCGGTAATGTATGACCCGCCCAACAGTCTTATGTAATGGTAACAATAAAGTAAAGAAGGGATTTGTTTGCAAGTCAAATGTAACGATGTTATTTGTTCGCAAGTCAAATGTAAAGATGTAATTTGTTCGCAAGTCAAATGTAACGATGTAATTTGTTCGCAAGTCAAAAGTAACGATAACTTGTTCGATAGTTCAAATTACGGGTAACATTTGGTCTATTTCCCAGTAAAAAAGGTACCTGTTTTGTTATGTAAAGCTCCAATTGAACATGCTTCTATACTTAGTCTGTATACTCAAAGCGACCCTCTTTGTTACAGGTACATGAATGGAGCAGCCAGCAACCCTGACTCTCATGTGGTGGCGTTCGCCGCGACCCAAGTTAAGAAATGCATGGACATCGCAGTGAAACTTGGAGCAGAAAACTTTGGTAAGTCCTCAAAATGCTAAGTACCATGACTGTGTGTCGCATCATTACGTCGCTATGGGATCAGTGAATTGCATGTCTCTACTCTGATTGTTGCCATTGAATATACGTGTCGCATCATCACTCCGTGTTATCTCAGACCTATGTATTACTTTTGATGTGTTGATTTATCCTTCTGCTTTCCTAACAACAGTATACGGGTATTAATTTACCATCGGTTATGTACATATCTTAATTTCGTTCTCATTCCATGCATATTATTTGCTGACAAGAACTTACTGATATAAATAATTGATGATGATGCGATGACGCGGACAAAGTCTGTGAACTGTGTCTAGTCTTAAATACGGTCTTACAAGCACAACATTATACATTATACTATGTGATGAAGTCAGAACTATGTATAAACTTTCTTTCACTGTTGTCAGTGTTCTGGGGCGGCCGAGAGGGTTACCACACCATCCTCAACACAGACGTCCTTACGGAACTCACAAACATGGCCAACTTCTTCAAAATGGCTGCCGGTAAGGTTTTTGTCATTAAATATTGCCTCTTGAACTGTTTTTAATCTTTCTCTATTATCGGGATATGTTTGCAATGTTTAAACGAATGCTATATAAATTGTTATAAAATAGAAAATATTACCAGATTTTATAGGTTATAACAATATCACAGATACATGACAGAGAAGGTTGTTATTTTTCACATGCATATTTTACATCCTGTAGCCTACAAGAAGAAATTAGGATTCACAGGAAATCTGCTGATCGAACCTAAACCCAAGGAACCGGCAAAGCACCAGTATGACTACGGTAAGTGACAAGATGTAAATGGGGCCTACTATTCATTTAACAGTAAGTTAACGATGGCGTTTCGTCCGTTCAGACGAGGTGCATTCCAGATTGATCTTATCCAACCCCAACTGTAGTACATAAAGGGAAACAGCTTTTGTCACGTACACAAACATCATAGTATCCCGAACTTTAAAAAGGTGGTTGCAAAAATTTACCGTTCGGCTACGATCAATGACTAAGCCTGTCTTTGAACTACATAAGTATGAAGCCAAGCTCTAAATATATCTATTTAAACTCAAACTTAAAAATAGGGCAACACCATATAACAATATATTTACAGTGGTAAACATTCCAAGTCGTATAGCGTTTTGTCATATTTAGCATACTAATCCTGCAATGTTGCCTTAGGACCCAGACCCCGGTGTTGCCTTCTGATGCATTCGATCGTCCTATAAACTAGTCAGGATCAAGTCGCTATATAATTATCTTTTCCATTACAGACGCCATGACGGTGATTGGGTTCCTCAAGCATTTTGGATTGGACAAAGAATACAAGGTGAGTTCTTTGTTATTATATATGTGACCTCGCTCCTATCATCTTCAATACAAGTTATCAGTTTGAAAATATGTGATATCAAAGTGTTACTTTTTACACAAATAATGTACGTATAAAACGTTTCAAAACCGACTGGTCCCTCTGTCAAGCTATGACTGAGTGAGCGACTTCGCTGTTTCTTTCATTTTCACTCCAAATATTACTCCAGCTATTATACTAATCCCGTTCCTCTTTGAATTCCAGTAATTACTTCTTGACGTATTCAATAGTATTTAACACAACATGATTCCATTATCTTAACCTGTACACCTAACCCTGTTTAAATACTCTTGTTCCTGAGCGGATGTACTTAGAAATATCTGTTCAAGTGATTTTAAAACTGCATTGCCTACTGAGGTAGCAAATCATTGGGCATTGCCTACTGAGGTAGCAAATCATTGGGCATTGCCTACTGAGGTAGTAAATCATTGGGCATTGCCTACTGAGGTAATAAATCATTGGGCATTGCCTACTGAGGTAGTAAATCATTGGTGTTTCAGCTGAACATTGAACCAAACCACACGACTCTGGCCGGTCATGGTTATGAGCACGACATCATCATGGCGTCAGCGTACGTATGTCACAAGAAAACATCAACAAGTCATTTTGTTCCTACCCATTGTTTTTAACTTGAAGTAAAGAGTTTGTCAGTGTGTATTGATAAAACGTTGCAATTTTCCATTTAACCTAATTTATCGGCTGCAGTCAGGACAAATAAAATTTCTTTTTGGTCTCCTTTGATATTCGTCAAATATTACCAATATTATTTTTGGCAAGTACAGTATATATTGTTTTTAATGTAAGAACATAACCGATTTGGCAAATCTGAAACATTATAAGCCCTTTGGATTACTGCACTCTCTGTGTACTTGCTGGCCAACAGGTTTGGGATGTTAGGATCAGTCGATTCCAACACCGGATCACCAGACCTGGGATGGGATACTGACCAGTTCCCCATGGACACCAAAAACGCCACGCTCGTCCTCAAGGTGATACTTTTACTTACAACCTTGTCGATTTATTTAGGTGCCATCTTTGAAACAGAAACCTGTCAACCTTCCGTAACCTCCTAGTGTGAGTTTTGGTATTTCAGATTGCCTGTTCAGCCTATCATTTTTATGTCAAATATAGAAGTTCTTTTTAAGGATAAAATACCTTTTTCATGTTTTTCTTGTTTGAAGACATCCTTTTCTGGGCATTTTTTGTAACACAAACAGTCTTTGGATCCGCTACTGTCCTCTTTGCTTTTTATAATGTTTTCCAAACAACTTTCCATTTCCTCTTTGTGTGTTAGCGTTGTGGATTTTTTCTGTCAAATAAGGGTGTTCTTTTTAAGGATAAAAATGTCTCTTTTTAAAGGCAATTCTGGAACAAGGTGGTCTAAAGCCTGGTGGCCTCAACTTCGACTGTAAAGTACGCCGGGAATCCACGGACCTCCGAGACATGTTCATCTCCCACATCGGTAGGTCGACTCCAAATAGAAAGCAAATGTATACTCTTAACTCATTCACACCTGAGGACATGTTTGAACTCTTCCAATTCAAAGGTTGGAATAGTCCATTATGAAATTTCAGGGGTGAATGAGTTAATTGTGGAAATGAAAGCGAACATAATACACTTCTGAAAATTGATATCTCCTGTTTTTATATAACACTGAATTATTATTTAAATATGAATGTTGTTATTATTACCCAGACCTATCTCTATAAAAAAATAGGATAATACCGCTTTATAACGTAAATTAATTAATTAATGGTTTATTATTATATAATATTGCTATATGTAAATTATAAAATAGGCAATACCCTTTTATATAATATTGCTATATGTAAATTAATCCACAGGTGCTATGGATACGTTTTCGCGCGGACTGAAGAACGCTGCCGCTATTCTAGAGGATGGCGTCATCCCCGGACAGGTCAAGGTCAGTTTTCGCTGTTTCGTTTACTCATTTCACCATTTGGGAAATTAATATATTTAAAACTTTACATACTTCAACTTCATATTAAATAGAAAAGGTCAGCATTTTTTTTCTTTCAAATAATGAAATCAAAGCAAATAATATACCAAGTAATTAATTATACAAGAGAGTACACACGATTGAGGAAATGCTATGATAACCGGAAATGATATACGTTGTTTTCCGTTTTGTCTTGGATTGCTCCTGATTGGTTTTATAGTAAGTATTAAGTGTAATTGTCATAGTGATCATTAAATATGGCCACTGCAGGATCCCGAGGTATACAGTCTACGCAAGCTGCTAATGTGAGGGACATTTATCTATACTTATGTCCGTACTGTTTTTCTGTCCATTTCATTTTGCCAACATCATACATATTAACCAAGTACAATCAGTTAAACGTGTATGGTATGTTTCACCATATAAGGAGCGATACAGCAGCTTCCAGACTGGAATAGGCGAGAAGATCAACAAAGGACAGACTTCCTTCGAGGAACTAGAGGTAAACATTTCTAACTACATGTTATCAAAAGGGTATTGCCTATTGATCCATTGTATTGCAAAATGTAACTACTTCATTGAGTTAATAAGTTACTTTGGTTCCATCACTTGAAAAAGTATTGCAATTCATTATATGGGTCAATAATCAAATATTCAATACGGTAGAACGAGCAACGACAAGATAATTCCGAATTATTAACAAAACTGTGATTCGAACTCAGAATCGATGAACCAGGGCAAGATATAAATTAATAAAGTTCAAACGTCATTTGCTTCATCGACGTCACTTGCAATGTAAATCTAGGTCCATTCCAACTGATGTCGAGTTCACCAAGTGATGAAGCTAGCATATTGATAAATAGGCTCACCCACAATGTACGCAATAGAAAACCATATATATACCTTTCAATAAGTGCAATTATAATTAAACATAATATTTGAAGGCGGTAAATAAGGTAAATGATGAACATTAAAAGTAGTCAAATCATATGTGATGTTTGATGAAGCTATAGACGCCTGAATAGTGGGCACAACCAAGAACGGCTCAGTAACAGACAAAGGAACTAAATAACGGACTTGGGAACCAAATACATTGTAGTGGATTAACGTTCCGGCGAATTCCTCCTTTCGACAAATAATACAAACAGACAAATAAATGAATCTTTCTATGCTTATTTCCAGGAGTACGTCACAAAGAACGGTGCACCAAGTAATCCGTCCGGCCGACAGGAGCATTACGAATCAATGATGAACCATTACGTCTGAACAGTGGAAACAACTCAGAGCGGCTAACGGACTAAGTAACGGACTAAGTAACTATCCATCATATAATGGATAAACATATAAATAACGGAATGTAGAACCAAACAACGGACGTGGGACCAAACATGTTGATTTTGTTGTTTATATCAAAGTGACTATGTACCACAGTCGGCCTCTATCAGACGTGTACTAGAGCTATACGAGGTTGACTGTTCATCAATCTTTTTTGACACGGTCTACTTGATTTGGCTATCTACATGGGATAGTTTTACTAGTAAAGAGTCAATTTAAAAATAAGATTATTGGTTGCTGTTTTTATTTCTTTCAGTATATTAAAGTCTGTGTAATGCACAGGGGCATGGATCGCTTTACTTGATATATTAAAAAATAGGGGTCTCCTATACTAAAATATATTAGTATAGGAGACCCCTATTTTTTTTAATTACTTGTTAGGGGTCTCCATGCCCCTGTGATGTAATGCAAGCCTTTGATGAAGTTAATGTAAAGATCTTTCTATGGAAGACTAGATAATAGAAAACATGAAAATTGTTAACATTAAAATTGTATGTAACTGTTACTGGGGCTACACACGTGAGGTATATTGTCTTAAGTGCCTGGCTTTGTTTATCTACGATACTGACTATCAGTACATGTGACCTTGTTGACCTGTAGATTAGGTTCCTTATTCGTCAGCCTCGAGTCTAAGCTTATCACACACCCCAAAGTGAGGGTCACACCAGTCAAGGTAATGAGCATAACGATATCACGAGGAAACGATAAGGACAGCTGTACTGTGGGGAACATCATGTTGCATTAAAAACTGTCGGCTAATACCTTGGCAGTGCTGGTCAGTGTCATGGCTGATAAACAAACTTGTTCCAGCGTTCGGGCTCATTATTAACATACATATGTACATGCCATTGTAACGAGTTAACGAGTTAACAATAATGCTATGTATTATATTTCTTACGAAGGAAAAATTCGCACGCTTAAAAGTGACAAATTTTCTGTGAGACAATGGTTTGTTCTTACAATAGTTTTGTATTTCCATATTCTTTTGGCGACATATTAAGCATTTTGTGAAGTATGAAAATAGATAACACAAGAACAAACAACAGAACGATATGTCAACCCGTTAAGCTAACAACAGGGCACTAGCAGAGAGAACAGCCCCGGAAGTGTAAGCGTAACCTGCCTCGTATGTGTCAATCATCATGGTTTATCTTGTTGACTCCGATGAAGTAGGTATCTCATCGAAGTACAAAAAAATACGTCTTAAATCATATGAGGATTAATTCATTGAAAACCATCAATTCGGTTAAAAGGATTATCAGATAAAGAATTTGGCTTTTTCCTTTTAAAGAATGAAAATAATATTTATTAATTCCTTTGGCAATATAGGTTTGCTACTTTTCGGTCGAAATATTGACTGTTTATCTGTAAAAAAAACCAAAAAAACCCGAGTTACAGCCTACTGCACAACCTCACCGCTTCTCTCGTGATTGATAAGTATCCGTCTAGAAACACATTATTCGGTTTCAATGCCAACTATAAAGCATACCAATGATAATAGCTCCAAATCGAATTGGCATCGAATAGACTTGACATGTCATTCTACATGGCCTTCTTTGTGAAATCAAAGGGTGTAAGTGACTTTAAATATTGATTAGTTCATTTGCTACTTTGCCATGAGGCCTAGCATGCTCATCATCTTTAAATATCTGTAGTAGAAGGCGGTAGGCCCAATATTCTGGGATAAATACCCGCGGGAGAGAGAGCACTAGATTGTGATGTCTGCCTTTGTTGTTGGAGTTCAATGATAAACGTTAATGCTCTCAACTGTCACTGATGTAACAGCTCTCTCCTTTAAGTCGTTTCAGTCGAAGGTTGTTTTCCTAAAGCGTCGAGACTGGTCTGTATTTGCATCGGGTTTCATACAACGCTAAGTATGCTTGTTAATACAACTCTCTTCAACATTAAAACCTAAGTAGTCCTTGGAGTTACTCGATTTTTATTCTTCGTATTTGCCTCTTAGTGTGTTAGAAAGCCTTCACGTTTGAGAGCCGGTGTCATACTTCTTATAGTTCTGAATATTCTCACAAGTATGTTTTCCTTTTTTCTTCTTGGGATAATGTTGATGATCTCTGTTGATCTGGTGGTAGTCGCTTTGAAAAACCTTCTCACCGTTCCTTAAGTTGTGTCTTCTCTAGCGATGTGATATCTTTCTGATGATGAGTCGTACTCTTGGATGGACATACAATGTAACTAGAGAGATTAAAGTGAATTGTTTACATCCAATATGTTTTCCATCTTACACATTTTTTTGATGTGATACCCGAAGGTTATTTGTGGTGTCAATTTCAAAGAATGACGTCAAGTTAAAAACAAATGTTCCTGGTGCTGACGATATTGTATTTGTAGTTATCGATTTCCATTATTCGACCGACCAATCATATCCAATTTAGCGTAGAGCCTCCGGAAGTTAGCTGTGGTCTTCTGGACATCCGATCTCTCGATACAAAAGACAACCATCCACGAAGAGATGTTCCTGTAATTGACATAAGGCGACCGGGCCGGTTACCTGTTGATCTTCGAGTCAACCATTTCACAACAGCCTGTTCTCGAGGGATGGACTCGGGCAAGAGAGGAATTACATATGATCCTGTATGTCTCCCGATTTGTGAAACAAATTTGCTGTTGCTGAAGTTCTTACCCCAGAAGTTCAATTGGTCATTGACGATCGTGAGGATTCCTGTGATAATACTGTAATTCTCAAACTCGTTGAGAAAAACAACCCATGTGAGTGACTAGTCGATAATATGGAGCATGGTGATTATCGTTTCTTGAATATTGGTGTTACATTAATGTTTAACTGGTCCTCTTGATAGGGTTCCGGTAACCAGTGATCATATGGTAGAAAGGGCCTGAGATCATTCTCTCGAAAAAAGCATTAACATAGTGTTACGAATCTAATCTGGTATATGTGCCGGTAATGTAATAAACAATTATCTGAGTCATTTTGGCTTAAAATCGACCTTTATGTATAGAAATAGTATTTAATACAGAAACAATAAGTACGCCTTTATGTATAGGAATAAGTACATCCTTAATGTTTAGGAATAAGTACGTCCTTTTACATTAAAGATAAAGTACGTACTTTATTATATAACAATAAGTGCGTCCTTTATGTAAAGAAATAGTACTTCTATTACGTAAAGAAACTAAAAGAACGCTTTTATATATTTGAATAAGTTTGTCCTTTATGTTAACGAATAAGTATGTCCTTTATGTTTAGGTTAAATGACACCTTTATGTTTAACAATAAATACGTCCTCTATGTTTAGGAGTTTGTACGTCCTTTATGTTTAGAAATAAGTACGTCCTTTATGTTTAGAAATAAGTACGACCTTTATGTTTAGGAGTTTGTACGTCCTTTATGTTTAGAAATAAGTACGTCCTTTATGTTTAGGAGTTTGTACATCCTTTATGTTTAGGAGTTTGTACGTCCTTAATGTTTAGAAATAAGTACGTCCTTTATGTTTAGGAGTTTGTACGTCCTTTATGTTTAGAAATAAGTACGTCCTTTATGTTTAGAATTAAGTACGAACTTTATGTTTAGGAGTTTGTACGTCCTTTATGTTTAGAAATAAGTACGTCCTTTATGTTTAGGAATTTGTACGTCCTTTATGTTTAGGAGTTTGTACGTCCTTAATGTTTAGAAATAAGTACGTCCTTTATGTTTAGAAATAAGTACGTCCTTTATGTTTAGAAATAAGTACGTCCTTTATGTTTAGGAGTTTGTACGTCCTTTATGTTTAGAAATAAGTACGTCCTTTATGTTTAGAAATAAGTACGTCCTTTATGTTTAGAAATAAGTACGTCCTTTATGTTTAGGAGTTTGTACGTCCTTTATGTTTACGAATAAGTATGGCCTTTATGTATAGGAATAAGTACATCCTTTATGTTTAACAATAAGTACGTACATTATGTTTAGGAGTTTGTACGTCCTTTATGTTTAGAAATAAGTACGTCCTTTATGTTTAGAAATAGGTACGTTCTTTATGTTTAGAAATAAGTACGTCCTTTATATTTAGGAGTTTTTACGTCCTTTATGTTTAGAAATAAGTACGTCCTTTATGTTTAGAAATAAGTACGTCCTTTATGTTTAGGAGTTTGTACGTCCTTTATGTTTAGAAATAAGTACGTCCTTTATGTTTAGAAATAAGTACGTCCTTTATGTTTAGGAGTTTGTACGTCCTTTATGTTTAGAAATAAGTACGTCCTTTATGTTTAGAAATAAGTACGTCCTTTATGTTTAGGAGTTTGTACGTCCTTTATGTTTAGAAATAAGTACGTCCTTTATGTTTAGAAATAAGTACGTCCTTTATGTTTAGGAGTTTGTACGTCCTTTATGTTTAGAAATAAGTACGTCCTTTATGTTTAGAAATAAGTACGTCCTTTATGTTTAGGAGTTTGTACGTCCTTTATGTTTAGAAATAAGTACGTCCTTTATGTTTAGAAATAAGTACGTCCTTTATGTTTAGAAATAAGTACGTCCTTTATGTTTAGAAATAAGTACGTCCTTTATGTTTAGAAATAAGTACGTCCTTTATGTTTAGAAATAAGTACGTCCTTTATGTTTAGAAATAAGTACGTCCTTTATGTTTAGAAATAAGTACGTCCTTTATGTTTAGAAATAAGTACGTCCTTTATGTTTAGAAATAAGTACGTCCTTTATGTTTAGAAATAAGTACGTCCTTTATGTTTAGAAATAAGTACGTCCTTTATGTTTAGAAATAAGTACGTCCTTTATGTTTAGAAATAAGTACGTCCTTTATGTTTAGAAATAAGTACGTCCTTTATGTTTAGAAATTAGTACGTCCTTTATGTTTAGAAATAAGTACGTCCTTTATGTTTAGAAATAAGTACGTCCTTTATGTTTAGAAATAAGTACGTCCTTTATGTTTAGAAATAAGTACGTCCTTTATGTTTAGAAATAAGTACGTCCTTTATGTTTAGAAATAAGTACGTCCTTTATGTTTAGAAATAAGTACGTCCTTTATGTTTAGAAATAAGTACGTCCTTTATGTTTAGGAGTTTGTACGTCCTTTATGTTTAGAAATAAGTACGTCCTTAATGCACAGGAATAAGTGTGTCCTTTCTTTATAGGAATAAGTACGTCTTCTATGCATAGCAATATTTATATAGGAATAAATACGTCATCAATGCATAGGAATAAGCACGTTCTTTATTATATAGGAATAATAACGTCATTGATGTATAGAAATAGTACTTTTAAATAAAGAAACTATTAGTACACGTTTATGTTTAGGAAAATGTACGCTTTTATATATTGAAATAAGTACGCCCTTTATGTTTAGGAATAATAACGTCCTTTATGTTTAGGAGTAAGTAAGTCCTTTATGTTTAGGAATAAATACGTCCCTTATGCATAAGAATTTTAAATAGGAATAAGTACTATTTTATGTAAAGAAATAAGTATGTACTTCATTATATAGGAATAAGTACGTCCTATATTTATAGAAATAAGTAAGTCCTTTATGTATAGAAATAAGTATGTACTTCATTAAATAGGAATAAGTACGTCCTTTAAGCACAGGAATATGTATGTCCTTTCTCTATAGGAATAAGTTCGTCCTGTATGCACAGCAATAGTATATAGCAATTAGCACGTCGTAAATGTTTAGGAGAAAGTACGTCCTTCATGTTTAAAAATGAGTACGCACTTCATGTTTAGAAATAAGTACGTCCTTTATGTTTAGAAATAAGTATTCCTTTATGTTTAATAATAAGTATGTCCTTTCTGAATAGGAATAAGTGCGTCCTTTATGTTTAGAAAAAAGTACGTCCTTTATGTTTAGAAATAAGTACGCCATTCATGTTTAGAAATAAGAACGTCCTTTTGGTTAAGAAATAAGTGCGTCCTGTATGTTTAGAAATAAGTGCGTCCTGTATGTTTAGAAAAAAGTACGTCCTTTATGTTTAGAAACAAGTGCGTCCTTTATGTTTAGAAATAAGTTTGTCCTTAATGTTTAATAATAAGTATGTCTTTTCTGTATAGGAATAAGTGCGTTCTTTATGTTTAGAAAAAAAATACATCATTTATGTTTATGAGTGAGTACGTCCTTTTTGGTTATGAGTTAGTACGTCCTTTATGTTTAGGGATAAATACGTCATATATGTGAAGGCCTAAGTACGTCCTTTATGTTTAGAAATAAGTACGTGCTTGATGTTAAGAAATAAGTTCGTCCTTTATGTTTAATAATAAGCATGTCCTGTCTGTATTGGAATAAGTGCGTCCTTTATGTTTAGAAAAAAGTACGTCCTTTATGTTTAGGAATAAGTACGTCCTTAATATTTACGAATAAGTGCGTCCTTAATGTTTAGAAATAAGTACGTCCTTTATGTTTAAGAATAAGTACGTCCTTAATGTTTAGAAATAAGTACGTACTTAATGTTTAATAATAAGTACGTCCTTTCTGTATAGGAATAAGTACGTCCTCTATGTTTAGAAAAAAAGTACGACCTTTATGTTTAGAAATAAGTACATCCTTAATGTTTACGAATAAGTTCGTCCTTGATGTTCAGGAGTAAGTACGTCCTTTTTGCATAGGAATAAATACGTCATCAATGCATAGGAAAAATACTTTAAAAATAGTACTTTTTTGAAGTAAAGAAACTATTAGTACGCCTTTATGTATTGGAATAAGTACATCCTATATATTTAGGAATAAGTACGTCCTTTATGCATAGGAATAAGTACGTCCTTTATGCACAGGAATAAGTACATCCTATATATTTAGAAATAAATACGTCCTTTATGCACAGGAAAAAGTTTGTCCTTTCTCTATAGTAATATGTACATCCTTTATGCATAGGAATTTTAAACAGGAATAAGTTCTTCCTTTATGTATAGAAATAAGTATGTTCATCATTAGATAGGAATAAGTACGTCCTTTATATTTAGAAATAAGTACGTCCTTTACGCACAGGAATAAGTTTGTCCTTAAAACATAGGAATTTTAAATAGAAATAAGTACGTCCTTTATGTATAGAAATAAGTATGTACTATATTATATAAGACTAAGTTCGTCCTTTAAATACAGAAATAAGGGTGTCATTTATGTAAAGGAATTAGTACTTACTTCTTGTATAGAAATAAGTACTTCCTTTATTATATAGAAATAAGTACGTCTTTTACGCATAGGAGAAGTTTAGATTAATAAGTATGACCTTTATTACAAGGAATGACAAAGACACAATGACAAAATTGAGGTGAAATTTATTGTAAATTAAAATGCATCCATACTTTATCTCCTGAGAGCAAATGCTTTAATTATATTACAAAGGTATTCACATATCTCTCACACATATACTACAGCCGCGTCACCTCTCCCTTTTAATTTATACCCAAGTAGTCCCACAAGTTTATACTCGCATGTCTTACACAGACAAGGTAATACCAACACACCCATTCACAGAAGATTGTTCCTAAACACTTCACATTATGGTAACCTTCAGATCAATCATTACTTGTTAACTCTCAGGCTGTTTTCATACATTAGCCATATTCATCCTGATCATATCAAATATGTCTTTGGTGGCTTAAAGCATATATACAAAATGCAGTACAAATAAACAATTTTATGTCGTTCTTCCATGTTTTATTAAACAATAATGCCAAGCAAATGTTGATTTTAAATATTCCAGTTCAGCTAGTTTGGAGAACACAAGCTTTTCTGTAAAACGATAGAGCCTCTTACCCTTTGCAATGTTCTATGTAGATTAAAACAAAATAAAATGCTTTTTCTCGTGACCATCTAGGTGATATTTTGAATGCCCATGAAACTTCTTTCAAATTTTTACAAATAAAGAGAACAATCAATACCTTTGTATTCACCAATACAAATTGAATCATACTGTTGTCAAGCATTTGCTTGAGTGATTATATGGCTAAGCTACCCATGGGATTATCTCCCCTTGCCTTTTGAAATTGAAAAAATCTTTTTAACATTTGTGAAAAAGGTGAAAGAATACATACTGCCCGACACATCATACCTGTTATTTGTGGTAAAGTTATTTTCCTAAAGCCTGTTAACTAGCATTAACAGATGATAATGTTTAGGTCTGCAGCCCTTGCAACAGCTGAATACCTGGACGTCATCAATGCATGTATTTTTTCACCTTTCAAAATTGTCTTCAATTTGTAAAAGTTGTTTCATATAATTATCAGTTTTGAACACTTCTGGACGGTTATACAATGAACCATAGGATTATCTCCCCTTTTCCACGAACATGTAGGCACCTTATGTTCGTTTGGCAGTAATTTTATCCTTGACATATAATAAGAAAATTGTAATTCTCATAATAAATTTATCATTGAGATTCGGATATATATATCCATATATAGGTCATATTTGAATACATCTGAATTAGTGGTTTTGAAATTATTAATCAATACAGATATACTTTATTGAATAAAAAATATCTGTTTCATGTCCACCAAAATACTGCACACACACAGATATACAGCAATGGGATGTAAACAAAATTATAACATTTGATTATGTATGTTGCACCCAAACCATAGCCATGTGTACACAAATAATACCCTGGCATCCTTTCCGATACCCTAGCACCCAAAACATAGCCATGTGTATAATTAGTTGCTATAAAAGCAGTGTAAAGAAGGAAAAAAAAGTACATTTCATAAATCTTCAAAATGCATGCTGGTAAAATAATATATAAATGTTAGAATGAACCATTATACATGGTATCATACCACACAGAATCTATACTTCATTACATAATTAAAAAAAAAATGCTTTATTCAATGTAACACGATAAGTACAAAGTTTTAAACCTAAAAGCTGTATCATGAGAACCAATGGGGTGAAATATGTACGATGTGGCTAACAAGGAAAGTACAGGCAGTTGATGAGAGATATCTGTAAGAATCTTAGTTAGCCCTTTACATATATGTGTATATAATCTGTATCGTGCCATGAAGACAGTTCCTGCACAAAGTGTTTAACGGTTGTAGCTCAGTGTTAACTTTTATATGTTCTTCCTTTTGAAAAATCATAAGTAGACATTCATAGCTTATATTCACAGGAACAGAGTGAGAAAAATAAGTCAAATATTAAAGCAGAAGGCTTTACAATGAAAACAAGATCAACCCACATCAAACCCTAATGAAACATTAACGCTCGTCTCTGGTGCAAGGTAACGGGTAAACATGACAGGACTTTTGGCAAGAATGTGCCAATCACTCTCTCTCTCTCTCTTCCCCACTTCATCCTTTTTTCCTCTCTCTTTTCTCGTGTCCATCTTAGTTCTCTCTCTCTCCCCTGCTTGCTCTTCTCTTCACTCTTCTATATATTATATAATATATAGGGTCAATGTGACCCGGGGTATTTATCTATGTGTAGATAGACATCTAGTGCAATTAATTCTAGGCTACAGAAAATCTAATTATTCCATATACCACTGTAAAATGGCTTGTGTATAGAGCCAACACATCTAGCGTTAAAGGTCATGTTTGGCGCTAAACTGCCTACTAACTATCTAATAAAGGTTAAAAGGTCATACATTCCATTAACTAACTAAATATTAGTTAGGTTACAAAGTTAACTAGCTACAAGTAAAGGGTAATTTACAACGCTAATTAGCTATATAGGTATGGGATAAATTACAAAGTTACCGGTATATAGTTTATTACGTTAACCAAACTTTACATATACTACGTAAACTATTAAGCATATTTCTTATGACAAATCTTGTGAATTTTATTTATCAAGAAATTCACCATTCCCATGTGTTCTTTAGGCCAAAAGTGTACAGGAACTCATTCACCCCTACAAATCTAAACTGGACTTGTCCAGTCATTGATTTGGTAAGGTTCAAATCTGACTTAAGGGGTGAATGAGCGAATAAGGTACTACTTGACATGACTTAATATCAAAACTAAAGGGTACACAACTATTAATAGTTAAGTTAACAAAGTGCATGTCCTATAAGCATGACAATTAAACACTACATAATATGTATAAGACATTTTTCATAATTTTAACACTATTTATAGCTACAATACATATGACTGTGTCTGTTCATGTTCCCAGGAACCCGACTAATACACTAATAGTTCATGGCATACAGAATAAAAAACCTCAAAGTGCTGGCTAACAAAATTAGTAATGGTGGTCAGAAAAAACCCACATCAAACTGGCCGCTGTTGCAGTCAGTAATGGTGTTCAATACAACGCTGTTGTAATTGGTTTATCATATTTAAAATCTAACACATATATAATACAGTAAGTGTTGTATATTACTGTATACAATGTACAGAGTATTTGTTAGGTTGAATACAGTATGTGTTATATATGTGTTACTATTACTGTACAACACATACTGTATTTAACCTAACAAATGCCCCTTAACTTATAACAGCCCTCTATCCTATTTCTAGTCAAATCGTCTGATTCCTTCATCATAATTTCATGTTTTACTTTAAGAGAATTTACTATGGCTGTTTTTTGAGATGTTTTACTTGAAAAGAATTTATTATGAGAAATTTGGAAGATTCTCTAGCCGTTTTTGTTACCAAAGTTTCCAAACACCCGAGGCCTTTATCTGGTAGAATACAGAGATGTATCTAATGGAAAATCTGTTCTGTACTCTCATCATATACTGTAAAGTTATGTTTTAGAGGTTATATTTTCGTTGTACTTTTGTGGCACGATAAAATGTGTGAAATAAAACACTATCATATATACCAACAACTATATTCACTGATAATGAACATGTGTCGGATAATTAAGTAGGACTTACCAAACGTATTTTTTCACCGGGTTCTAATTCATAACGGCACTAAATTAAGTCATCGTCTGATTATGCTGTACAACAACTAAATAGAAATATGATAGTCACTCATAGGCATTCAGATTCATAATGGATGATTGGATGTTAGTTAATAGACGTTTTCTGTGTTTTCTCACAACCAGATACAATTCACACTCCTATGAATGCCATATAGTTCTCGGACAGTAAATCAAATTAAAACATTTTATTGGAATGAAACTTATCTGTAATTTTAAATATAAATCCTTGACATATTCATCAACTGAAATGAACTGATGACTTTTATATCTTAGACTGTAAGCCATGTAAACAAAGTTTCATAAAATATTGTCGAGAAATAAGCAAGGGTCTAATTACAGATGGAAAGGTCACAACATCTAATCTTGATAAAGATTTAATACACATAGCTTCACATAGGTCACAGTACCTGTAGTTAACACTGAGGACTTCGTAATCAGAATCAAAGATTAAAACAACGTATTAAGTCTGTAGTTTATAATTACATTTCAGACTGAAATACTAAAGATTCATCTGTAGATTTCGGATACCTGATTTATATATATATATATATATTTCCTTGAGGTTAATGGGTCATATGAGAGACAATTTCAATATTGAGTGGAACAATACTCTAGGAGTAGTCCATAAGACTAGCTACACAACATCTGGACTGTACACACCGAGCTGTAGGCACGTGTTGATTATAACTGTGTAGTACATGTGCTCATAGGCAAATAATCACTCAATCTTTCGCCCTATAAGCTTGGGAATAGCAAACCAAACACGATTGTGCGGAATTTAATTGGAATGAATATAATTTTTCTGAGGGTTATGATCAACAGGTATAAAAGACATTTCTCAAAATGTTTTCCATAAATGAGATTCAATTGGGATGCAAGCAGCTGACATCTATTCAATGAGAGTGAAAATGTCAAACTAAGTTGAGCTAAAATGTAGAAAGACTTAAATGACAAGTATGATATCATCATTATGGTGGTATGGTGTCATTTTGGCAATACAATGGTATAGTGGTATGATGGTATAGTGGTATGATGGTATAGTGGTATGATATGATGGTAGATTGATGTAACATGTTACAGCAGTATGGTGGTATGAATGTATGGTAGTGATACACAGGTAATGGCCTTGTCTGTCAATACGCCTACAAAATGATCTATAGGTGTATTGACAGACAAGGCCAGTGACTGTGAGTGATACAGCCATATTCATAATACAAACCTGAAACTGTTCATGAAACAAATGTAATAGCACCTTCATGACTGGATTTTTTTTAATTAAAGGCTTCAAGCAATATATACCATTACAATGTATTTGCAAAAAAAGCCAGCAATACAAATGCATAGCAATATAGACTTAACCTTTCTTGTCAAAATACGCTTTCATGTGTTATGCATGTACAACAATGAAGGCATTTAGTCCAGTGCTGGACAATAATACTGATCAAAGTTAGAAATAGTTTCAGCTTGATTGGTAGTGTTTTTACATCCAATCAACCTGGTCTTTACGTATACGGATGTGCTAGGTTCAAGTATCTGCAGCCCGTACCTGGCGACTGCCTCCATGTAGGCCTTAACACTGCAACCAAGTGGTGGAAGGCTAGTGATTGTAGAAGGTCAGATACCTTAACCACTTGGCTACTGCATGCCCCCTCCCCCCCCCAAAAAAAGAAAACTCATGTGTTGGGAGGGGACTTTTTACCCTTGTCTTTCTACAATTCCATAAGACTTAGAGATTTTGCTTTTGCTTTGCCTACCTTTATTTTTAGTGCCTACACTTATCTTGGCCTCCAATAGCTCACCTGGTTAATTTTGGGGGGAAAACTGAAATCTGTAGTTTGGGACGAGATTCATTTAAAGTAAAACAGTCAATCTGATCCCTTTTACCACAACCCTCAGTCTCCAGGAGGTTATAGCTATACCCCTTTATTGTCCAACTTTGATGCATATGAGCTAAATAGTTATCATTGGGTTGAGAACTGCCCTGTAGTTATAGTGTTAGGAAGGAGCTGTAGTTTAAAAGTTGATGGAGGAGAGACAACAGACAACAGCCTATTTTTGACAGAGGACAGTCGAAGCACCCTGGTGCATTGCTTCGGGTGAACTAACAACAATCATTTTGTTCGTCCAGATGATACCTCTTTCTTGTGAATCTGTGGAATTTCTTTCCCGACATTGTATCATGTTCCAACATACATGTACACCGGCATAGGAATATCGCTCTTCTAAACCATTAGCAGCACTGTGGCCAAAACGAACATGTTAGCAGGGTAACATTATATGTAACCAAGGCAACCACTTGTCTCCAGCAGTGTGGTCCGTGACAACTGAGATACGAAGGCTGATATATGTCTTTACCGACACATTTTTACCTTTAATAAAAGGTAATTACAAGTCATCCACAGCGATACAATCAAGACAGATACAACCACCTTTTTGTCCTACTTAGGCCTCAGCAACAACATTTGGTTTAACCAGTGTTGTCACGGTGATATGATACAGATCTAGCTTCGGAGAGATTTGTGTCTCAGGGCTCAGCAGGCAGGTCTGTTCCAAAGTAGCGGTCGCCAAAATTTCCTGAAATGAAGGCATCTTCATGATGAAATCTTCAAAGAATTTTACACATACCAATTCAACATGAAACAAGAAATTCAGTTTGGTTTTTTTCAGTATCAGAGTACAATGTATTAGTATAGATGGCCATTTGTGGATTTTAGTCTCACATCATGGAAACAGAAAAATATTGATAAGTTTGGACTATGCACTAAATAAAACAAATGTATTTCCTTACAAATCATTAATGAGACAAACAGTATTATTTGATCACATGGACTACGCATACTGCCTGCTGTAACAAATATAAAATTAGGGTCACTGAATTGTTTCAATTTCAGTTTTCTGTATCAAAATCCACTTGTACAAACTTTTGCTTACCTATACCAGGAAGTATGTGGAATTTGTCGTTGACTTGTTTGTCCACAGCTGTAGTAACAATCTTCACCTTAGGGAAGGCATAGGCCACCGAGTGTACACCTGAAAAAAAAACCAGACAGTACTAAACAACAAACATTAACCATGTTCGTAAGGACAAGCTCTCATTACTGTAAAGGTTGTTACTCAGCAGGGTTCTAAGTTTTGTAGTAACAATGTTTCTGTGGCAAATGCAACTTGTAAAATTAGTAGGAATTTAATCCATCCTTACCATGCCATGGCCAGTAGACCTGAAATTCATCAATAATTGATCTAATGAAATTGATCGATTTTTTAGGAAATCTGTGAAAAGGAGGGGCGCAAAAATGTGTTTTATAAAATCCGTACAATATATATATATATATATATATATATACGTAGTACATTATGTAAAAGAACGTTGAAATTATAAGTTTTAATAATAAGTTTTTTAAAAGATTTATTTCCCTTCTTGTAATTGAATATTTTCTCTGGAATAGGTTTGACTTCAGTCATATTTCATCAAGTCCTTCATTTTTTTTCTCTCTTTCCAATTGAATAATTCCTCTGGTTTCTCTTTGAGCACACTACCACTATACATATCATATCGTGAGGTATTCATATCATTGCAGCCTTAATTTCTAGCCAATCAATTACTGAGGACCCATCTCCCTAGGCCTCTAGCCAAACACTCAAATATTAAAAGTATTAACTCATTCACCCCTGAATTTTCATAATGAACTATTCCAACCTTTGAATTGGGAGAGTTCAAATGTATCTTCAGGGGTGAATGAGTTAAACAGCAACTCTAAGTACACATAATGTACACACCAGACTCTGCCATCAACAGAGACAGCAGTAAGATGTTCTCCTCGGGAACATCGTGATCCAGCAGTACTCTGATGGCCATCATAGCCGCCGCTCCGGTGGCAACTGTGGCATCCATTAACATCACGTGGGTCTCTTTGATGTCCTTAGGTAGCCGCAGGTAATGGAGCTGTGACATAATACAAAAACGGAAATATTATTTTATCTCATAATCGTAACAGGTATATTATTGTTACAGTATCATACAAATCATGACCCTATATCTCAATTTATAGCTTCTATCAGCGTTTTTTTACTTACTCCACAGGGGCTTGTGCCTTGTGACTTTGGGAAAATATCACACACAAAAAGCATGATTTTGGGACAATAAAGTGTATTTTTTGCATTGATTTTGGGAAAAAAACAGCAGGAAATTTTCAAGGGAAAGGGGTCTTTAGAAGGTCCCAAATTCAACCTTTAATGGCTTTATGCCTGAAAAATATCTGTCCATGGACACCGACGAAGAAGATAATGATGTAAGAATTTTAAATGAAATGTAAATACAATCAATTCAAGACCAATTTTATCAAGCTATCTTCTTTCGTAAGAATTCACCATTTTCTTGTCCCCTCAAGGAAGTTTACGTAATAACATTCTATTTAGAGACCATCCCTCTTGATAGACCACTTCAGGCCTTCCCTTGGGTGGTCACTTGATCGTGAGACAGATTTGACCATAAAATAATGATGCACAATGTATGTTAATAAAATACAAGAATCGAACTAAGACTGTTGTTTATTTAGGTGTGACAATTAAAGCTGGCATGTAATACAGGGAGGGATGGACATGCTATGTGGTCAACGAAAGTTTCGGTTTTTTTATAGGCATACAGCCATCCTCATTGGCTCATTTCAGTCACGGGAGCTTAATATGTAATGGTTGGTGTGAGGACCTTACCTCTGGTTCCCCTGTATCAAAGTTGGTCTGGATGAGGATCTTGCCGAGTCTGATGTCCTTGCAAACCTCACATAGCGCCTGTTCCATGGTCTCCCCGGCACGCAATATAGACACTCCACATATCTACGGACAGAAACCAGACATTCTATATTTTGTATATAGGATTAACACATATATAGTAATTGAAGTTCTACATGTACGTCCTAGAGTGGTACCTACTGTTGCTAAGTAACACAGGAACTTTATTACAGCAGTGTGAAATGTTGTAAACCTTAATCTTATGTTCCGACACTAAAGTTTAACTATGATATAAACTAGCATCAATTGGATTTAAAGTATTTTAACATCACACTAGAAGAATTTGACACAGTTTCTGTAATAATGACAAGCTAGATTTATTTTTCCTCTATTTCTACAACAAGCTAAGCAAGTATCGTTGTGCCTTTTCACTGAAAATGACTTCAATTCCATTTGCGCGTTTAAGTCATCAACAATGATAACAATGGATATACCTATTTTGTTCAATTTCACTTTTTTCAAAGAACATTTTAACTAGACTTGTACAGGAAGTGTTGTAAGCTTCAGCAATACTTTGTGATGGCTTGTGGTGATAACTTCTAAATCTTACACTCTTTTAGCTGAAACTTTTTCCTTTAACGTATCCTTATTGATTTTTTTATATACAACAAGAGGCCTAAGGGTCCTGTTTTACTCAAGTTATTCAATAGTGTGGCACAATACAATTAATTATAAACCTTACATTTGAAAGGCCATCACCCTATGGCCAGACAGGTAGTGACTTCAGGCCTAATAGTTCTTGAGACATGTGATTCCTGTGACATGAAGATTTGTCATAAGAAGTTATTTTAAGATTTAACATATTGACCCCTGTGACTCTGAATGAAAGTAAAGATCAACATAATTTACAGCCCTTTATACCAGCAAGCTAGGGGCCAAATATTGTTACTCTTGGTCTTATGGGTTTTTTAGAAGAAGTTTTGGAAATTAAAAAAAATACAATGGACAAAAAACTATACAGCAACAGCCCCTTCAGTGAGCTAAGAATCTACTAATTTATCAGTTCTTCTCACGAGTTTCAGTGACAAAATAAAATCTTGTATGTAGTTTCACAATTACACGCTTAAGGTATATGTATATACCAATCTTAAGAGAAAATGATTTCATATACGTAATTATGTAATGCAAAAATATTCCTTGAGTAACAATGAATTAAATAAAGACAACAGATTTACTCCTTGTGTATATAATATAATTAGTAGATACTTAGAGCGAATGCAATCAACAATGAACAATATAGTAGCCAATATGTCCATTAAGCTTGCTGAAAATTATAAATGTTTGGTTAATAAAAATTAAACCCTTGTTTTACTTTAAATCAATGTGAAATCTGTTTTTTTATACTCATAAACAGATCATACCATGCAGCAGACATCTTGAACAAATTTCGAAATCATCAAAGAAGAAATCAAGAAGGACCTGGCATTCATGATGCAAGGGAGATAACTCACTCAAACAAAGTCAAAGTCAGCGTCATAACATATGCATAGAAATTCAGTTAAATACAAATCTGGCAATGACCATGAGAGCAAAATGATATGCAATGCAAACTGAAAAAAAAGTTGTTATGACCGGCGGGTTGGTGCTAGTTCCTGTGCTTTATAATCCACAGGTTATGTACAGCAGTATACTGCCTTAATGAAGTTAGTTCATTTTTTTTTTGTTCTAATGCAAGTCTACCTAATGAAACCTAATGAAATCATTAGTTACTACCAGGTATGAAGCAAACAAATGACTCGGGGCGTAAGTATCAACCAACCACAGAAGGTTTACCCACAGAAGGTTTACCAACAAAAGGTTTACCCACAAACGCTTCATCTTTTGAAATGGTTTGTCCCTAAAGCATAAAGTTAAAGTAGACAAAATGTTTCCTTTCATTTTGAATTACAAAAAAAAATAAAAATCTGAAGACATACATTTCTAATCACGGGTCCAATGTGTACTTCAAAATGCACCACAAACACTATCACTGTCGAGTAAATAATGTGCCTTCCATGGAATAATACTGCCTAGTACATTGTACTTACCAGGTATTATATATGACACTGGTCCATATTAACTCATTCACCCCTACATGTTTAAACTAGACTCGTCCATTCTTTATTTGGTAAGGTTCAAATGTGACTTTAGGGGTGTATGGGTTAACACTTTCATTGAAAGTATAATAAGCCCAACCCATAAACAGCACAGTGACCTAGAATAGGTCATGATCATGTGATAAAAATAGCAGATATATTGTAACATATACTAGAATAGAATATGTACAATGTCATAGTAGAACTTGGAAAACGTAACTTTATAATAATGGAACACGCACATTGTAACAATGTAATACTAGAATTAAGATAATGTAGTACTAAAACATTACAGTGTAACCTTGTAATGATAGAACACATACAATATAGAACTAAAACATTACAATGTAACTATGTAATGATAGAACACATACAATGTAGAACTAAAACATTACAATGAAACCTTGTAATGATAGAACACATACAATATAGAACTAGAACATTACAATGTAACTATGTAAATATACAACACATACAACGTAGAACTAGAACATTACAATGTAATCTTGTAATGATAGAACACATACAATGTAGAACTAAAACATTACAATGAAACTATGTAATGATAGAACACATACAATGTAGAACTAAAACATTACAATG